CATGATATCATATAGTAGTCTTGTGTTTTCACTAATAATGGTTCCGCCTGGAATAAATCCAGTTTGATTACCATGAATAAGTGAGGCTAATGTTTTCTTTAACCGGTTTGTAATACAAGTGCTGACATCTTATAAAGGGCATTTAAAAGAGTTATTGGCCTCCAATTTTTAGAAAAAAAATCTATCTTTATTTTGGTTTAGGGATGCAAGTTATAACTCCCCTTTTCATAGTCAAAGACAATTTCCTTTTAGTTGAGACTTCTTTAATAAATCTTAAAATCCAAACGTTTAATTCTTTCCAGAAAATTTGAAAAAATCTATTGGTAAACCATAAATTCCTGGTCTTTTGTTATTTTTCGTATTTCTGACTGCAGAGGTTATTTCATCTAAATCAATATCTTTTTCAAGTGTGTTTCTCGTATCATCATTTCGTGTGGGAGTTTTAACATTCTGTAAACCTACCTCTTCATTCAAGTCTTTATTTGCTGTATATAATTTCTTATGAAAGGATTTGAATTTCATTCCTCCATCAGTTGATGATAATGTTCCACAGCTACTCGCCTCTCAGGTTTAAGCCAGTTCCTCACCCAACAAGTCCTTGTTCTTTTCCTCCTTTCTTGCTCTACCAACTCTTTGTACTCTTGCTCTGCTTCCAATAAATAGCAGGAAACCAGCATTCAACATGTTGACAGCTCCAAACTTGTTCATGTTTCACAGGTAGAAATCAGTATCCCAAATGACTAACGTGTTAAAAACCGCATGTATTTATACACTATTTTGTCATATCGTACTGTGCACGGTGCTGACGTAGTAAGAACTGCGTGAGAACTACATAAACGTACTAACAACGGGTAGAACGTAATGAGAACCCATTGCGAACTTTTAGAACCGTGTAGAAACGTACTACGAACTTCTTCAGAACAATTCATTTTGTTTTGAACATATTTGCACGGAATAGCATCTAAGGACGTAAAGCGGTCGAGTTAGGTGCGTCTGCGAACGGGATGGACGTGGTGTAAACTGTGCGCAAACGTATTGTAATTGATGCCCGACTGCAATACGTCCGCACACGTCCCCAGTAAGATTGAAGTACGGCAATTTCGTTCGTAGTACGGTAATTCCGTTCGTAGTACGGCAATCTCGTTTTTAGTACGTTGTCACTCCGTCCCTCCGGGCATGTTCAACGTTCTGGAGCACCCTTCCGTACCTTGTCCAACCGATCCCGTCCAACAAGTTCGTAAACAACCTGTAAACAGGTGCCAGTACATCCAGTGCGTTCGCACACAGTTCGAGTCCGATCCGAACATTTTTCAAGAACGTACTGAGAACGAGTTTGGTGTGATAGGGGTATAATACATCCATCTACAAAATCTGCGAGTCTTGCTCCCCGATCCGACGAGCCATAAATATCTATGGGGTTTTATTCATATTTTATTGGACGTCATAAGATTAAAAGAAGATTTGACACATGACTCATAATTCTTGCAGCTTCGGTCATTATGATTATTATTTACCTCAAAAGCTGCAAGGAATTAACCTTTCAAAATTCCCTCAGACGGTTTCACCTATAGCTACATTGTAGTTGGTTTGGCTGGTTTATTGTTTAACGCCGTACTCAGCAATATTCCAGCTTTATTGTGACGGTCTGTAAATAATTGAGTCTGGATCAGACAGTCTAGTGAACATCAGCATACACATCGATCTACGCAGGTGGGATACGATGACATGTGTCAACCAAGTCAGACCACCCTGACCACCCGATCCCGTTAGTCGCCTCTTGCGACAAGCTTGGGTTACTAAAGATCAATTCTAACCCGGAACTTCACCGGTCAGTTTTGATTCGTTATTGTTGAGAAACGTATCCGCTAAACAATTCTGTGTTCGAATGTCTAACTAACATGCAGATGCAGATCACCCATATTTATTGTATAATACATGTACAACTGCAATAATTATTAGGAAAATGTTAAACTGATACGTTACAGATTCTGCTTATTGTATGTAATTCAACTGAGATGAGAGGAACAGTGGCCATAGTGAGCTGTTCTTTTTGTCATATATTTAGGTTGCTGGGCGTAACCTGACCTCAATTTCATTGCAATTATTCAGCAAACAATTACAACATTGATACACCTCGGTAATTAAACTGTCATATATTTTCATTCTAATTATATATACCACAATGTGCAATGCGGCATATTGTGTTAGTAATTTGAAACAGCTTCAGTAGAGCAGAGTGTGTAACACCGGTTATATTTACTGGCATTTAATCAACAGGAAGATTAAATTATTAAATGTATCCACCATGTCAGTGGTTAATCGATTCAGCCAGTGAAATGCTGTCAAGCGATACTTTATAAATTTTTAACATGGTCTCGAATAATCTATGCAATCATTGTAAGTCGGCAACCCGTTTTTACTTTCACTTGAACCACACCAAAGTATTGTACAGAGGTTCAACGAAAGGGTCCCTTTGAGTGTCCTTTCATATTCTTTCATTTCTCACCTGCCAAAGCCAGCACTTCACTTTATGCCGAAAAATATACATAGAATTTAGAAGTATTCAGGAATCCGCCGCCAGTTTGTATCTGTATGCCGTTTTTAAAAAAAATGTTTTTAGCAAAATTCGGAGACGGGTGCCTTTTCATGTTTCTTCAAGTGAACAATTGACTTGCCTTTGCGTGTGTTGGTGATGGGGAACATGCTCATGTTTTACGTGAACATCTGGTATCAATTCTACTGGAAGGTGAGGAGTTTAGTTTTACGCCACTTCTAGCAATATTCCAGCAACATCACGGCGGGGGGACACCAGAAATGGGCTTCACACATTGCACCAATGTGACGAATAGAACCCGGGTCTTTGGCATGACGAGCGAACGCTTAACCACTGAGTTTCATTGTGGGTTCTATAACCGTTATCAAGAAGTCCTATACAGAGCGTGGAATAGTGAACATAGTATACGCCACTTTCAAAGGCACATGAACTCTGCTGAAAGAATCACGGAATGTCCAAGTCATCATGCACGTTCAAACTTCCCTTCATCAACCCTGGTTGGTAATATGTATCATGTTTCCATCTATCAATACGTATATTTGTCATGTCATACATCCTACTGAACATACATTCATCATAAACATAATTTAATCAATACTTATGAAATGAAAATAGTTTGGAATAAATATGACAACTGTGAGATGGTATTACATTTGTTCTATGTTTAAGGCCATCATTTTCATTTGGCTGTGAAAATGGACAAAACACTCTGGAAATATTGATTACATGTTGTAGGAATGCCTTCAAAGCCTTCACTATTTGAACATTTTTAGTATTGAAACCTACAGTTGTCCGATTTTATTATGATGAATGTATACATATTTGTCATACTATCTAGATCCAAAACTAGAAAGTCCTTTTGTTCATAGATGTAAGATACAGCATCCTGTTTCATTCTGTCCGATAGTGCATGTCTGGTGATGTCTATTTGTTTTGCTATTAAGTTCTTTAAAGCTATTTTCAAACCTATTTGATCCGGTTTGTTTGCAGCATTTATAATTGGAAATTTGACAACAGTGAAAATTTCATTACATCACGATTCGTTCGCAATGGTTGTTTTTCAATCAACATGGACCTCCTTTAAGAACCTTCAACAAATTGCGTTTAAACCTAGGTGTCGTATCATTTCATGCAATAACTCATTTGTGCCACCTACCACAGATTTCTAATAAATAAGCCGCCGTGATGTTGCTGAAATATTGCTAAAAGCGGCGTAAAACCAAACTCAGACAGTCAGTCTAATAAATAAGGAATTGGTTTTGACGCTTTTCTAGTTAGGTAAACATTCGTTTCTAGCAATGCCTACCTAATTTAGTTTCAATTGATTATTAAAAGAAACAGAGAGTTCTGTACATACCTGAGGTATTTTGCATCTGTTTAATTTCAAGCATTCAAATCGAGTTTTCAGACTGGTCAGTCTCTGTTGTAGAAGCTTTGTTTCTTTATTGGTTGTTTAACCCCGCACACATATAAGTAATCCATATATATGACGGCGGTCTGTAAATAATCAAGTTTGGACCAGACAATCCGGTGATTGACACTTTGAGCATCTATCCAGTTGTGATACTAAAAAAGTAAAACACCCTCTGGACTCAGTATACGACAAGTATTGGTTTCTGAAGACCGTCTTCACGGGGTCTGCTATAAAGATGTTTCACTAAATGATAACATATTCCATTCCCCTTTACATATATTTATTCCGCAAACTTACTTTTGACAAGAAGCAAACATTAAAAGTCAACATCAATATCAAAAACATAAAGAATTACACCTGAGCATTGTAACTGAATTATTTTTTATCTTCAATATTTGGTATTGATATTCAGTGAATACATATTTGTCAGATATCAATGAATTTGGAATTGCCTGAAATGAAGGCCTTGAAACAAGCAATATTCATAAACCTTTTGTAGAAACAGAATAATGCCTGAAGTTTCGCCATATAATGTTTTATATTAAGGACCCTCTGATGGGAAAATGTTAGTGTTTGTTTCTACAAACTTCTGATGTACGTTTGTGTGTGGATACTAAGATATCGTAGAATATGGTTCTCTATATTCTGAATTACATGTGTGGAGTTAAATTTATGTACTCAATTAATGATGAAAACGTTTTGGGAAAATTACATGTTTTCAAACAAGGGTACAAACGTTTTCTAAAAAGCCACAGGGCAGGTGACTTTAAGAAAGTAACTTGTCCTGACTAATTTTCCACTTGCCCTGATGTTATGACCTAATCATGATGATGTAATTATGAAAGAATAACCCAACATGGTATTTGATGTTAATGTTTACTGGACTATTTATTGAAAAGTGATAAATAGCGAAGAAAGATAACTCTACTTTATTATCATTGCGAAATTTAATAGCTACATTTTGAGCAAATATGAAATTAAATCCAAGTTTATTTGCAGTTTGAAACCATAAGTGGAAATTATCTAGTAGCCCATGGACAAGTAAGATACCATTATTTGATTGCCCGAAATGAAAACTGACTTGTCCCGGGCGTCGGGCGATGGGATTTTTTAACCCGTTTTCATTCAACTGGAAAAGTTCGTCACTGAATAAATATTTTTTAACATTAGTTTTCTCAGTGTATGGGTGTCTTTGATTATAATTCTTATGTAAATACTTCTATTCAATAATAGCAAGCTCTGTTTGTGAGTGTGTTTTGCTCTCTCAGGCAATATTTATTCAGTGTAATGTGTTTTCTATACAAATAAGTTCAATGTTTGCTCTCACTATAACACATAGAAGCGTTGCAATTGTGTGTTTTAAGAAGTGGTGCGTTGATATAGTTTAAATGGTCAATACAATTTTGAGCATTTTCTTTTCACACCCAAACATACCTTAGCAAGTTCCAATCACAAGACTGTAAGTGAATTCAAGTTGTAAATAGCTGGGTACGTATACATTGGCATATGTGCATTCATGCGTGTCAGGGAGGGCGTCTTCGAGTCTGGTCATCAGATGCCAGGTTCAGCCATGTTGGGTGGCAAGTTCGGGAATTTCCGCTCGAGGCCGTAAGTATGTTGTTATCTTGAAGAGGTCACCAAAAGCCTTGTAATCGTCACTGCAATCACATAAGAAACCATGAAGATGTGTTCGAGGTCATTCGTCACATCTCGCCTATTTCCCTAACGTGGAAGACGGCTTGTCCTGCTCCACTTCGGCTTGTCCAGAAATAACATGAGTTCATCTCGAATGCTTTGAGCTATGACTGAGTTTCGAGGAGTCGTAGTTTGTGAAACAGACTGTGGAATGACATTCTGCATAATGATGATTTTATACGTGGAAAGAAGTTATAGATAGGTCAAAGGTATAGACGGATCATTTCAAAGCCATTATAAAATATTCAGTTCGCTTCTGAGGATGGTGACTGTTTGTGACAAGAAAGTGATTGCATGTTCGTCGTATCTAACTTATCTCCTGAATAATGCCACAACTAAAGCGACAAAACGCTTTTATAATTCCGTTTATAATAGCGCATAATTTTTTAAATATTTGCAGTGATTAAAGATTATACTTCTGTGCTTTTGTATGGAGCATTCTTGACAGATAAAGTAGGCGTACCTGTATGTATCTCGCGAGAATTCAAAGCCGGAAGTGCCCTCCACCGACACAGGGGCGCAACCCACGGCAAACTGGTTGCCCAATTTGGTCGCCACTTACGACCAGCAATGGGGTGCTGTGGACACATTCTACATTCTACCCCGGGTCCACACGGGGGAAGAGCTATAAGCTTTACTCAGCACTCACCACGAGAAGATTGCTTTTCACGAGTGCCTCTTGTTTGTTGACGCCAAACAAATAATTGTTAAAAATGTACGACTATCTATTGATATACTTCTGTGCTTTCGTATAGAGTATCAGACGTAGATGTACCTGTAGGTAGCTCGTAGGTACTCATAGCCAGAAGTGCCCCCTGTGCCCCCAGTGCCCTGCTTCTGGCCTATCATCCTGTGTACCATCTGGATGTGGGTACCTGTGTGGGGAAAAATGTTATCAGAAGGCTGGCGACACAAAATTTGGCCACACGGATTCGGAGATTGACCCACAATGAGATTAAACCAGATCACCAGAAATTTGCAATATTCACATAAACAAACATAGAGAAACGTTTCATATAAAACATTTCAATAATTATTGACTTAAGCTATCAAAACTTACGTCATACTTTTGTGATATGATGTGGGAGTCATAATATTGATCTTGCTTTAGGTACTCAATATGTCACACTGATGGTCACACTGATGGTCTCTGGGAAGTGGGTTTGGTGGTTTTACTCGATTGTCGCGACATAGGACACCAGAAATCGGCTTCAACACATGTGGGGATTCGAACCCGGGTCTTTGGCGTGATGAGCGAACGAGTACTATAGCGGACTAATGGCGGAGCTAGCCAACTGAGATAGCATGCCTCAGTATAACATGGAGTACTGGGTATAGGTTGTCGCTGGCATTTTTTGGCCATATTTGTACCGTTGAAGTCGCCGAGCATTAGGCAGGATGGGAAGAAAGACCAACATTTAACGTCTTTGGTACGACCCCGTAGATTAAACAACGAAGCTTCCTCCACTAGACTAGAGAGACGGTCAAAAGCCGCATTGCCCCTCAAGCTTCAAAAGATGGACATCGCCATCACTTTGTGTGTTTTATTATATTTTAGACCAGAAACAACATGGCTGCTTTATTAATGTTCATGTGCATATATATGTTGGTACATACTCCGCCACTTCATGAGGGCGACATCTATGTCCATCAGCAGTGTGAGGAGCTGGTACGGCAGCTGGAACTCAGGTTTGTCCTGGTGCAGCATGATGAGAAGAGCTCCTTGCAGCGACCGTTGACTCATTTGCCAGGAACCTGTTCAAACGTCATGATGAATAGAAAAGGAAAACAATATCTAGCCTGGATTATCCACCTAAACCGACCAAACTTTGAGTAAAGGACAAAACAAAAAGCACACACAAAAAACAACAACAAAAGGGATCCCTGAAAGATCCCTGACGATCTGATTCCAGCATTTCAAACAACTTTTGAAAAAGTCATATGACACTCTCTAAATTCATCGTAGAAACAGCTGCTCGATGGTATCTCGAAAGCACTGACGAATTACTCGTTGTAACGGCAAAATTGACTAAATATGAGTTACTACACTTTGCACAAACTTTTGTGGATAGTTCTTGGTTTAAGACATAAAACAAATGAAGCTCTTTAACGGTCCCTTTTGCTTTCAGTTTAAACAGACTGTTCTGAACCTTTGACGTCAGAATAAGGGCCATTAGTTTGTCATTTATGGACACACAGAAATAGCTATGAACCACGTTAATGACGTCGTGACGCTGATGTGGACGTGGACGTTGAATATGTCCGCCATTAGTTTGTCATTTATGGACATATGTCCGCCATTAGTTTGTCATTTATGGACACACAGAAATAGCTATGAACCACGTTAATGACGTCGTGACGCTGATGTTGACGTGGACGTTGAATATGTTACAGCACTTTGATCTAAACATTAACTGTATGCTATATTTAATAAAAATATAAAGCAGGTTTACCTTTCTTATACGCTGACTGATCAAGCAAAGAGCTCAGATCCACATTCTGTGCAAAACAAAATTCGCCATTTGTACACGACCGACGTCAAGAACGTATGTTAAAAGTAGATCTTTTAAAATCGTATTGAGAACTAATATATATGACATTGTTAATATTAACAAGGGTTGAAAAGAAACATATTCAGCAGGTTATAATACCCAAATGGATCCTCTGGCGTTCTGGTTCATGATAATGAACAGTTATACCTCGTTTTGCCTGTACTTGTCCCAGAACTGCCTGTCGTCTATTCCAGGAGTAGATTCAAGCCACGCCTGTATCAAATCAGAGCATTTGTACAACATGTAATAAATAACAATCAACTCTGCAGTTTCAACTTGTATATGACAACTTTGTTTGTTTAACGATGCAGTCAACTTGTTCCATGTATATGACGGTAAGAGCCATGCACTGAAGGTATTTACATTAGGAGCATCCATCTACGCAGCTTGGATGCGATGACTTGTGTCAACTAAGTCACGAAGGCTTTTCACCTGATCATATTGATCGCCTCTCGAGAATGGGGTGAGGTGAGGTGAAATTGGGTTTTACATCGTACTTGAGAATATTTCGCTCATATGACGACGTGCATGCGTGTGTATGTGTATGTGCGGCTGCCTGTACTAGGCCAGACTGAAGCTGGTTTTATAGTGCTAGCCCACTGAGATACCATGCCGCAGTGAAGCATGAATACCCCACTCAGACACATTATACTGACTCCGAGCCGACCAGTCCTTGTTGTACCCATTAATGCCGAGCGCCAGGCAGGGACCAACAAGTTCTCGAGAATGGGATTGGTTGCTGAACAAATGACCTTCATATGTGGACTTCCACTGATACAGTAGGAATATGGTTCGTTTTTCTCTCAAGCGCAATGGATGCTAGTTAATATTTCACAAATTAGTTCAAAGGATATAACTTTAGACTCGTACTTGAACAACATCCAGTAGTGTACCTCCATCATCTTGGTCTGGGTATTTCTGGAGAACCTCTTTATCCTCTGTGTTCATCTTGTCCATGTAGCTCTGTCCTTTATATTCATGACGCTTTTCCAAATTTGGCATAAAGAGAATTATACTATATTTGAACGGTTCCACATGGAATAGAATCATAACAGTTATTGATAGGGCTTACATTACGAAATTGAAATAAATGTTCCTTCTACATGGTAAAATATCATTAAGGTTGTAGGGTTGAAGTAAAAGACTGCAAGCTTTATTACCCATCACCACTCTATCCATGACGTATTTAGATAAATGGCCAAATGTTTATTCCGGGTTTGCATATATCAACGTAATCATTTACGTGATTGATTCCAAAAAGTTTCTCCATCATTCGAAACTGGAGGCTCTGGCATCCAGACATCCCGGCCAGTACGTGTCTGGAAAATATTAGAAATATCATAACGGTCACCCCTGGATATAATTAAAATAGCATGCCATCCGTTGAGCATAAAAGACAAAATATGACTAGTGAGTGAGTGAGTGAGTGAGTTTAGTTTTACGCCGCACTCAACAATATGCCAGCTATAGGGCGGCAGTCTGTAAATAATCGAGTCTGGACCAGACAATCCAGTGAGCATCGATTTGCGCAACTGGGATACGATGACATGCGGCAACCAAATCAGCGAGCCTGACCACCCGATCCCGTTAGTCGCTCTTACGACAAGCATGGGTTACTGAAGACTGATTCTAACCCGGATCTTCATGGGTCAAAATACACCTATCAACAACAACACTAAAAATAGTCCCAGATACACAATATATATACACGTTCACTTGACACAGTGTATGTCTTAAGATATACACATATAACAGTTCATTCAGTACCTGCAAGACTTGCCAAAGCATACCAGTCTAATCCATCACCTGATTATCTGGTTTATTTACATGCTGATATCGCATGACAGGAGTACGGCTGTGTGGCGTCAGACAAAACACATTTAATTTTTATGCAAATTTTGTAAATGGCGGAAGCAGGCCATGCTTACCCTATTCGCAAACACATGATGTTATCACTAATTTTCAGTGATTCATTCATATAATCTTCACAGCTATTTTTCCCTTTACACCAAAGTAATTGCTTTCTGACGATGGGTATTCGTTTGTACTGACGTCTAATGTTTAAGCCTGGGTGTGTAATGCAGTGCACATCCATTAATGCTGATAAAACATTTATTCACCTGAAGTCCATAAAATTAAGGGGTGGCATCGTCTCCAGGATGTGGAACTGCTCCACTGCCAACTGGAATAAATGCAATAGACATTACAAAGAACATACATGACAGTGTTTTCACATCCACAGTAATATATACACATGGAAAAAATATCGCAACATGTATCACCCATAGGAGAAAGACTGACTGACTTGCATGAACCAAATCATCGAGCTTGACCGCCCACAGGACTCGAGTTTTACGATAAACATGGGTTGCTGAAGACTAATGCAGATTATCAAGCCGGGGATGGGGTTTGATTCGGATCCTGAAGTTTACAAATTTAGAGTATAACAATTGCCTCACCCGTAGCACCATTGCCGCTCTCTGCAGGCGGTTGATGGCAGTGTGTAAGACGACATGTTTCCATCCCTAAAACACAAGAATCTATATATAAGGAATGTAAACCCATATTCACACATATTATGTATACGTATATCATTTGACTGACTGACTGAGTTTGGTTTTACGCCGCTTTTAGCAATATTCCAGCAACATCACGGCGGGGGACACCAGAAATGGGCTTCACGCATAGTGTCCATCAGGGGATTCGAACCCAGGTCTTCGGCGTGACGAGCCAACGCTTTAACCATTAGGCTACCCCACCGCCCCCATATCATTTGAGTGCTTGTGTGTCGTTATTGTTCAGCGCCTCTCTCAGCAATATTTCAACTGTAAGACGGTGGTATGCAAATACTGGCCAGACAATCATGTGATCAACATCATGAACATGAATGTACACCACTGGGATACGATGTAAAGCATCAGTCAAGTCACCGAGCCAAAAATCTCTTCCATGAAATCGGCGCTTGAGGCTGACATAGATCACTGGGGACCTGGGGCGGTGGGGTAGTCTAGTGGTTAAAGCGTTGGCTCGTCACGCCGAAGACCCGGGTTCGAATCCCCACATGGGTACAATGAGTGAAGCCCATTTCTGGTGTCCCCCGCCGTGATATTGCTTGAATATTGCTAAAAGCGGCGTAAAACCAAACTTAGTCAGTCAGTCACTGGGGACCTTGCTCCAAGTGTACATCATAGACATCTGACTGTTCATTCCTAAAATAATATCACAGTGATGACGTCATAGATGTTTGTTTGATAGTTATTTAGCGCCGCACTCAGCTATATTCCACCCACATGACGTCGGTCTGTAAATATTCTAGTCTTGACATGACAATCCAATGATTTACATCTTGAGCATCAATCCACCCAAATGACTACAAACGTCTGCTTATGTGATATTCTTATAAAACAAAATGTACAAATATAAAAGCGACATTGGTATTATAAGTGAGTGAGTTTAGTTTTACGCGGCACTCGGCAGTATTCCAGCTATATGGGGGCGGTCTGTAAATAATCGAGTCTGGCCCAGACAATCCAGTGATCAACAGCATGAACATCGATCTACGCAATTGGGATACGATGACTTGTGTCAACCAAGCCAGCGAGCCTGACCACCCGATCCCGTTAGTCGCCTCTTACGACAAGCATGGGTTGCTGTAAAACAATTCTACCTTGACCTTATATGGGTAACGTTACACATGTGTTTTATTTGATGATACATCGTACCTTGCCGTGAAATATGTTCCTGACCGACGTGATGTCATGGATGATGAGCTTGAACCACAGTTCGAAGGCTGAAATTGACACAGCATTCTGTCACTCAAAATATGTATTTCACGTGTACGCTTTCATCAATTGTTATAGCTGTTCATATATTTGAAAATATCACTAGCTGAAGCGCCAGGTTCCTGCTGCTGATTATCTTAATCATTCTTTTGAAGTTAAAGAATGTGCTATATGGAACTTGAGAGTAAGAAATGTTGAAATGTGAGCCGATATACCTTGATGAACAATGATGAACAGTTGTTCATCGTGGACATCTGTGATTGGAGCCTGGCAGGCAAGTAGTTCTGGAAGCTGCACACAGAAATATGAACGCATTGAATATTGTAGTTAAGATGTGTTCTTCAGTTTATCTAATAGACTGACTGACTGACTGAGTTTGGTTTTACGCCGCTTTTAGCAATATTCCAGCAACATCACGGCGGGGGACACCACAAATGGGCTTCACACAGTGTACCCATGTGGGGATTCGAACCTGGGTCTTCGGCGTGACGAGCTAACGCTTTAACCACTAGGCTACCCCACCGCCCCTTATCTAATAGAAGCCAGTTTCTGGCGTCCTCAGCGTGTTATTGCTGGATTATTGGGAGAAGCCATACTCACCTACTCACTCTAATATAGAAACGTGGTAGGTATGAAACTGAAGATTATGTCTATAGTAGAGAGTGAGTGAGTTTAGTTTTACGCCGCACTCAGCAATATTTCAGCTATATGGCGGCGGTCTGTAAATAATCGAGTCTGGACCAGATAATCCAGTCATCAAAAGCATGAGCATCGATCTGCGCAATTGGGAACCGATGACATGTGTCAACCAAGCCAGCGAGCCTGACCACCCGATCCTGTTAGTCGCCTCTTACGACAAGCATGGGTTATTTGAGACCAATACTAACCCGGATCTTAACGGGTATGTCTATAGTAAAGTACTATTAAAAAAAGAAAGAAACGCATGACCCAGAAATCTGTAGCGAAAATGTTGGATTTTGAAACATGTATAACTCTGAATTCTTACGTCAGTTTAGAAGAAGGAAATGTCTATCCAACCAAGTGGATAATATTTGTTAACGGAGACGTTAAGCGCGACGGCGACGACGTAGCACGGTCCCGACATCGGGTCTCCCGGCTCTCAGTCCAATCTCTCTCAACCTGTTCCGCACCGTTTGACCGGATATCCTCCGAAGTCCAGGCACCCTGGCTGCTGTGCTCTCACCCGTGGTAGTACGATCATGCAAATGTAGTACCCGGATGTACCGATCTTGGGCTGCAGTGGTGACTCGAGGTCTGCCTGGACGGGGACGTCATTTGTTATACCTGTTTGGTTGTAACGAGCTGCAAGCCGTGATATCGTGCTCAGACTAACATTCAGACGCCTGGCAAAAGAAGATTGATAATCTCCAGCGTGCATTCTTTCAATGGCGATGTTCCGTGTCGCAGGGTCAAGACGTGGCGTGGTGATTTGACCTTGAAACTTCTTCAAAACGAATGTCGATTTCCGAAAGTAATCTGGATTTTTCTAACCAGACAGTGCATGCTCTTTGCTGCACAATTTCAACTGGAAAATTATTTCTGTTGCGTTGTGGCGATGCCTTTTTAATCCTTGTAAGAAATCTCATCAAAAATCAACATTTTCAGGTAAAGCCGATTTTTTACTTGTACAATTGTGTAGAATCATGTTATCGACACTTTTGTTACATATTTTGACGATTGTTTGAACATTATAGGTAATTCATAGATTTTTAAATATACAAAATGACTATGCGTTTCTTTTTGGGATAGTATATTTTGAAACTAACTCATCCCAAAACAATGATGATATATAACACTATGGAGGGACTTTGATTCCGATATTCACCAGTCTCTCCAAACATAGAATATCCTCTCTTCATACCTAAGATGACAAATACAACATACTGACTATTCAGACAGCACAATTTCAAGCAATGTCGCAAATGATGAGTTTTTCGGTTAATGTAAATATTTAAATGAGGTGACATATTTCACGTTTAGAATTCGTATTCAGACCCTGTCCTTTACCAGCTACAAAAGAGGGTTGTTTCTTCCAGTGTGAGAGTACAAGTTTTGAGACTTCGTTGAAATATCAATTATTTACTGTATTGTTTTCATTTCAATAAAATCATAGTAACTACAATTTTCACCTTCAGGTAGGAGCCGTAAGTTGGCTTGGATCCCCCCTCCGCCATGCCTCTTTCAATACTGTACATTAAAATGAAAAACATAAACAACCTACAAGAATTCACCAAAGAGTGAACATGAACTATAATTACGCAGAAAGCTTATGGCAGTCCGCAGCCAGATGAAGTCCACAGCGCTGTGGGACCTCCTCCGTGGTGTAGTGGTTAGAGCGTCCGCCCGGAGAGCGGAAGGTCGCGGGTTCGATCCCCACCGCGTCATACCAAAAGACGTTAAAATATGGTACTTGTTGGTCCCTGCCTGGCGCTGGGCATTAATGGGTACAACAAGGACTGGTCGGCTCGGAGTCAGTATAATGTGTCTGAGTGGGGTATTCATGCTTCACTGCGGCATGGTATCTCAGTGGGCTAGCACTATAAAACCAGCTTAAGTCTGGGCTCGTACAAGCAGCCGCACATACACATTCACACGCATGCACGTCGTCATATGAGCGAAATATTCTCAAGCACGACGTTAAACCCAACTACACCTCACCTCACCTCACCACAGCGCTGTAAATCTGTGTGGAAGACACCAAACCACTGACAGTCATCACTAGGTGACGTTGGCTTGAATTACATGATAAGCGCTAACCAGAAACATGTGTTGGATGTGTATGTAAACAGCAGGTAAAATGGACTGAAAATATGCATTTTTATAACAGTTTAACAAATTATTAATACGTTTCTCAAATTTGAAATTCAACATGTTGTCAGTATATTTGTACATTTACAATATAACAATGTGGATGTTTTCAACGGGAACAGCAGTAAACTGACTTACCAGGAACAATGTGCTGAGCCACTGAGAGCTGTGGTAGTGACGAATACAGCTAGAAGCATATCTATGTACAGCCCTGAAGCAATAACAACATCCTGTAAGTATTATAATGGTTCAGCCATGTGTAACATCGGCGGATAAATATTGTAATGATAAAATATAAAATTTCATGTGAACAATTAAGTGGGTTATTTATCCTTCGTGGCTATGGTGGAAATAAAAAGGGTAATCAATTTAATGGTTTTTTATCTTTCGTGGCTATGGTGGAAATGAAAAGGGTAATCAATTTAATGTTTTTTATCCTTCGTGGCTATGGTGGAAATGAAAAGGGTAATCAGTTATTGTGTTTTTTTATCCTTCGTGGCTATGGTGGAAATGAAAAGGGTAATCAGTTATTTGGGTTTTATCCTTCGTGGCTATGGTGGAAATGAAAAGGGTAATCAATTTAATGTTTTTTCTCCTTCGTGGCTATGGTGGAAATGAAAAGGGTAATCAGTTATTGGGGTTTTTATCCTTCGTGGCTATGGTGGAAATGAAAAGGGTAATCAATTTAATGGGTTTTTATCCTTCGTGGCTATGGTGGAAATGAAAAGGGTAATCAGTTATTGGGGTTTTTATCCTTCATGGCTATGGTGGAAGTAAAAAGGGTAATCAATTTAATGTTTTGTTATCCTTCGTGGCTATGGTGGAAATGAAAAGGGTAATCAATTTAATGTTTTTTCTCCTTCGTGGCTATGGTGGAAATGAAAAGGGTAATCAGTTATTGTTTTTGTATCCTTCGTGGCTATGGTGGAAATGAAAAGGGTAATCAATTTAATGGGTTTTTATCCTTCGTGGCTATGGTGGAAATGAAAAGGGTAATCAGTTATTGGGGTTTTTAACCTTCGTGGCTATGGTGGAAATAAAAAGGGTTATCAATTTAGTGGGGTTTTTATCCTTCGTGGCTATGGTGGAAATGAAAAGGGTGAACAATTTAGTGGGTTTTTATCCTTCGTGGCTATGGTGGAAATGAAAAGGGTGAACAATTTAGTGGGTTTTTATCCTTCATGGCTATGGTGGAAATGAAAAGGGTGAACAATTTAGTGGGTTTTATCCTTCGTGGCTATGGTGGAAATGAAAAGGGTGAACAATTTAGTGGGGTTTTTATCCTTCGTGGCTATGGTGGAAATGAAAAGGGTGAACAATTTAGTGGGGTTTTATCCTTCGTGGCTATGGTGGAAATGAAAAGGGTGAACAATTTAGTGGGTTTTTTATCCTTCGTGGCTATGGTGGAAATGAAAAGGGTGAACAATTTAGTGGGGTTTATATCCTTCGTGGCTATGGTGGAAATGAAAAGTGGTGAACAATTTAGTGGGGTTTTATCCTTCGTGGCTATGGTGGAAATGAAAAGGTTAATGTCTCTCACACATTTGCCTGTAGCAGATCAGTAGAACACGCACTGAAGTTTATAAACATGGGATTTGTGGATAATGACGTATAATCGAGACGCTATATACTAGTATACTGGAAAAATTAAGTTAGGGATATTGGTATTTTTTATGATTGATATTTTATCAGTGTGTCAATGAATAAATAGATCATTATTCATTATTTCAAAATTTACATATATCCCTAACTACTTTTGTCCATTATAACTGCCTGGTGTCGACGGCATATTCCAAGTTTCATCACCAGTAGCATTTATCAATTAAATCCAACAAAAATATGAGTAACATATTATGAGTGAGTGAGTGAGCTTAGTTTTACGCGGCACTCAGCAATATTCCAGCTATATGGCGGCGGTCTGTAAATAATCGAGTCTGGACCAGACAATACAGTGATCAACAGCATCAGCATCGATCTGCGCAACTGGGAACCGATGACATGTATCAACCAAGCCAGCAAGCCTGACCACCCGATCCCGTTAGTCGCCTCTTACGACAAGCATGGGTTACTGAAGGTGCATTCTAACCCGGACCTTCACGGGTATATTATAAGAGCACATTTAATAATGACAATGTTTCAGGTACTACTAGTTGTACGTCAGTTTATTTGTTTCGCTTCTCTGCACTGTTAGACAGACGTATGTTTGTATTAAAATTATCTATTATACAACACATTATTTATTCATTATTGAACGATATGCAATACATTAATCACATTATGGTAATTTTAAAAAATGTTTGGTACGAGACATTTTGGTACTGACCCTCACTATGTGCAAAAAATGAACATATGTCTTCAATTAAACGTTTCTTTGCTTACAAGGAGCAGGATCTCTGCACTGCTCTCTCCTCATGCCTCAATCATCTCACATTACATATCACGTTATAAGAAGATCAGCAGGTGTCTGAAGATCACTTTTCATCCTGGATACTGAGCCAAGGCTCGTTCTTCATATCCATAAATATGTCCTTGAGTTGTTTCTTCGATCAACATTACGTTAAGCCCATTTCTGTTTCCAGCATAGTGTTATACTTCGTCTTGTCGGGCTTACCATTCCAAAGAAATAATATTATTTATTATACCGCTTTCGATATTAGGAAGTGTTATAAAAAGATGCAAAAAAAAGTAGTTACTGCTGTTATTCTTCCAAAAGGCGTCAGGTATGGACGAAACCACATCGTCATAATTTTATCGTTCTTCTTAACTATAGGTATTTTTTAAGTCTCTATCATTTCTGCATTATTATGTTGAAATTGAAAGGTACCATACATGTGAATAGTCTAGTTTATGAGATTGACAATACTGCAAACTTGAAAACTGTTTCGGGTCAATCAATATTATGTCCAAAGTTGCATAAGGTTCGAGTATATTCATCGTCGTTGGAAACAACGTCTCATAATTGTTGCAGCATCTGCAGAGTGTTAGCAACCATTAAGTGTCGAGCATATTTATTCCATTCACTTGTTTTTTTTAGCATAATTACGAGCCAGAGTTTCTATAAACATAGGAAAAAGGTGGAAAAACGAATCACCTTGTCTAAATATACGCCCTCATGTGACATCTAAGAATTCGCAATTATTTTTATTAAAAAAGACAAGTGATGTAATATCATTAGAAAGGTTTAAAGAAACTTAAAGCCAAATAAAAGAAGTGAATGTTTATGCAACAACTTCCATTCTACCGGGTCAAATACCTTTTCGAAATCGAATATTAATAATCCAGGTATTTTCGAAACTCGGATAATCCATTATGTTGAATACCAGTCTCGTACATTCGTCATTAGATCAAGACTTCGACTGAAAAAAAAAAAAATTAAACGGACTTGATTATGTGGCTTAAGTTCAGACATTCTCCGCACCGTGGGCACTCTGACAAGGAATTCGACCAAATTAAACATGCAGTTGTTATGAATAAATATTTCGAGAACTTAATTTTAAACTCGCTCGCCCTTGGGCCGGCCCATGAGCAAAAATGTTTAGTTTCGCTCAGAATTCATGTTTTGGAGGTTGTAAATGAATGGGTGTATGTTTGTAAGTATCATTACACAAATTTCAACTCATTTTGACTTAATTCGGCTAATTTAGAGCGATTTGATAAAATCTCGCAGATGGGCGAAAAACATTTTTGCCCATGGGCGAGAATATTTACATTTACTCAAAATACATGACTATACAGAACTACGGTTAAAATGAACTAAATACACGGTCCTCTTGAGTTCGTAATAATCGTAGTGCTCTGTATTGCTTCTCCCGGTTTAGGGTTACTTATGTGATTGTAATTACATGTGTCTAATTACAGTGCAGAGAAAGGGACAGCCAGGTGTTCGAGAACGGATGGAGGCGGCACAGCACAGGTTAAAGAATAAATAACTTTGTCTGTGAACGTGCTTCTCGAACACCTGGCTGTCCCTTTCTCTGCACTCCTCCCTCGTAACAAACAGTGAACTGTGTCAATATTTTAATGATAGTTTGTTAAACAACGTTTTTATTTTTAGGACAAAAATTCTGCAAAAACCTCATAGAGTTGGTATGATGTTTTGATTATGATCAGCGTTTCATTGAGTATGTTATGTATATTAGTTTTCGAGTTAGATTGCAATTCATCGGTCCGCTTTTGAGCCAAACGGATATATGTCGAAACGTCGCCTCCACAGAATAAAAGAAGTTGTATATCCATAATAATTGTCGTTATTCTTCATCAACTCAACTTCTAAAATGCCCGTCAAAGAAATCTCCTGTAATGTATGGAATTCAAAATCACCTGGGACTGATATAGCTACACCTCTTATTTGGCTAGTAAAGAAGTTTAAACATACTTCTGACGATCCCCATTTTGATTTAACCATCTGTTCTCAGTCTCTAGTAAACTGAGAGCCTTGTACCTCAGTATTTACTGACAGTTGGCTGAAAATACTTAGCTGTCAGAATATGGCTTTCATATAGTAATGTCCACATAAAGTGTCTGGTATGAATTGAGGACTGCTTTGCCTGTCACTGTTGTGAGAACAAAACTACATATGTATATATATTTAAATGGCACAAAACATAAAAGATTATATATTGCAAGTAGGAAATTAGGTTAGTAAACCCATAACAGGTTTTATTATCCTGCGTGAAAAAGTACGAAGCTAAATACCATATTTACTCTAATAGACGCCCTGGCGCTTATTTTTTCAACAGACTTCTTGACCTGTCGCTTATTAGAGGCCTTGCGCTTTTGCGCTTACTGGGTGTAATTATCGTAATTGTTAGTAAGCTGCTGTACCCCAGGCGCTTATCAGACTCCCGGCTATTATTAGAGGAAATACGGTAAGTCCCCCAACCCCACAGATGTGACCATATCACATAGATAGAACAATGTGCAAGTATGGAAACTGAGAGCCAACACTATTAATCCATAAACACTTAGTCTTGCAGTTATTACTGGTACAATGTAATGTCTCTATCCTGCATAGTGACCGCCTCGTGGTGTAGTGGTTAGAGCGTCCGCCCGGAGAGCGGAAGGTCGCGGGTTCGATCCCCGACCGCGTCATACCAAAAGACGTTAAAATATGGTACTTGTTGGTCCCTGCCTGGCGCTCGGCATTAATGGGTACAACAAGGACTGGTCGGCTCGGAGTCAGTATAATGTGTCTGAGTGGGGTATTCATGCTTCACTGCGGCATGGTATCTCAGTGGGCTAGCACTATAAAACCAGCTTAAGTCTGGGCTAGTACAAGCAGCCGCACATACACACACACGCGCGCATGCACGTCGTCATATGAGCGAAATATTCTCGCACGACGTAAAACCTAATTTCACCTCACCTATCTTGCATATTAAATGTCTGCATTTATATAAAGGATTGAAACTGACCCAATATTATTAACCAGAAGCACTTAGCCCTTCAGTTGTCACTGGTACACAGTAGAGCTCATCATTTGAAACCAACGGTTTATGAATGCATTGTGTCGTCCATATAATATAAAATTTATTTGCATACCTGTGCCTGCTCTGCAGCTATATTCTCACTCATTTATTTAATGTCGTCGCCGGGAAAGTATGTATCATGGACCCAAGGCCTCTTTACTGAATAAATCTGTCTGTCTGACATAGATAGAACTGACACAACCCTTTCCACACCCATTAGTAATACTGTGATACAGTGGCAACATTCATGCAATAGACTCAGTTTAAACGCTATCTGCTACATTTGATTAATGCATTTTATAAACTTCATAGTAAAGATAAGATAGTACATACGCAATTTGGCCATGTCTTTCCAATAGTTCACACCGAAATGCAACGAAAATAGGAATAACAGATTATAAGAGCACATTTAATAATTACAATTTTTCACGCACTACTAGTAGTGCGTCAGTTTATCTGTTTCGCTCCGGTACAGTGTTAGATATGTTTGTATAACAAATGCAGAATGTTAACACCGTTTATCTACATATACTGAGTCAAAAAAGAAACTTCACAAAATGTAATATGAAAAATAATGAATATTTTTTCTCTGATGATACATCTATGTATCCGAAATGGGATCCCTATCTTTCGACTCTAGAAAAACGTTAACAAAACCCACTCAAACCCATCCATTCGTCGTGCAAATGACGTTAGTGCCAAATCAGGTTTTGCACGTGCAGTCGATCACGTGATCTTCGCATCGAAGTTTTCTTCATATGCACGTGTTTGTATGGCCTCAAGAATTGAAAAAAACACTTTTAAACCACAGTTCTAACGGTACTTGAAATGCCACGATTGTCAAATGTGCAACGTGAACGTGCCGTTGGAATGTTGCAAGCGTGAAGATCAGTTATTGACGTCGCAAGAGCAATGGGATGCAGCCATCGTACTGTGTATGACTTGCGAGGTCGTCTATAACAAACTGGCACCACTTCTGATCGCCCAAGGTCGGGTCGTCCACGTGTGACGTCACGAGCAGAAGACCGTCAAATCGTCCTACGTCACCTACGTGACAGATTTCTGCCGGCTACACGAACCAGGGCTGAGATATTTAGAGGTCGACTGTCCTCACAGACCATTCGAAATCGGTTGCGGGCTGCTAATCTCCATTCTCGACGTCCATATCGTGGGCCAATATTGACGCCGTTTCATTAACGTCAACGTCTGCTGTGGGCCCAACGTCACCTCCGATGGACCCAGAGAGACTGGAATCGAGTCGTCTTTAGCGATGAATCCAGGTTTACCCTCAGATTCGCGGACGGCAGGCATAGAGTCTGGAGACGACGTCGTGAGCGGTATGCCCAATGTTGTGTACAGGAAGTCGACAGATTCGGGGGCGGAAGTTGCATGGTGTGGGGTGCTTTCTGTGGGAACAACCGTTCCCGACTTCTGGTCATCCGTGGAAACCTCACAGCTGCTGCTTACCGCGACCAGGTGCTCACCCCTGAACTCGTTCCTTTCATGGCGGCTCATGGCCCAGATCTACAGTTCCAGCATGATAATGCTCGGCCGCATACCGCGATGTTGACACGAAATTTCCTTCAAAACGCTGGAATCAACGTCATGGACTGGCCATCGAGGTCCCCTGACCTTAATCCAATAGAGCACGTTTGGGATGCACTTGGGAGAAGGCTTCGTGGTCTTAGGAACCAACCTCAGAATTTGCAGGAACTTGGCGCTGCCTTGCAAGAGCAATGGCGCAGAATCCCTAACCACGTGTTCACAAGCATCAGGCAGTCGATGAGGAGACGGTGTTTGGCAGTGGTGAATGCACGGGGCGGCCATACACGATATTGAACTGAGAAATTTCGCATTTTTATTCTTGTGACTTGACATTCTATATACCCATGTTTTGAAACGGCGTAGTAGCCTAATGGAACTGATTATGGCACTGTCAGTGTATCGAGTACATCACACAGATCTCAGCAATGAAATAATAACAATTTAACCATCTTACCATCTCTTGTTCTTTTTATAGTGCCCTGAAGAAAGAATGTGAAGTTTCTTTTTTGACTCAGTATATTATATTACAGATATTTGATTCAGTATTGAACGACATACAATACATTATTCACATACTAAAAAACTAACACTATTTAACATACTACATATATTAGAAAAACACTCAGAGAGATATCTCACTGAAGGAAAAAATACATAAATGTACAACTACACAGGAATAATCGGATCTGCATGACAACGTTTATTTTAGATCACAGTTAATGTCACTATGAACATAATCTTGGAATATATGATTGACTTAAGCTATATTTTTATACCAGTTAAAGATTGTCTGTGACATTACGAATTGGACATTTTGGAGCTACAAGAGCTTCCCCTGGTCATATCGCTGTGGTTATATCTATTACAGAACCACTTAGTTTCGTTGGTGTAAGGCAAGTGATCGTTGCAATATGAATATACACCTAATTTATATAAATGACCCTCAGGGTAGCTACCACTTAATTTATTCCAAAACAAATTACGTATTTAGATTACAATATTAAATTAAAACGTTCTAATGAATTAATGCAACGTTGCATTTAATCGACTCTCGCACCCTCTACCGGCCGAACATTATTTGAAGCGAACCCCATAGAGTTACCTCCCTTGGAGCGCTCTTTATGAATATCCTACGCACAACTTGTGATAGAAACCAGTTCGACAAACACCGACAACACCGCGTGCGACAGTTTTCGATGTACGGAGCAATCGTTTACATTCCCTATATGGCAAGTGTTTCTGTTTGGAAGCTTTTCGCCTCGAAGTTTCAATTATCGATTTCAGACAAATCGTAAGGGATAACAAGTCTTTTATTGCATCAATAGGAAGCTAAAGTGAGTGCATATGCCCCCAATATATAAAATATACGCCAAAATATTGTCGAAAAAGCGTGACATTGCGCCTTTAAGTAAAGTGTATCGATCTACAACTCGATGGACAAATAGTTTGTGTTCGTCCTGGTTCATGGTTACCGAGTCAATTCAAGTTATGCATAATCTGACGATAGTCAATTCTGAAAAAAAGATTGGTTAATTAATATTGTATATATGTGTCAGTATGTAGATTCATACTGTCATTCATTCTTTATTTTTGTTGTACAATTAAAAAGAATGTTATCCCGAAGGTAAACAAGTACAGATCGACATGGGTACACGGTACAGTCTTCAAAGCAACACAAAATGAATAACGTGTGTGGATAACGTTGTAAAAAAGACATGTATAACAGAGCAATACTCTTTGACTAAAGGATCGTGTGCATTCAGAATACCTGGTTTGCTAGCTGTTTACAACATGAACAAACCAAAGTCGTAAGTGACATACATTACATTAACTTACGACTATCTTAGCGCTAAGAGAGCTTCGAAAATCTAGGCCCTGGGATCCAGGTAACTTTTGGGGGTGGGGGTGTAGTTACACCTCATATTGCAAGTGGAGGTGTACTGAGAATTTTGAAGGAGTACTGACATGTTTTTGTGTGAGCGAGTTGGTGATGTGGTTTGTTATTTTTAATATTAAACAACTTTTCAGCTATTAAACTTTATATATGTAAGACGTACAAAGGTATTATGTGCCTACATGATACGCTTGAAATCTTATATTATGTCGTACTTTATTGATTTTTAGGCGTACATTACGCCTGTACGCCCCCATATCCGTAGCCCTGAAACCCGACACCCGCAAATAGCTACATAGTTGATCTACATAGTTAGTTCTAAACGTATTGGTGCCCTTACTTAAATGTATAACCTGTATATTATATAACTGTTCTTTAAAAATACCCTTCTACATAAGAATTACGAGCATACAACTAACACTCTTACCCGATTCGCTTAGAAATCAGTTGCTAGAAACCAGTGACAAGTGGAACTGAAGATAGTATTCAAATAATTTACACAACAAAACAAAAGAGTCAAGGACCACCCCAGTTTTCAATATGATGTACTTAATAGTTCTTATTATGATCCATATAATACCTAAATACTAAATGTTGGGGTGGTCCTGAACTTTTTTGTTGCGTATATATGCGAGTGCATTTCGTCCAATAATACGCCATACATTGCTTTGCTATGTCTATTAAGTGAATAAATAACATGCATGTTATTGTTCCTTTCATTATGTGCATTGTACTGAATGAATAACATATCTCTACACAACATTACTCTCTTGATTTTCAGCGCGTCCCTGCTTCAAGCGTTATGCGATACTGAAGAGTTTCACTTTTCAATGTAAATGAACGACGCGATGGACAGTAGTGAGCAAGTGAGGGTAGTTTTACGCCGCACTCAGCAGTATTCCAGCTATATGGCGGCGGTCTGTAAATAATCGAGTCTGGACCAGACAATCCAGTTATCAGCAGAATGAGCATCGATCTGCGCAATTGGGAACCGATGACATGTGTCAACCAAGTCAGCGAAACTGACCACCCGATCCCGTTAGTCGCCTCTTACAAGCATGGTCGCCTTTTATGGCAAGCACATGGGTTGCTGAAGACCTATTCTACCCTGGATCTTCTCGGGTCACGTGTTATCGACTAATCCTTTGAACAAAGTATGTTGTTTATACTTTATGCAAAGATATTGGTGTATTCCGTCAGCTTCAGTGGGGCTACGTACACAACACTTACTTTTGAGAAATCCTCTGTGACGTGTTAGTACATTGATTCATTTTGTGGAAAATGGAAATATTGAAAAAACTATCATTAATAATTACATGTGAGATGTGCAAATATACTTTTCACGTTTTGCTAAGGTTCACAAAAATTACCATCTTTACTTAAACATAGATTTATAATTTGAAATTGTATCCATTTAAAACTTGATAAACAATGATATGGGAACCCCTCTTTGGGCAAACAGTCACTTTAATCTAACCTTATGCACTTGATTCATGCGTAACCATGAAAATGGTTTTCATGGCACCAATCTGCAACCATTTTGCAAATCATGGAATGAGTCAGTGACAAGTACACAACACCTGTCAATAGCAGGTATGGGATCCACAAGATGAAGTGACATACTGAAACCTATGATCCATGCTTACAATAAGCTTAGATATTTAAACCAAATTAGACCCCACATCATAGTTTTCTGTTGAATCAATGATTTGATCCTTAGCAAAGTGTGAATAGTATAGATGTAAATGTGTATTGAAGGTGAAATGGCCACATACCCACAGTATTCGTTTATTCCATGGATAAACATATCTCTTGTTGTTCTTGTCTCTTTACAGTGCCCTCCACACACGATTCATTTTCTTCTACATATCATACGTCTAGTCATACCGAACTGAACACGCTGGTGTGTGAATAACTACAATTAACATATTCCACACAAATTATCCGTATGTAGTAGCATGTGGTCAAATCATGGAACAGAGCATCTATTGAAACCCTACAAGGATGTTTTGCGTGTACAGACTGGGACATGTTCCATGATGCAGAACAAACAGTAGAAGGAATGTGTGACGTCATTATGGATTGTATAAATCTTTGTGTCAATACATAATACCAGAAAGAGAAATCAGAATTTTCCCAAACAACAAGCCCTGGATCACAAAAGAAATGAAATATTTATTAAACGAAAAGAAACGAGCATACATGAAGAAAGATAGAAAGAAAGAAACTCAAATGCATACAGAAGGACATCAATCTTAAGCTCGTGAGTGTAAACTAGCGTACAAAGAGAAAGTTGAGAGACAGTTTCAGCAAAGCAATCTGCAACAAGCCTGGCAAGGCGTGAACACGATGATTGGTAAGAGCAGGCGACGACAGACAACCAACGCCGGGGATAATAAAATCTTTGCTGAGGACCTCAACACTTTCTACAGCCGCTTTGATTGTCACGACTTTACCAATGAGATAGCTCAAGTTAGTGAAGCCGTACAGGATAGTGAAAGTCGTATCCATATATCAGAAGCTGACGTCATTCAAAGCTTCTCCAGAATTAACATCAGAAAAGCAAAAGGACCTGACAACCTTGACGGCATTGTGTTGAAGGAGTGCAGACTTCAACTGTGTACAGTTTTCACTAGATTGTTTCAATTCTCAGTGAATACACACGTTATTCCTTCGGTCTGGAAAACATCAGAAATTGTACCAGTTCCTAAAAAAACACAACCTAAAGAACTCAACGACTACAGGCCAGTTGCTCTCACATCTATAGCAATGAAGTCGCTGGAACGCATCTTGTTGAGACATCTCCGTCAGGAAGTTGCCGACATACTGGACCCGCTTCAGTTCGCCTACAGGTCAAGGAGAGGAGTTGTTGATGCCACACTGTCACTCCTTAATAATGTCTATAAACATCTAGAGACACCTAAGTCATACATCAGGATCCTCTTCGTTGACCTTTCATCTGCGTTCAACACCATCCAGCCACATATCATGATACAGAAACTGTTAGACATGGGCGTTAACTCATACCTCATCAAGTGGATCGAAAACTTTCTTGTGGACAGACAGCAGTACGTGAAAGTTAACGGGGCTGTATCGAGTAAACGGACCACCAAAACTGGTGCACCACAAGGCTGTGTAATATCTCCTGTTCTTTTCACCCTCAACACTAATGATTGTGCAAGCTCGAATTCAACCTGTTCAACTGTAAAGTTCGCAGATGATGCAGCAATTGTCGGCAAACTGAACGACACAGATTCTGAAGAACTGTATAAAGAGGACATTAATCATTTTACGACTTGGTGTGCAGAAAACCACTTACTCTTAAATGTCACAAAAACAAAGGAACTGATAATTGACTTTCGGAGTAAACCCACAGAAATGCTTCCAGTGATAATCAACGGTGAATGTGTTGAGACAGTGTCGGAGTATAAGTATCTGGGAACCTTCATTGACTCTAAGCTGAACTGGAACTCTAACACTGAAGCCCTATACAAAAAGTGTCAACAACGTCTTCATCTCATGCGTAAACTGAGATCTTTTAATGTTAACCCATCTGTGATGTCATCTTTTTATGTAGCATTTATTCAGAGTATTTTAACATTTTCCTTCCATTGTTGGTACGGGTCTCTCTCAGTTCATCTCAAATCTAAAATAGACAAAATTGTTAACACTGCAAGTAAAATCGCTGGAGTCAGATTTGAATGTTTATCATCAATATATGAGCGGCAAATCGTGAATCAAGCTGTCAAAATCATATCTGACCGTACTCACTACTTAAATTCGGAATACAACCTCCTCCCTTCAGGCCGCCGCTACAAAGTTCCAATTGTGAAAACTAAGAGAGCCCGTACATCCTTTATTCCAAGTACCATATCTCTCTAAACAAATGTGAAGATACCTAAATCAAAGAATTTATGTAAATATGTTTGGTATCTCTCTAATGTGTCAGTAGCTCTGCTGATGTAACACAAATTCCTGAAAAGGCATTAAAGTATTATTCTATTCTATTCTATACTGACGTCACAAATATGTGCGGAGTAATACGTTACGTCACAAGCCCGGTGACATAATTTTCTCCTGATCACCCAGCGGTCATCTAGTTCCTAGTAAGCTTTTATGCTAAAGCACGTATTGTTGTCAACAAATCTAAGCTTACGTTTGAAAAATAACAACAAACTCACGTGGAACTTCAGAAACCTTCAATTAACCTTTTGAACAACCAGATACGCTTTAATGTTAGCGTGACACTGTGCACCGTTCTCTCGCTAACACTGACAGCCGGTCGGGGAACTGATGTTGGTATCTTCGTAAGCCTATGAATTTCTATCTTCGCTTTGTAATCTACTCCATCTATCAAAACCAGGCATGAATTTTCTGGGATCAAAGCACTGACAGTACCGTAATCACGGCCGTTAATCCGGACACGATCGCCGACCCTTGACGCCATGTTCGTTTACACTGTGAAAGTAGTCCCTGAAATTTGCATATGACCTCTCTAATTTGCATCGATATCCGTATATGACCCCAACGGATACCGAAAATATCCGTTGGCTTAATCCTGCCGAAAACACTATCCATTGTATGATAAAATAGCATTACCAGCGATCAAGTCAGTGATAAGATTCACCCAGCTGCAGCAGTAACCAGATGCCCAAATAGATCTGGGCTGAAAAGATGGTCATCACACAATCTTTAAGTAATGCGTCTTCCAGAATCTTCCAGACTTGGCGTGATTGCCATGTGCAGCTTCAGAAGACTCCAGGCCGCCCTTGACCCTAAAGCATAAATTATAAATATGGCAACTTCCGCACAACTACTTACTTCAGATAGTAATACATTCCTGACAAATATCTATTGTTAAAACACACACACAGTAACAGTAATATTTCTTCCCTAAGAAAGGGAATGAAAGTTACAAGAGAAAACAGAAATGATGAAAACTTGCAATCATTTCTGTACTTACTGTATCGACATGTTTGTGGGAATCGATAACGTAAGAACTAGCACGACTTTGGTGGAGGTTCCTTCATGGTGTGTGTGTGTGTGTGTGAGAGAGAGAGAGAGAGAGAGAGAGAGAGAGAGAGAGAGAGACATCTTTCTCTACAACAATTACCACAATATAGAACAAACTTTATGGATAACAACTTCTTTCATTCGTGAGTGCGAAGTTGCGATACAGATTCTTGTACAGTTGCCAAGCATATATGGAACATGAAGAGAGGGGTATATATAAATACTGAATGTAACAATCTAACAATCCAACCGTTCTCGTGCAGTGAAATTTTTCACTCAGAATAATGCAGTGACTTACGTGGACCGCCATGAGTTGTACCTGAACCTCCTGGAGCTCATTTCGGACTTTATCGGGCGACGGATATAAGCACGCGTAGCATCTGTTCAAAATCTGTTGGGAGTTGGAAGCAGCTTTTTATCAGAATCTTGGTCCAGGATGAGGAAATGACCTGACAGATGCTCGCTATTTTGACCAAGTCATAAGACCCCACGTTGTACCACATTTTGGACGTTACAGAAATCACATCTTCCAGCAACACAACGCACGTGCCCACACTGCCAGAGCAACATTAAATATTGGACTTCCTAAGACAACATTGCATCCAAAACCTACAATAACCTGCACTCACTCCGGATTTAAGTCCAATAGAACACCTTTGGGACAAGATTCAAAGAAAACTGAATGATCTCCAACCGAGGCCGACATCTGTGGCAGGACTCGATCAGGCATTTCGTAGAGTATGGACCCAAGTGCCTATGGCCTTCATCAACCGGCTTATTCATTCCATGTACAGACGATGCCATGCTTTCATCGATGCCCATGAGGCCACACGCGATACTGACTTTGGGGTATCTTAATGGTACCATTTTTGGTGATTTTGCTTGTGTGAACTCTGAATGTGATTCCCGAAAATGTGTTAACCATAATTGTCAAGTTTGAACTCAATCCTCCGTTTTGATTGGTAATTAGGGTGAATTAAAGTGTGTGCTTTTAGAAATTTCTTTTGTGGTTCAGTATATATATATCCCCCTGATGCTCCCTTCCATCACCTGATGAAGGACCAAGCATATACGCTCCGAAACGTCGTGTTATTCACAATAAAGAACTTGACTTCCATATATCTTGCTTTTCTTCTGTATGCTGCGGATAGAGGAGTGTCATGTCCACCAGCAAACTCTTTTGCATTAGTCACCCCCACCCCCTTCAAAATGATCTTGAACCAGCTATATTTTCTCTTCTGCTGTGAAATCTGCCATGTCGACAAAGGAAGCAGTCTGCAACACCAGGGGAGATAACTCTTGATGTAGTAAGGTTCATTCTTAAGCATACAAGAGTTGCCTCCCATATTGAGTACCTTATTACATAATGTAACACCTATTTTAAAATTCTATTATCAGTATTAGGAAATATAGATTTTCTCAATAATTTCTGGGAAATCGTCCTGGTGGTTTGGTAGACTGTCACTTTTACCTGAAGTCATGGCGATGCATGACTGTGTAAAAATTGCTGGGTGCTAAGGTTTTACCCAGGTGTATATGCATAATATGTATCCGTAAATTTTACAGACTAGATACCATCTTCCAATGAAATAGTTTGTTGTTAAACACCTTACTGAGCAGTGTTACAGCTACATGAAGGCAGTCTGTAAATAATGGAGTCTGAACCAAACATTCCAGTGAGTGACATCATGAGCATCAACTTACACAAGTTGAATATGATGACATGCATCAACCAAGTAAGAGAGCCTGACCTCCCGATCTTGTTAGTCACCACTTACAAGCATGGGTTGCTGAAGACAAATTCTGACTGTGCGTAACAGATGCTTTGGGGGATGACATCAATCACAGAGATACACCTCAATAGTAACAACAAACACGACCTATATTATGTAAATGTTTTATTACCAGTAACAAGTCAGTGGATATACGAGGCATATTCTGTCTATTAGCACTTGCAATCAGTTTCTACAATCACAAGCATGGTCTGTATATCATGAACATGGCCTACAATGAGTACGGATATAACCTTCACGATTAATAAAATATAATCTGTTTTTGTAAGTTATTGCAGACTATTGGAAATAGCACCAGTGGTTTTAATTTGAATCATAAATATTAACAGACTTAAGAGCTTACAGAGATTCAAAATTCAATCTTTGAATTGAAGGAACAGGAATGTAATATTTGTATAAAAATTACAACATACTTCAATTATTGGTCCCCTGATTTTCACTTGCAACAAGTTCGATCACTCAGTTAGAAAAGCTCAATGGCAGTATCGCAGTAATGCCAAACTTGGAATCCTTACTACATGGAAGCTCGCTACATTTCTGTAGAACGTGACTCGCAAAATGGACGGCAAGTGGAATCTGAACACACCGATTGCTAAATCTTTTAAACAATAATCAAAAATGACTTCTTGCAAGGAAAAGATAGAGAGTAAAGGCAGTAAGATTTGCATGTTGATTGTGTGTCTACACACAAGCCAAGGGAAGGCACTCTGTTGTCCTGGGCACTGGGACACGAATATATCACAGTAGTATGTAGCTGGCTCAATCTTGCTCTATTATGCTCAATGGACATTCACATCCCAAACTGTCAGCTGTAATACTAATAGCACTTTGTGAAGGATATAGCAATCATGCTTCTGTACCTGGATGCCAACAAGTAATAGCCTCTATCTCAAATTCCATTCTATGTTGTCCTGTTTTTTTCTGGAATGGTTGCAATCTGACAAACGTTTTTAAAATGTTTCAGCCACAAAAACTGATGGAATGAGATTATTAACATTTTTATGAAAGGAATGTTCCCATTTTTGACTTACAACATTAATGTAACTGTATCAAAATATGATAAATGACAATGGTAAAACAGTGGCTGTCTGTGAAATGTATGCAAGAATTAACTATGAAACTTGTCAACAACATGATCAATGATTCAGTCTCACATGAACACTTAACTCACAACATCAATAAAATTTTATTATTTCAACATTTCATTAAAAAACTATGCATCAAACTTAACTATTTGTCTAATAAGTCTCTAACGCTGACAACATGCAAAGCTGGAAGAGATAGATATTGGAAGAAGCAATAAACCACATAATATACAGACTGTGTCCATGGTAACAACAGTATTTCCAAGATGATACAATCACAACCAATGTCATGATATCAACGAGCCCAGCAAACTAGTCCTACACGACAATGATGACCTTAAGATGATGATCATTTCTTCTAAACTGGAAAGAAGAATTCAGTGGAGTTCCAATAGAGTGAAATATTTGACAAAAATCAACCTCTCTCACTTCAGCTTTGGCATGTTTCTTGGTTAGAAAAATGAGATGTAAGACGATGGAAGAAGTCAGGACTAGTTTGCTGGGGTCTGGTGATGTTATTGTACTGAAACCGTCATGGCTGGTTTAAAATAATTAGAACTCTGATACACATTAAATAATATATAACAGACTATGTATAAATACCTATATGTAAACATAGAAACCTACATCCTACTGGACCTCGGCCAGATCTTACAGAGACAAGAGTTGAAGACAGTACAGTCGTCTTCTGGAGTATCCGTGACCTATATACACATTAGTCTACTAATCTAAAGGTTGTTCTCAGCCCGTCTGTGGCCTTCAGTGTTCCATACTATGTCCTACACAAGAATTAATCCTCTGAAACAACCCTGATATACAATTGTACAAAAACACAAAAGTGTTGTATTTGATTCCCGGCAGATGCTCTGAACATTGTACAAATTCTGAGACATTTCCAAATCGGACATTTTGCCTCTCCTGTTGTCCTGTGGGACTGTACAGCATTGACGCAGGTGTAGTCTTCATGGGTTATTCCACACTGAATCACTCTCAGTGTTCCAATACAAACCTGGAGATATTGTCAGTGTAGCATGCGTTATGAATCTGCAGTATTCCTATACATATAACAGATACTTTGTATTCCAATACAAATTATGTCAGAACCTGATTTGCCATCTTGCCAATATAGGAAGTGCTACCGATGGTGTAGGTACAATGCTGAGTGTGGGATACTATTATAGAGCACTTGATGTTGCTTATCCCGATAACTTAGACCCGGTCTTTCTTCAGGTCTTTATGATCTTTGTGGTCCTTGTCTTTCTTCTTCTTCAGGAAGCCGAACACCCCATGACTCTTCCTCTTCTCCTTCTCGGGAATGACTGTCATCAAGGTGACCAGCTGGCTCGGACATCGGGCGGCCACCTGCGGCTCCTGGGTGTTTGGATCGATACTGAAGACAGAGAGAGAGAGATGTCAGAATGGTAAAGTGTTTCAAAGAAAAAATGAATGTCTCCAAATGAGTCTGATCATTTGATTCTGTTTGACCTATTTCTGACAACAGATTCCATTATCTTTATTCAACAATGGTTAGAAATGGTTTGGTTGACATATTCAGTAGCACTATGAATGAATGATACTGAATGTAATATTACAGCAATTAAGGTCCACTCATGCTCAGGTATCATATCTACAGTGGATCTCGGTACTGAACACCTTGGAAATATAGATTCAGGCACTGTAGATCTAAGTGCTGTAGGCCTATATACTACAGACTTAGATTCTCTGGATTAATGTACTCTACACCCCGAGGTACCCCGCCAGTACTATAGATTTAGGTCCTGTGGAACAGACTTAGATCCTCTGGATTAATCCAAAGTAAATGGTGATAATTATAACTTACATGGACTTCATCATCATCATGATCTGAAAAGAGAAATAGGATAGCTAAAACTTCTGTCGTACAACACACAACATCATTAAGGACAAACCATATAGCTACATCCCAAAGGCATTCAGTTCTTAACGACAGTCGACCTCGTTTATCTGGAAGTTTGCATTTTCTCACATTTTAAACACATTAACAATGACAGGTTTTAGCAATGTCAAACGTTGCATCAGTGAAACTTATTCTTAATAGTATTATATGACACAATGATATACTACTAATTGGTTTAAGGCACTATTTCACACCACACTTCTCTGAAAATAAATAATGCATTTCTCTCAATAATACTAACTATCAGTCCTCCGGGAAGGTACCATATAATTTATTCCCCCCCCAATATTATGTATTTAGATCACAATCCTAAATTAAAAAGTTCAAATGAATTAATGCCACTCTACCAGCCGAACATTATTTCAAGCGAACCCCATAGAGTTATGTCCCTTGGAGCGCTCTTCACAAATATCCTATAACTCCTTTGGAGTCAGAACTCAGTCCTAGACAAAAACATACGCACAACTTGTGATTGAAACTAGTTCGGCAAACACCAAGAACACTGCGCGAGGCAGTTTGCGATGTACGGAGCAATTGTTTACATTCCATACATGGCAAGCTGTTCACCTCGAAGTTCCAATTATCGATTTCAGGCAAGTTGTAAGTGATAATAAGTCTTTTATTGAATTAAGTGAGTGCATATAACATAGGCCAAAATACTGCCGAAAATGTGTAAGATTGTGCCTTTAAAGATCATGTCATATTCACCATGGTAACACGAAACTATTGGGTGGTCCTACTATTTTTAGCAGTACATTGAAATGCTATCCAAACGGTACAACTTGAGGTACCAAGCTGGTCTTGAAGTCAGTATTCCAGAGCTCTAGTACAGTAGATGCAAAGCTGGATGTCTGTCATGGCCACCTTGGTTCCAACAAGTATGGTATTTATGGGTGACACATGTTGTGGTTCTTACTGCTGCTTTTTAAAATATACTGAGGGAAAAAAATAAGGTATCACATGAAAGGACGAGTGTTCCTTTATATTTTTCCAAGGTTTCTTCACAAGCTGTGTATCACATAGCTTGTAAAGAAACCTGGAAAGAACATAAGGGAACACTTGTGCTTTCATATGATCCCTTATTTTTTTCCCTCAGTATATAATTGGGAATTAATGTATCAAATCACAAATGTGGGTTGACTCCCTTGACTAACTCACCATGTCCGTCGTGATTGCCATTTGATCCCATTGGGGCATAAACTCCACCAGCAACATAAGTTCGGTCTTCATCTGACAACATAAAATCAGGACATTTAGGTAGGTGATTCATGTCTATCTGTCGTTAAGCACCATTTTCAGTGATATTCCAGCTATATGACAGTGGTGTGCAAATAATCTAGTCTGGAACAGACAACCCAGGGATTAACATGATGAGCATCGATTTACTCGAATGGGACATGATGACATGCATCAGCAAGCCTGACCACCTGATCCCATCAGTGGCCTCTTACAACAAGCATGGGTTGCTGACAGGGCTCGATTTAAGAGATGTTAACCTACTTGCACCAGGTGCAACCTAAGATAAAAACCTTGTTGCACCAGCCAAATTCCAGTTGCACTGCTCTTATCGCAATATGTAATGAAAGAAATGTGCTACTGAATTATTGAAAGCTTAGATAACAAATGATCTGACATAAAAATGCTTATAATGTTAGATTTATTTCTCAAAATTGACTTGCACCTGGTGCAAGTTAGACAAATAACTAGGTTGCACTTTGTAATATTGGGTTGCACCAGTGCAAGCAACAAAGCAGTAAATCGAGCCCTGGCTGAAGATCAGTTATAACCTTGTTCTTCATGGGTAGCCCTTCCAATGAAATATCCAACCAAATCATATTTGGCTTGATACTGTCAACTGTTTTGTAATAAGCTACAGAAGTTCAGCAGTTTTCATGAGTGCTTCTATTTACAAAGTTTTCATGATCTTCATCATTGTACTTCTCAAAACTTTAAAATGTCTCCCTATTTATCCCAAAGTTTGCAGGGAGGCCCTTCAGCATCAATATTATTCTACAGTTCTTGCAACAAGGTGCCACCTAGACATGGCCACCCACCTGATCTGTTGCTGGCTGTACTCCCTGTCCGAACATGTGTTGCGAAATCATCTCCTACTTCGGAACCAGAGCTAGCTTCAATGACTGCAGACATACGTTTGTAGTCACCACTGGCGCTGTTGTCAACCCGGCTTTGTTTGGGAGGGGGACTCTGCTCCCTCTGAGGGCTCTCTGACCCCGAGAAAGGGGTGAACTGATCGCTGGGCTCCAGGGCTATCACAAACAAACAACCGTAGCTTAGTACAGGAGGGACATTTTCTGAATCAATTTGTGCATCAGTGGGCTTGTTGTTTTAACACTTTGAAAACATTTGCTCAAAAAACATGATTATATAAACAGAAAGAAAAATGAATTTTTAACTTAAAATTTCAACAGAAAACAAGACTAACAGAAGCTGTAAGTGTGGTCCAAAATGCACACGTGAAAAGCTTAATTGCAAGACATTATAAAGTTGAGAACATTACAGATCACAATGCATAATCATTTCTACAAACTGATGGACACCTGGAATAAATAAACGCAAGTCAAATCATGGTTCACTTTAATAAGATAGGAAGCTTATATTAACAAGCAAATTCTTAAAAGATCACCACAGACAAAAACTTTTCTGAGATACTTGAAATGTAAATTTCAAAAATTTAGAATCAATTAATAAATTCTAATTAATTTAAAATTTCAAATTTCAATTAATTTTAAAACTCTAAATATTCTAATATATGTGTAAAAATTACATGAAATCCATGATTACAACTTGCTGATACCATCACCATCATTCTCAAAATCTCAAACCAAATACATGGTCATGCGAAAAAAGAACCAGTTTAACAAACTGAAAATAAATACCGATTACATTGAAACTTGGTAAATGTTTTCTGAACATGCAAAATATCAACAACCATATATCATCATCATCATCATCAATACATATTCAATAAGGCCAAGACTACTAGCATATCATCTACACATTTGGCAGTTTGTTCTACCTTGAGCTTTCAGCAAAGCATTAAGCTAAAATTCTAATAAGAAAAGTGAAAATGCAACTCAAAAGTATCAAAATAAGAGTCTAAATACACGATGAGACAATACTGATTGGGAGAGGCCTGTGGGATATGTCTAATGTTTTACACTGATTGAGGGGATGTCAGGATATGTCTAATGTTTTACACTGATTGAGGGGATGTCAGGATATGTCTAATGTTTTATACTGATTGAGGGGATGTCAGGATATGTCTAATGTTTTACACTGATTGGGAGAGGCCTGTGGGATATGTCTAATGTTTTACACTGACTGAGGGGATGTCAGGATATGTCTAATGTTTTACACTGATTGAGGGGATGTCAGGATATGTCTAATGTTTTATACTGATTGAGGGGATGTCAGGATATGTCTAATGTTTTACACTGATTGAGGGGATGTCAGGATATGTCTAATGTTAATACTGATTGAGGGGATGTCAGGGCTAATGTTTTACACTGATTGAGGGGATGTCAGGGCTAATGTTTTACACAAATTGAGGGGATGTCAGGTTATGTCTAATGTTTTACACTGATTGAGGGGATGTCAGGGCTAATGTTTTACACTGATTGAGGGGATGTCAGGATATGTCTAATGTTTTACACTGACTGAGGGGATGTCAGGATATGTCTAATGTTTATACTGATTGAGGCGATGTCAGGGCTAATGTTTTACACTGATTGAGGGGATGACAGGGCTAATGTTTTACACTGATTGAGGGGATGTCAGGGCTAATGTTTTACACAAATTGAGGGGATGTCAGGATATGTCTAATGTTTTATACTGATTGAGGGGATGTCAGGGCTAATGTTTTACACTCTTTGAGGTGATGTCAGGGCTAATGTTTTACACTGATTGAGGTGATGTCAGGGCTAATGTTTTACACTGATTGAGGGATGTCAGGGCTAATGTTTTACACTGATTGAGGGGATGTCAGGGCTAATGTTTTAAACTGGTTGAGGGGATGTCAGGGCTAATGTTTTACACTGATTGAGGGGATGTCTAATGTTTTACACTGATTGAGGGGATGTCAGGGCTAATGTTTTACACTGATTGAGGGGATGTCAGGATATGTCTAATGTTTTACATTGGTTGAGGGGATGTCAGGGCTAATGTTTTACACTGGTTGAGGGGATGTCAGGGCTAATGTTTTACACTGATTGAGGGGATGTCAGGGCTAATGTTTTACACTGATTGAGGGGATGTCAGGATATGGCTAATGTTTTACACTGATTGAGGGATGTCAGGGCTAATGTTTTACACTGATTGAGGGGATGTCAGGATATGGCTAATGTTTTACACTGATTGAGGGGATTTCAGGGATATGGCTGATGTTTTACACTGACTGAGGGGATGTCAGGGCTAATGTTTTACACTGGTTCAGGGGATGTCAGGATATGGCTAATGTTTTACACTGATTGAGGGGATGTCAGGGCTAATGTTTTACACTGATTGAGGGGATGTCAGGGCTAATGTTTTACACTGATTGAGGGGATGTCAGGGCTAATGTTTTACACTGATTGAGGGGATGTCAGGGCTAATGTTTTACACTGATTGAGGGGATGTCAGGGCTAATGTTTTACACTGATTGAGGGGGATGTGGGGGATGTCAGGCTAATGTTTTACACTGATTGAGGGCTATCTTTTACAGGGATATGGCTGATGTTTTACACACTGATTGAGGGGATGTCAGGGCTAATGTTTTACACTGATTGAGGGGATGTCAGGGCTAATGTTTTACACTGATTGAGGAGATGTCAGGATGTCTAATGTTTTACACTGATTGAGGGGATGTCAGGGCTAATGTTTTCACTGATTGAGGGGATCTCAGGGATATGGCTAATGTTTTACACTGATTGAGGGGATTTCAGGGCTAATGTTTTACACTGATTGAGGGGATGTCAGGGATATGGCTAATGTTTTACACTGATTGAGGAGATATCAGGGATATGTCTAATGTTTTACACTGATTGAGGGGATGTCAGGGCTAATGTTTTACACTGATTGAGGGCATCTCAGGGATATGTCTAATGTTTTACACTGGTTGAGGGAATGTCAGGGTTATGGCTAATGTTTTACACTGATTGAGGGGATGTCAGGGTTATGGCTAATGTTTTACACTGATCGAGGGGATGTCAGGGAAATGGCTAATGTTTTACACTAATCGAGGGGATGTTAGGCAAATGGCTTATATTTTACATGGATTGAGGAGATGTCAGGGTTATGGCTAATGTTTTACACTGATCGAGAGGATGTCAGGGAAATGGCTAATGTTTTACACTGATCGAGGGGATGTTAGGCAAATAGCTTATGTTTTACACGGATTGAGGAGATGTCAGGATATGGCTAATGTTTTACACTGATTGAGGGGATCTCAGGGATATGCTAATGTTTTACACTGATCGAGGGGATGTCAGGGAAATGGCTAATGTTTTACACTGATTGAGGGGATGTCAGGGTTATGGCTAATGTTTTACACTGATTGAGGGGATGTCAGGGAAATGGCTAATGTTTTACACTGATCGAGGGGATGTCAGGGAAATGGCTAATGTTTTACACTGATCGAGGGGATGTTAGGCAAATGGCTTATGTTTTACACGGATTGAGGAGATGTCAGGTGTATGGCTAATGTTTTACACTGACATGACTAATGTTTTACACTGAATGAGGGGATATGGCCGCACGGCAATCAATACATGACATGAGCCTCTGCCAATTAGCAATGTCCATCGGAGTTGAACTAAAACAAAATGAAAACCAAGCAACACATAGAGCTAGGGATCACTGTGAGAAGGTCCTGGTGGATTGTGTTTTCAAGCAGGAAGGAAACAGGGGTCAATGGGCCAATCAGCCAAAATGGGAAAATAAAACTTAAAAGCACAACTCTACAAATCAATTTTGTCAAAATAACACCAGCCACTGCAACAGCATGCAAACAAGTGAAGAAAAGGGATGTGATATTTAGATCGGTACGGAGAACATCAGTTGAATCTTAACCAGGAAGAACCAAGTGGTTTCTACATAACCCACAACCACAATAGGTGTATGGTGGTGTCGGAGGGAGGTGGGCAACGTGGAAGGTCAGTTGTCATGTGATGTCATGTGATGTGTCATGTGAGCTGGCAGCACACATCAAAACAAAGACGTAGAAAGCTGTCGTCAGACCGACTGACTGTGTTAGGATAGAACAGGAGACTGAATGACCCCTCCCAGTGTCTAGGTCTAGTGCCCAACGTCACATAGCAAGCCAAACTCAGCATCCATAATGCCCGAACGTATGCAACAAATAAGTGTTTCACCTTGATCACTATTCTCATCCATTTCTGTAGCACTTATGTGTGTAATTTCCAGAGTGTCAAACATTGGGGGCTCCTCTGGAATGTGGAACAAAGGGAAGTAGTTCATAGGAAAACAGCACCAACGGCTGCCTCACCATCCAATAGGAAGACTCAAACTGGATTTGCATCAATGCAATTTGGGCTAACAGAAAATCTCTATTATATTTTTAGTAACTCACAATCTCTATCTATTTTATTCTTAGTAACTGACAGAAGAATTAAATCTTAAAGACTTAGATTCTAATACATGTACTACATTACATGTAACACCTTTACACTTAAATCAGTGTTTTACAACTTTACTAATATTTTCGATTGAAGTTATCTAAGAACCAGAAAAACAACTAAGTTCTTTTACACGTCTAAGAATGAGCTGAACAGACTACAAGATGAGTGTTATCTGTGCCTGAGGAAAACAAACACTGTGATGTATTAAGAGAACACTAAATTATTTGTACACTCACTAGGGGGCAGGCCTGAAAACATAAGGTGTCACACATGATAGGTGTCATGAAAGTAGTATTCAATATAAATCAGTTGCCTCAACTCTACAACCTGGAATAAATTCAGTATCAATCACTGTCAGATGTCATACATCACTTCTCAATGCTGGAAGTAAATACTGCCCAATCCACAAAAACTTGAATGTTTCCTCATAAGGTAGTACCCTTTTAGGCCAAGATTCATTCAAAGCCCTTACAGTCATGTCCGTCAAGAATGTCTGAAACACTACAGCTACCCCAAAAAGTACAATTCATCAGCAGTACATTCTCTCTTTTTGTGTATCTGCTCTGAGGAAAATTTGCAACAAATTAGTCATTGATAATCAATAAACTGCAATAACATCAAAAACGCACAATTTGTAACACAAAAGACAGTTATATACACATTGTTATAGTACAGCCCTCGATATTACCAATTAACTCTTTAGCCCTTGGCATGTGCTTGCTGACCATCAAGTGTACCACATCTCAAATGTTAACACATTGTTATTCTGATTAGAGCCCTTCAACTGTCAGAGCCTGCCTTACGTACAACTATATTTACCTGATCACAAATGTAATCAGAGGTGTTCAACCAATGACAAGTAGTGCTTTCCTAACAACTATGTGTATCACACATCTCAAACATTAATATATTCTTATCTTAATTACTGCAATTGAACCTTTGGCAACTACTTTCCTAACAACTATGTGTAACCATTTGTAATGAGGACTGTTCAACCGTCAGTAACTAATTTCCCAACAACTGTCCATACCTGCATAATGCGAGATCTTGGCCAACCAGGATGTCATCTCCTCCGTGCTTGTCGTCTCCAGCAAGTACTCAGAGCCGTCATTGAGGTGCAAACGCAACACGTTCTTCTTCTTGGTGTAGTCGGCTGCGACCTCACAGTCTGCCTTGTGGATGTTGAGTGGAGGAGCTGCTGCCTGGCTTTCACTGTAGGCTGGAAACCAACACAGCCAGTCAGTGAGTGAGTGAGTGCTGCGTCGCACATTATCAAAGCTTGGAGTGAGAAAGGGTTTTGGGGGGATACATTTCAACAAAGTTGCTTTCTGGAGTAAAAGCAATAGTAATAAAGGCCAAAAACACTGAAAGGACAATCCTACCTTCCTTATCCTTGAAGAAACACAACAGTTGTCCAAATAGCACCGTATAAAAGTTTTTCCAGGACCGAATGGTTGCCTTCTTCCCTCCGATCTGCAGCTCCTGCTTCCGGTCCACGTACCCCTCCAGTTCCGCTGGGGGCAGGTCTGCTGGGAGCTTGTACTTATCCTTAAAGCTTCGTGTCCGTCGGCGGATGTTAAAACTGGGAGTTCTCTTTGACTTCCTCTCATCCTTCACCTGCTCAGACCTCTTCTGCTTGGGACTGAGAGGTGGGGACATTGTGAGGGCCTCTTTCTTGGTGAATGTCGGTGAAGAAGGAGCCTCTCCTTCCGGCTCCTCCGTGTGATGCTCCACATGATGCTGCATGGCCTCGGGGGGGAGGAGCCATGGGCAGACTTGGAGCACTCACCTCGTCACCACCATCTGCTTCGTCCTGGCAGACACGGTTCAGTGCATCGTTCAGTTTCTGTTCTAAGTTGTCACTGCCATGATCTGAATCGATGGACGTTGAGAACTTGGGTGTCTCTCCCTGCTTAAACTCCATTGCCTTCTGTAGAGACACTGGAGACAGGGGTTGGTCTCCTCTCTGTTTAAAACTGATTGCACGACGCACATCATTTCGCTTAGCAATGTCTGGTTTGGTCACATTCTTGATGCTCTGAGAACGGCCAATGAGATTCTTTACTGTTGATCTATCCAGCTTTTCGTCTCTAGAAATACAAAGGTAAATTTCAAAGAAAAGCAAATAAAAGATATAAAAAGTCATGTCAGAAGTTGATCAGGTCATGATAATACTCTGAACTTTAATACAAAGGAGAGGTCAGTGAACAGTTAACATCTGACTTCTTTCACAATCAGTATCGCCCACATCTTAACTATCATCAAATGTTGTAAACTGTACTCACTTTCCATCATCGTCATCACCTTCATCTTCACGCTGGCGACGCAACAACACTTCCCGATTACGTCTCTGTTCTTCCTCTCGTCGTCGCTCCTGAAATAGGACACAGATGTTGTCTCAGTTCGCAGTCCAAAAAAGAATCACCACACCACCTCACAAAATGAACAAAGCAACATTATAACACAAGATACACTTTTGAAATACTATTCAATTCTTAATCTGCTTTGATCTTTTATTTACAGGAGTAGCAGCTTATCAAAAGTTTTTGGTTTGTTGCTGTTTTCTACCATCACAGCAAAGATGGTGGTTTCTCATAAAGAACCATCTTATAACATATTTCTTCAAAATACATGCCTATATTCCATTATAAAACAATTCACTTGTTAAACTGTACTACCTTAGAGTTATTACTCTTTCAAAGGAAAAAAAATCCTCACCAAATTATAAATACTGGATCAAACTTTTTACCTCTTTGTTAGTTTCCATGGTAACTCCATTACCGATCCACGACAAACAAAATTAATTTCAAAGCAAGCTCTAGTTGCACATAAAAGCAAAAGACCAAAAATATTGGAATGAAAGAATGAAACAAATCAAGAATGATTCACACGACATGGACAAAGTGATCACGTGACTGATCATGTGACTGACAAAACAAATATCACCTGTGATAAGGTCAAGGTCAAGAAAAAGATGAGACTTTAAGCAAAGTGAACTATCAAACAATGACTTGAAATTGAGCATGAACACACACAAATTAGCACACACTAATTACAAAAAGGATCACACATCTTGTGAAAAAAAGCCCTCCCCCCAAGGAACAAACTGACTGCAATCATATCTGTTGGAAGGATCCACCTCTTTTGGATATACATCACAAGCTTATACAGAAGCTGGTCCCATCTTATAAGTGTATTAACAAATGTTAGGATGCGTCCATTACATCATCGTTAACAGATTAAGTGATTACTCATCCCCTTGACATACTGTGAAAACCCCCAACAATGTTCATCATCAACGTGCTGATGGAAAACAAACCTAAAAAAACAACATGATGAAACTATGGAAACTATGGAAATATGAAAATATGTCACAAGCATCTTACACGACAGAAAATGATCACTTGTACAAAACAGATTGAAATGATACCAGCTAATCTTACCTACATTATATTTGGACGTGCATGACCTAGTGAGAGTGAACTGAATGCTTGAAGTACGAAACGAAACAGTTTAACTAGGACCTAAATCAGCCACTGGTTAAAAGCATGAGAGTCAATCTCTATCATTAATCATCCCGTAGTGACAGCTGGTACATGCATCAATCATCCATGAATGCATATAATACATATAATATTGTGGCAAACAACTCTATAAGCTAATCAACCTCTGACTGACTGACTGACCAACTGAGTTTGGTTTTACGCCGCTTTTAGCAATATTCCAGCAACATCACGACGAGCCAACGCTTTAACCATTAGGCTACCCCACCGCCCCGAACCTCTGACAACAACCAGAGTGACTTGACTTGGATACCTCAGAGCACTATTGTTGTTTTGGGTTTGGTTTGTTGTTTTGAGTGTATGTTGCACTCAGCAATATTCCAGCTAGACGGCAGCGGTCTGTAAATAATCAAGTCTGGACCAGACAATCCAGTGATCAACGGCAAGAGCATCGATCTACGAATTGGGATATGATGACGTGTCAACCAAGTCAGTGAGCCTGACCACTAGATCCTGTTAGTCCTTCTTACAACAAGCATGGGTTACTGAACATCAATTCTAACCCCGACCTTCATGGCTCAGTCTGTTTTGGCTTGCTTCACACACACTACACCAACCAGACATACCTAACAGGTATCACTCCCAGCTGTTTTCTACAGTGATCATTTTCCCCATGCACCCCCCGCCACTCACTGTCTGTTGACCATGAACATATAGACACCCCAAAGAGGAGAGAATTAAACGGGAGGCATGCGGTTAGTGAGACACATAGGAACGAGCATATACTACCAATCAACATTTGCACGTCAAAATTACACATACAGCTCTCTGTGTCTGCAAAAGAAAGGGTCACCATGTCATGGGCATGACCATGCCGATACAAGCACTGACATGCATAATCAGACAATACATTAAACATCTAAACATGCCCAAACCATGAACCGATCGGTTAGGCCTATATTCAGAGTGAGTGAGTGGGTCGAGTTTACTGCTCATTCCAGCAGTACAACTGCAAGGTGTATGAAGCCGAGATGACCAGTTTTAACTGTATGGTGTTGGCATGACAACACTTCTTACAGAGAACGACCTGGTGCAACTCGGCACACCCTATCCCAGTGTTAATCAGTGCATGCCTCACAAATAAACAGTTACGTTCTTCTATTTCTGTGAAACGTTTAACACATGCAACATGATGAGAAATACATGTTAGACTCTAAATCCAGTCCTTGCTTTTACACAAGGATGGAGACATAGGCAGATTAGTGGAAGAGTGCATCAACTCTCTACATGTGCTGGTGCAGTAATGGCTGACTAAGTTAATATAATCTACCATCACCTGTCATGTTAGTATGAAAGGACTACATCCTTAATATCTTTCAACCATCATAATCCTTGGTTGTTTATACCAATTCCAACATTCCATTTCTAAAGGTAAGTTAGTGTGCAAGGATCATGGTATTTGTAAAATAAGCTAGTGTAAAAGCTGAAAAGCCCCTCCCATGTGGAACCAATTATAGTCTTACACTAAGAAAATGTCTTCCCTTTCCAAAAGCTTGTATGAAAAAAAGGAAGCAAGCCCCTCCACTACATATAAAGCTACTAATGGCATCATGTATCATTTTTATCAACTGGACATTTTACACTCATTTCTGAATTTTTCTTCAGTAAACAAATTTGGATCTTTAACCAAATTACTGACTGAAAGTACATTTAGAGTAGTTAAAATATTGTTTCCATGACGATAACCAATTAAGAGTGCCTCTCTCAACTAGAATGTTATTAGTACCCTTTGTATATGATGGCCCAGGACATGTCCTGGAAGAGACTCCAGTGACCTTGACCTCTACTGACCTCAAGTATCCTGTCCTGTTCTTTCCGGCGGAGTTCATCGAGCCTGTCCTTCTCTCTGCGAGCCTCATCAGCCACCATCAGTTGCTGTTCCATTAGCCTCTGTTTGGCAAACGCCTTCTCAATCTGTGAACAGACAGCCGGGGTAAGCTGTGGCCAGTGATGTCAAAACTACTATGCTTCATATTCATTCGTAACATCACATCTCTACTGATCTTCTCATCTTTAATGCATTATGTTCTTAGACACCAGAAAAATATAGAAGAAAATTTGAAAATATTCAGGATATTTTTCACTAAGAACAATCAACTGCTGACAAAATGAATCAGACAAAAAGAATGAAAAGAGTCTGCAAAACAATTAGATGAGAACTTAGTGTATGTTATAGGTAGATGTAAGGACAGTCTCATCACCTCAGTGCCACGCATCAGAGCCATGAACTTCTCCTCCTGGGCATCAACGGTTTTCTCGAAGTCCGCATGGCGCCTCAGCAGCTCCTCAACAGCAGATATGGAGTTGCCGTAGTTCTTCTCCCGCAGCAACGGTTCCCGCAGGTTCATCCAGGCGTCCAGTTGTTCCATCTCATGGCGCAGACGCTACAGATACATTCAAACAATCAGCACTGTGCTACAAAAAAATGCTTGGTTCCCATAAATGGCTTCCTAGATTCAGACGCTGCTGCCAAGACACATCCTAGAAGATCTACTACATGATTCAGGGAGGAATCACACTACTCAGAATTAAACATACAATGACTTGAATGAAGTAATCTCAGTAGTTACAGAGTCAAAAAGGATCTGATCCATCTGATGACATTCAGGATTTGATCCCACATTCTCAGAGTAAGAAACCTAAGCACCAGCACACAGAGCCAGAGATCTGACCCACTCAGCCACCACGGTTTCATGGTTACTTCCTGCTGGTTACCTACATTAGAAACTCTTGTTTCCACATAGTCAGGCACTAAGGAAGGTGCAGTTGCTATAGAAACCAAATCACTACGAAGGTTGTGTAGGATACATACCTGAGCCTCCAGGTTCTGTTCATGCAACAGCTGCCTGTGTTCCAGCGTGCGCAACAAACCATCATGAGATTCTTTCAACTGATTGATCTTCTCCTGGATCTGAAAACATCAAAGGACACATCAACATCAACAATTAGATTGAGGACAAAACGGTTATCAGCTTACCAGGACAAAGAAAATCCTTGTTGTTAAAGAACATCTTGTTATTCCGATCAACAACATACCTCATCAGACAAGAAGTGGCCTTTGCTTATGAGATGTTTGCCCGTCTGCTCGAACTTGACAAAGGCCTCCTCCTGACTGTCCACCTCAGCCTTGTGCTCCTTGTATCGGGCAACCATGGCTTCAGCAGACGGCAGGTCCCGCGCCAACTCGTCTGCAGTGAGGATGGCCATCATCTCACTGATCCAAGCCCTGTCATGAGTACAAGTTGAGTAAGAAGGTTAATGCTGATCACCTTCCCTCAAGTCAATTGACACTACTTAGTGTAAAAATGTCTAAAATCTAAACTTGCTTTAATCACTTTGAACTTCAGTGAGTAAATGATTGTTCTGCTTCGTGTTAACATTCTAGTCTCGACATGAAATGAGGCCAAATGAGGTTAAAAGCAAGATCGTCAAGGTTACTGAACCCATAATGTGGCAAAGTGGCTTTAAACGTGTTCGAGATTACTGAACTTTTACAGCGACATGCATGCATATGTGGGTGAGTTCCTGTAGCATTCAGTCCAGTGCCAGCCCACCGAGATACCATCTTATAGTTTACAAAGACATCCTGCTCAGACACAGCATACTCAGACACTGTTCTTGTTTTATCCTCTTAATGCCATGCAAGAGGCAGGGAAATAGATGCCATATTCTTTGACATTTGGTATGAGGGAACCTGGGTTCAAACCACCGAGCTTTTGTTCTCAGTTTCAGAATGTAAACATGTTGAAAGTATAAGCAATGCTCACACCATGGTGATGACACAATATCAGTCAGTTCACATACAGCAACCACTAGATACTGTGTCAAACATGGACTTGTGACGACCTGGATACATCTTACACTATACACTCACGTGAGTTCCCTGTAGTCGTTGAAGTACATCTGCAACTGCTGCGCCTGTTGCAGCTTCTCCTTCCTCATCGTGGACTTCTCCACCAGGTAGTTCCAGGCTTGAACCATCTCCTCATGCTTGGCTGCAACATGCTCCTGGGCATCTGGGTAATGGCCAAGAAGGCTCTCGGCCTCCTTCGTAATTGTCTCCACATGCTCACTAATGGCTGCAAGTCTCTCTGCATATTGAGATTTTATGGTGAGATGTTGAGGTAAAAAGAATCTTGCAGCATTTCTTCAAGCAATGTTCTTTTCTCTTAGTATTCAGTGCCTAAAGTATTTAACCAAACCTGCAGAGGTTTTCAATTCTTTTGAAGAGATTGTCCTTAGGGTACATATTATGCATTTTCTCCGGCTGAAAAATGTCCTCAATCAATGTTTTTGAATAAAAAGACGTTGTACTAAATAAACTCTTTTATTTATTATAATCGGACCCTACCTCACGGGTTGGCCTCCCTTAGGCATGCTTGCCAACACTAATTTCAGGTCAACAACTGAATGGAAATAGCCTAGGTGTGAGAAAGTGGGACCGACAGCCAATCGGAGCTTCGACAAATCCACAAAGGTGGACTGGTTCGCGCCTGAGGCAGGTCGAATCCGCTCATCTGTAGAGGGTGCTGCCCCAGAAGAGCACCATCGACAGGGTGAAAAGTGGAAATAGCGGTGGAGTAGCGAATGGTCTCTTCTTCCAAACGAGCTTGCAAAACTCCAATACTGACTAAATCCGCAGAAAAAGCGGGATCTGCAATCCCCTATCTGAACACCAGCGCCAAGATAGCGACCACCCTATCCCTCGTACTGAACGCTTATCGAATCCCTCCCGAAGCCACTGCAACTGCTGCAGGAATTCACGCCCGAGGTTAGAGGCAGTCTCTCTGCATATTGAGATTTTAAGGTGAGATGTTGAGGCAAAGAGAATCCTCAAAGCTACTTTTTATGGGGTACTACAATTCAACCAGTTTTACAGTATTTCTTCAAGCAATGTTCTTTTTCTCTTAGCATTCAGTGCCTAAAGTATTAGTGAAATACTTGAATCACTTGTAGCTGAAGGACTTGAGACACAACTCAGATATCTGATTAAGTAAATATCTCCGCTTGGTTCTACAGCAGGATGGCAGCAACAGGGCTTCAGACTGAAAAATCTTAACAGAACAAAACCCCAGGTAGTGATGTTAGCAAGCACGAAGACTACTGAGATACTACCCCAACATCTGTAATTACAGCACTACAGAAAGAAACCCACACTTGTCTCTCGGTTCATCAGAGAAGAGTTGTATTGCGAACTCACCTCCAAGCCTTCATGGCGACTTAGAAGAGCCTGGACACTCTCCAGGTCATGGCCGTAGTCATCACTGCTGACCACGGTGTCCTTCTCCTGTATCCACTCCAGGGTGTCGTCAGCGTCCCGTCCATACATGTGCACCTCCTTCGCTCCACTCAGAGCCTGGGGACATCACAACACACAGGATTAGCACAGTCACGACAATTGTTTGGAACCAAACAACAAGAGTATATTGAGGGTTGAGGATAAACTGCATACCATTGAGAGTTAACGGTATATCATTTTCAACAAGCTGGAAAGAGTGAGTGAGTGAGTTTAGTTTTATGCCGCTTTTAGCAATATTCCAGCAATATCACAGCGGGGGACACCAGAAATGGACTTAACACATTGTGCCCATGTGGGGAATCAAACCCAGGTTTTCGGCGTGACAAGCGAACGCCTTAACCACTAGGCTACCCCACCACCCCAGCTGGAAAGAGATTTGTGATTTGACATGGTGATGACTGACCTCTCTCCTGGCATCAGCAAGTTCTTTAAGTTCAGACCAGATTTGCCGGATTTCCTCAGCCCGTGCCTTGATCTTGGTGGACTCAAAATGATTGCTTGAAATCATATTCTGTGCCATGGCTAATACCGAGTTAATCCGTTCCTCATTTGACGAGAGTTCATGTACAAAGTCCTCAAATCGTTGTTGCAATACCTTGAGAAAGGAATATTCATGATCATAATTATGTGTCTACACATAGTTCCTTTAATGTATACAATGCATATCAGCCCAAAATCATGCAACTGCTTTAGAAGATCTGACCTACCTCAATGTGTTCCAGGTCCTGACCATAGTCCTCGGATGCTGCGCCCACACACTTGTCCGAGATCCAGCTGGACACCTCATTGGCCTCATGGTAGAATTCAAACAGCTTCTTGCTGTCGATGAGCTTGGCCCGTCTCTGATTGACGAGGTCCTGGAGGCGGCTATGCTGCTGCTCGATGTCAGACTGGAGATTGAAATGTTTCAGATTTCAAATCTGGTGGCTTAGGAAATGGGTAACATATTCTTTATTGCACTTTGGAAATTATACAACTAATCCAAAGCCAGAGGACCTGTAAATATTGGGGCTAGAACTGGTCTTCAGCAACCCATGCTTGTCGTAATAGGCAACTAATGGGATCGAGTTATCAGGCTCGCTGACATGGTTGACACATGTCATCGTTACCAAATTGTCTAGATCAATGCTCATGCTGTTAATCACTGGATTGTCTGGGCCAGACTCAATTATTTTCAGACTGCTGCCATATAGCTGGAATATTGCTCTAAAATATTGCATTAAACAACAAACCAAATCAAACCAAACCAAAGCCAGAGTCAAGTCAAGTTCTGATCAGTCTACTCTTGCTAAACATTAAGTGTGAACTTATTATTTGAACCCAATATTTGGAACAGTCTGTTAAGATGCCAGGTTCAGAGAGTACTTTGAATCATTAATATGGTGATGGTGGAGCATTACTCGCCACCATGTTGACCAACGTGGCATGAGACCCAGACTGCTCCAATTTGCAACATGGCCTTGACATTTGACTCACTTGTTTTTTCTTTATGTTGGCACTGTCGTAGTGTTCCTTCTCTGTGATTGTCCGACTAAGGGCAGACAACTCTCCAATGCTGTTGCTGAAGTTGTCAATGTCTCTCTCCAAGGCATCTAGTTTCTTCATCAATGCCTGGAATACAATTCTTATTCTTATTCTCCTAAAACATTGTTACAGTCAAATGATTAAACACAAATCAAAACAAGAAATTTGTATACAGTCCAATAGGAAGATGTTTCATCATCATCAAGGTGTCATCAGCGCCTTGAGCATGTACTAGTTGCATGGATATGTGCGCTATATAAATATCCTATCATCATCATCACCATCATCATCCTTTTCAGAACAAATGACAAAAAGAAACTACATACGAAATTGTTCTTCAGACAATTTTCTGCCTATGTACGGAAATGATACCGTACTGATGGATGCCAACTTTAAAGCTGTGGACACAGAAAGCACACCAACCTGAACCTGGTCTCCGTCGCGTCCGAGATCAGAGCTCGTCAACTGTGGCAGCTTCTCATTCATCCATGCCTCAGCTTCAGCAACTTCAGTGTAAAACTGAAAAGAAGTTAAAAATAACATCACATCACTGTCATAAGATCCATGAACTTCTTCTGACCATTCCAAATACCAACTGCATCATCATACATGCAAACTCGCATTTGTAATTATTTCCTGGATTGAAAAAATTACCACCACTGAAGCCCCTAACACTCACCATTTTTCAAAAGACATTCTCCGAGAACTAGTCTTTTTTACCTTTTTTAAGTCTATTATTATTTCGTGGGCATTCTAGATAATCAGACTGAATGAAGCTGGCCATATCAGTTTGTACAGTACTGTAAATCGTATTCACCTTCTGTGCCTCTAGAGCTTCCTGTAGCTTGAGTTTCCTGGTTGTGGTAGTCTTCTTGAGCCGCTGCAGTTGACCGTGCAGGTCATCAAGACGAGACTGGATATCCTGAGAGGCGAAGTGCTTGCTACGGACCATCAACTGGGCTGCATTAGCCACCGATTCGATAAGAGGTTCGTGAGCCACTATCTCGACTCCAAGGTCTGGGAAACAGAAGATAATCACAATGACCTCCCTGGTAGGCAGCAGATTAAAGTACCAATGAAACGAATGTCACTGTAAACTGCCCAAAATGTCCCTTGACTTTCAGGATGTCAGAATGTTTACAGGACACCAATTATTCCACTATCAGAACATTTTGGTAACAATTCTACAAAAACGAGCAAAAAGTAGCCCTAAGAATCTTCATGCTCCATATTCACTCAAGTGTAAAGATTAAGAATCTACAAATTCATCTGACAGTTTTAAGGGTTCAATAGCAAAATGCACTGTCCAAAAGGATTCTGAAATCAAAGTGAGCCATTGTAGAGCTAATCATGGACAGAGTTGTTGGTTTGTACCTGAGATCAGATATAAGGTAATGTATCAAACTAATTCTTTACAAGCGGTTGATGTTTATTTATCATTTGACAGGAAAGGTTGTTTCACAAGAGTGAGAGAGTGATTACTGCTTAATTCATCATCAACATTGCACATCTTCACAGTGAGCTGTCATGTGTGATGTGTAAAACACAGGTCATGCGGTGTTCAATAAATCATGTGACAATCCGTGAAACACATCCCTAACATCATGCAACACATCACTGTGGATGGTGACTTACACTTAAATGCATCTCCTGAACACACAGAAAGAGAAACTTGAAATTTGTGATGCTATTCATATTCTGTATTCATGTGAAATCCAAAACATTTATTGTGCAATGGTGGAATTATCAGACTGGTTTCCTCTCAACAACAACAAAGTTGGCTTAAACTTTTTCACCATACTTTCCGAATCGTTAACTTCATAAAGACAATAAAAAAAACATTTATTAGTCAGTAGTTAGAACGAATCCATCAATCATACTTCAATTTTCTTGACAATCAAAGTTCAATTTCTTAAGATCTAGCTCTTAAACATATGTCAGTTAAGAATTGACTTCAAAGTTTGTGTTCCTGGACACATACTGTAAAAACTAGTAGGCATAATGAGTACATCCTAAAGTCTGACTGAGTTCTGGTTTTACGCTGCTTTTAGCAATATTCCAGCAACATCATGGCAGGGGACACCAGAAATGGGCTTCACACATTGTACCCATGTGGGGATTCGAACCCTGGTTTTCGGCATGACGAGCCAACGCTTTAACCACTAGGCTACCCCACCGTCCCATATGCTAAAGTCAATATTTATGAACAATAATAACTTCACAGACTGCTTATTCATTTACAGGCAACAAATGAAATCAGTGATGACCTTCAGTATAATTAGACAACACAGGCCCTGCCTATTTATTTATCATCCAATCAGGAAACAGACATCATGATCAGTTAGTGGGTGTGGCCTATGTCTTTCTTTGTTTTATGGAAACCTAAATGCAAACATCTCATATAGTCAACCAATAAAATGACACTGAATAACTTGTCATGTATTTATAAGAATTTATAAAGTGATATTAACCTCCCTTGCCATAAACAGATCCGTGTTATTAAGAGAAATTTACCTGATGCTTCTTCATGAGATTCTGAACATCTGACAAAGAATGACCCAGATCAGTGGACTCTGCTGTTGGTCTTTTTCTTGTATCCATGACAACTCATCCTCCACGTCTCGGAAGAACTGGTACATTCTTAGAGCCTCCTCCAGATTGTCTCGTCGAATGTGACACGGCTCTGACAACGAGTTGTACCTGTAGGAGGGAACTGACTTGTTCACAATGAACACTCTTCAACTTTCAGAAACACTGCAGCTCTTATACTACTTCCTTTAACATCACAATCCTTGAGATGAATATGACCGACATCTGTATTTATAAACAAAGAATCCAATTACACATACCTGATAGAGACCTTATATACCCCAACCTAAAGGTATCCAGGAGATTTGGATGTCTCACATGACCTACAGGTAACCATTATACATGGACCTGTCATGACTTACACGTACCCATCAAGCGCCAGCTGTTTGGAGATATCATGTGACAAATAAGTATCCAATACACACTGACCTCTCGGAGACCTCGCGTGCAGTGGCTTGCAGTTCCTTGTTGAGGAAGTGTCGTGACTCCCTGAACACCTGTGCAGCGTCCAGAACGTCTTGCACCTTCTCCTGGTGTGTCAAGATGTCCTGCTCCAGTTGCTGCAACAACGCCACAATCACACTTTATTCTAGTAACCTGTACAACAGCTCCGGATCAGGCTTTAAAATCTCTTTACTGGGAACAAATGTGCATAAGCCCACCTAGAAAATCAGTAAAGGTTGTGATGCTTAGCACATACCTGATGTTTCTTGAGCAGTGCGTTGACAGTTGTGAGGTCCTTGCCATGGTCTTCGGACTCCAGCTGGTTCTCGACCTCGTCCATCCATGTGTTGAGGTCGTCTGCCACACGGTTGAACAGCATGGCCTGACAGAAGAGAGTGCAATGTTTTTAATCATACTCACATTCATATTAACATCAATAACATTGTGGGTGTGGAAATGTCCAATCGATTTATCCAGTTTTTAAGTTTCTCCAAGTTCATCAAATGGTGTATCACATGTAACAGTCGTACCCTGTAGGCATCCTGCAAACGGTCCTTCTTCTCAGTGCTGGCGGCAATGAGGGCTTGCCAGCTGAGTTCCAGTTCCTCAAGCCTCTTTCTGATGTCCGGTGTGGCGTAATGTGAGTCATCTATCAGTCCTTGACCCTCCTGTAACAAACATGTCAGTCATGATGGTTACTATGGACTTCAAGGGGTGAGTGAGTGAGTTTAGTTTTACGCTGCACTCAGCAATCTTCCAACTATATTTCGGGGCCTGTAAATAATCGAGTCTGGACAAGAAAATCCAGTGATCAACAGCATGAGCATCTATCAGCACAATTGGGAACCGATGGCATGTGTCAACCAAGTCAGCGAGCCTGACCACCTGATCCCGTTAGTCGCCTCTTATGACAAGCATGGGTTACTGAAGGTTCATTCTACCCCGGATCTTCTCAGGTCACGGACTTCAAGGAGGTTTGATAAACACATAACAGATGACTTGTCCTGCAGTCACTTTGAGGAGCAATGGGAGATACCCAGCTATGGTTTGACAAGGCAACACCTTAAGGTACTGGGTTCCATTGGACAAAACAACCTTACCTTAATGATAATCGTGTTAAGGTATGGGAGTTAGTGCTATGTTCACACTTACATGCACAACAGCATCTACTCTGTTTCTGTTGGATGTGAGTTCAGCCTCGAATGCTGTGTGTTTCTGGAGCTTGTTCTGGAGGTTGACAGGGTCGCGGTAAGACTCATCAAGGGCGACCTGCAGCTTCTCGTTGATCCAGCCAGAAACCTGAAGAAGCAGAAAGTCTCATGACAATTAACTAGCATACAAAATGATACAACCCTTCAACGTCATACAGTTTCCCCAATCACTACTGACAAACGATGGACATGGTTTTCACTATTCAAGGAACACTATTTAAGTGCAACTCTTTAAAATCTATTTTTAAATCAAAGAGATTTCTGTCTCAAAGTATTTACTCCTAAGTGGGTACCTTGTAACAAGGACGATTATCTTGGGTATCAGTTTCCCTAATAAGCCGTGACTGTTCATATGCGATGCTAACATTCTTGTTCATACTGTGAAGTCAACGCTATCATGTATTTCCTCCTATTTAAACTTAAATCTCAAGAGCAATCATACCAAATGGAAGGAAATTACTACAATATAGACAAGATTTTGATTTGTTGGTTTGTTGCAATATTCCAGATATATTGCATCTGTCTGCAAATCAGCCAATCTGGACGAGACGAGTGAGTGATCAACATCATGAGCATCATTCTACGCAAGTGGGTAACGATGACAAATATGGACAAGAATGTGTGTTGAGTAATCTGACAAGAGACTCACCTCATAGAGATTCCTGAGGAAAAGCTGGTAGTGGCGTGAATCCTCCAACTTCCTGCGTCTGGCTGCAGCAAGCTGCCACATGTTGTCCCTGCGCTTTGAGGACCGTCTGACAGCGGGATGTGATCTCGTCCTTGGCATAGTGCTGCTGTGTACACAGGTCAGTGGCGAACTGGTTCAGGTCCTCGATGCGGTCCTCCTGGGCCTTCACTGTCTTCTCAAAGCCGTCGTGTTTCTTCAGTAGGCTCTCTACGCTGTACAGAGTGTGCTGCAATTGACAACAGACGTCAATGTTTTCATGTCAATGATGGAATGTGATCAAGAGGGCTCAAACATTCTTTTCACAAACACTAGATATTGTAATGCTTTCAACCCATTAGTTCATGATATGAACATTAACTTGTGTTCTACAGCTGCATCACATGTTAAAGGTGTTCTTTCTCTGATATTTTACATCTCAAACCCAATACCCATCCCCTCCTGTGTTAAGTGAGTATGGTTTTACCCTGCTTTAAGCAATATTCGAGCAATACCACAGCGGGGACACCAGAAATGGCCTTCACATATTGTACCCATGTGGGGAATCGAACCTTAGTCTTTGGCATGAAGAGCGAACACTTTATCCACTAGACTACCCAACCGCCCCTCTCTTGTTTTAAGACACTCCATATTATAGGAGCCATTGTAAACCACAAATACATCTTTAAATATATAGTCAAAGCATATGTGAGTGAGTGAGCTTAGTTTTACACCGCTTTTAGCAATATTCCAGCAATATCACAGTGGGGGATACCAGAAATGGGGCTTCGCACAATGTTCCCATGTGGGGAATTGAACCTGGGTCTTCTGTGTGATGAGTGAACACTTTAACCACTGGGCTACCCCGTCGCCCCTAACGCATATGTGAACAAGATTAACATACTACTAAAAGGCCCTTGGCTCATCTCAAAGCCTCAGTAGAAATTACTGTAGACTGCATCAGTCAAACATATTGACACACTGGATCTGTGTTCTGATAATGCAGCACTCACTCCAAGATCTTCGTTTGCCAGAAAAGCCTCCTTGGTGGCAAGCCATGTGTCGGCCTGCTCTGCGGTCTCCTTGAAGACCTGGAGGTCGTGACACTGCGTGAGGAGATGGTTCCGCTTGTCCCACGACCCACTCAGGGCCAACTTGGTCTTCTCCAGCTCCTTCACTGTCTTCTGGATCTGCTCCGTGGCGTAGTGCTGGTTGTTCACCAGGTTCATCCCACTCTCCCGGATGGACGTGAAGTGAGTCTTGCGGCCGTCGATCTCAGCCTGGAGGACACATTTACTTTGTTGTCATACCCATGCTTTGTTTTAAACATTATTCAATATACTGGATCACAGTGGGATTAACTTTATCCTAGCTGTGTACTTCACTCAAATTTCATATTCAAGCACTCTTTACAAAGTAAACCACAAGAAGTATTTAATGGTAGAATTTAACACAACTCCTGACAGTGCTTTAACCTCCCCAGGAGTGGTTCAAATGCAGTGAATAAAAATCACAGTCACATCTTCAAACAGGTGACATCTTCAAACAGGTGACATCATTTGGTCGAATTATTTTCCCAAATCATACTTGAATACATTTTACTTACAGAAGCCAAATCTCTAATAGAGTCAACATTTTGTTGACATGACATGATGTCCTCTTTCATTTAAGGTGTAGAATTAACACTCGTGATTATAATAGCTAATCTGACTATAAATCAAAGTTTCTGTTCTGGAGAGCTGCACTAACTGCAGGATTCCATGGTGAGCCTACCTTCCTCTCGTGGTGCATCTGGAGGAGGTTCTCTGCCTCGGTCACATCTTTGGCAAGGTCTCCAGAGTTCATCCTAGCCATCATCTCATTGGACCACTGGATCTGTGAGTTCGAACACATCATGATGTAGATGCAGTGAATACAGTATGTTCAGATGTACTGATTCTTTCAACTTATCGAGCCTCTATATCAGCTGATGAGTTGCCATGGCTGCACTTCACTTCACTGCATAGTAATCTGATTTGTTGTGCAATATCACTACCAGATGTAACAAGTGTTGGTCAAAAAAGGTTAAAATGTGACTTGGGAGTCATTCCAACCTACCAGTTCACGAGCATCTGCTAGGAATTTCTGCAGTCTGTATGATTCTGCAAGTTTTGATTTTCTGAAAGAAAATGAATAAACTTTCAATCATTTCTTATTATCCACATTTACACCACAAACTTTAGACGACAGATTCCAAATGAGTTTTCTGTGGACATAAGCATATATCCACTTAATTGGAGCTCAATCTTATTGAGAACACCTGGCATCCCACTGACCTGGTGTCTGACAGTTCCTCCAGCCTCTCCCAGTTGTCCTCCGCCTCCTGTTGCTTCTCCTCGATGGACTTCACCATGTCGGGATGCCTCTTACGTAGTTTCACAGCTTGGGTCTCAATTTTCTGGAAATAAGATGAATTTGTAACAAAGCGAGCAGAACAATCAGATGATTATGTCATAATGAATGTGTCCTTTCGTTATCTGTCCTAACCGAAGAATTAGCTCACCTCCAACTGGTTCTGGAGCGCTGTCATGTCCCGTTCGATGTCCTCCTGCTTTCTCTGCAGCGCCTGCACACCTGCCAGATCCTTCCCAACATCCTCTACCGACAAAAGTGATGCCTTCTCATTAATACGCTCGTTGACATCATCCACGTCCCGGTTGAAGGCATGCATCTCCAGGGCAGCCGCCAGTTTCACCTTGTAGTTGTTGAGGTCTCCTTGTAGGTCCTTCCATCTGGGGTAAAGAGAGAGTGAGTGAGTGAGTTGAGTTTAATCCTGTATTAAATAATAGTTCTGGTATATCACTGTGTGCAAGCATAATGTGTTGAAACATATTTACTGTAGACATGTAACGCTTGGAAATCCATGCATTAGTCTGTGCTGACAGATTCTTTCCCTCACCAGTGAATCCAGGACTATCAAAGGGAAGTAATTCCGTACATTGCATTGTGCCAGTTATGAACCCTGTGTCCATGTCTAGGAGGAAAATGTAACATAAGTTGTCAAGCTAATTGAGAAATAGATAGAAATCTGTTAATGAAGCTGTCTGTCCACTCACTGTTTGTTCATATTGTCCCGCCTCTGTTTGACCGCCTTGGTGTCTGTGCGTCCCTGGGACACGAGTCTGTCAGCCAGGTCATTGATGGCCTTGATACGCTTCTCGTCTACAGTAATGCCCTGCAACAAACATCCCGACATGGTTTCAACTCTAGGTATGCATAAATCTGTAGCTGGGTATTAAGCAGTGACTTCTTTATACAAACTCTTTAGGCCCCACTGACTTATCAGCCAGGATTCATTCAAGTTATTCTGGTGTCAACATGTTCCCATGACTTGCATTCTGACAAATTCTTTAGAAATTATGTGAAGGAAAGGATGAGGATGACTTACAGCAGACTCCTGGTTGTTGACCTTCTTCTGCAGCTCCACGCAGTGCTCGTAGTCACGCCCCATGTTGCCTGCACTCACCAGGGTTTCCTGGGAGGACAAATAGGTATTGTGAGAGAAGCTTGCAGACTAGTCAACACTACTTAAATAATACAGGGAACACATACTCCAGATTGAATATCTAAATTACCATATGCTTGACATTTTTATGTTGATATTTTGTAATCACATTTAAAAATATATTTCAAGACACTATTTTCAATACTGCCTTGACAAAATCATAATGTTTGTTAAATTGACCAAAAAGAACCACAATAAGAAAACATGACTTGTTTTACAAAATTTATACTGATGAACATTCAAAACAAGTAGTCTCATCTATAATGGCATTAATATTCAATGCATCTTTCATAATTGATATTTCCGTACAATTACAAATGTGTTCTACTTAACTGACTAAACTTACTTGATTATCAACAGACAACCCATCTCACCTTTTCTCTGATCCACATTTCAACTCTGTCCACCTGCTCGTTGAACTCCAGGATGTCCTTGGCCTCGCCCAGACCACGACCCCTGTTGGTGGAAGCCTGCAGCAGCTCGTTCCACTTAGCCGTGAGTGTCTGCAGGCACTGCCGGATATCTCCTGAAGCCTGGTGCCGCTTTTGTATGAGGAGATCTCCTTGCTGGGAGGAAGAACAGATCACAGTTAGCATGTGTATATTCTAAAATAGGTAAAATAACATTCATGTCATGCCACTGATTTTCTACTCACGAATTTTGAATTTCTGGTTAAAAAGAATCGATGAACAAGATGTGAGCATGAATACACAATGTTCTTTAGAAAGTGGTCAAATGTAACACAAGTTATATTTGGGATTACTCTTTCTCAGTAAAGTATAGATTCTAATACTTTTGGGGGTGGAGTTCCATCCGGTATTTGAACCCACACTCTCAGAGTGAGGCAACTGATCGCCAGCGAAGTGAGCAGTTTGAACTTAAGTCCACATTTAAATTATAGGACAAGGTACAGTAACATACATTGTAGATGTTTGCCACTAATGGAACAGAGACACAATGGCATGGAACTACAGTTGGTGGTAGAGCTGGCCCTGTGGCTGCACTCATGTTATCAGTGATTACAGCTGAGGCATTATGTGACTATAGGCATACCTCCTTGATCTTACTGATCCTGTCAGTGTTGGCCACAATCTCGGCCTCAAAAGCTTGATGCTTCTGTAGCTTCTTCATCTTGTCGTACAGGTCAGTGACGTCCTGGAAGTCGTCCTCATACGCCACCTTCAGCTTGTCGTCAATCCAGCCTTCAGCCTGCCACATGGGAGAGACATTAACATCAAGGTAACATGGACGATAGTGGTGAGAGTTGGGTTTTATGCCACTCTGAATGGTATTCCAGTCACATCAGAGCATGTAATCCTAGCATGGGAGGAAAGCCCTAAGTAATGCAGGTATTAGACGGTTACCACTCTGGCAAAATCCACAGATGTAAACACACCAAGAAAATAAATTAGCAGAATTCAAACCCATGAACACCCGTAAATATTGTGTCCCTAGATCTAAAAATATTCAAATACAATATCATCTTTTCTGCTGAATTGCACAAGGGTTATTTTTCTGCAATAAATTTTCAAAAACTGTGGCCTTCTCTTATCATTTATAATTTCAAATGAATGTCACATGAAGCATGCCCTTGTCCATACTTTAAGATCATCGCAAAGTGCTACAATATCCTCCATGTCGGACACTCGAGTCCTGTATGATCACAACAACTGTCTGTGGTTCTACAATACCCACACTGAGGGATAAACAGTAAACACCGTCTCATGCACACAATGGACCAGTGTGTAATGGCCACAATGATGCTGACTCATCACAAATTTGTTAGGGCCCAAGGCATAAAGACAACTTAGTATATCTCATCATCCAGGTATCCCAGGACCAGTAACTCAAGTAGGCTTCATGCCATTAGGAGACTGGTGGTTTATGTGAGGTCCACTTTATGATGCTGCCTTGAAGAGACACAGTGACACTCACCTCAGCAACATCTCTGTTGAAGTTGGCATATAACATGTTGTCTGATATTCTGTTCTTTCTCTGGGAACTCAAATCTTTGATATGACCTCGTCTGGACAATAAATAATAAAAAAACGCAATGAATATCGAACAATGAAACTGTGGAAACTATGGCTAGAACATATCAGGATGTGGTGAGTCAATCTGTAAATCTGCATGAGGTGTATAAGTGAGTGAGTTGTGTTCAAGTCCAGTTACATCACAGCATCTCAGTCGGATATGGAAAAAAAGCCTGCAGTGCAGTCTTGAGACATTTTGTTCCTGTGGTTCAACCAACGAGCAATGGTAGGTTTGATCCTGACAAACCTTGAAACATAATTGGGTGAACTAGAGTTCAAACCCTCAATCAGGTTTATGGCATAACCAAGGGCAACAACTCTGCACAGCGAAATGTGGCACCCTAGCGACTGAGTGAGTTTAGTTTTACGACGCACTCAGCATTATCCCAGCTATATGGCAGCAGTATGTAAATAATCCAGTCTGCACCAGACAATCCAGTGATTAACAGCTTGAGCATCAACCTGCACAATTGGGATGCAGTAAAGTGTCAACCAAGTCAGTGAGCCTGACCACCTGATCCCGTTAGTCACCTCTTATGACAAGCATGGGTTACTGAAGATTAATTCTAATCCAGATCTTCACGGGTTGTGGCACCTTAGACCAATTGGGAATCAATGCCCTCCAACATAGTCATGACTATCGACATCAAAACACAAAGACTAATTTCCAGCTTATTGACATTATCCTTCTTTTAAATTAGCTTGACAATATGTTTGCTTCATAGTTCCACATTCAGTGAATAACTACATACCTCTGATTGACAGCAGCCATAGTTTTCTGTACAGTCTGAGCCTCGAAATGGTTGTCTGTCACCAGCTGTTGTCCGTGAGCTGTGACTGCTGACAGTTTCTCCTCCTGCGTCTCCAGCACCTTCTCAAACGCCTCGTGTTTCCTCAGGAGCCCCTCCACCTGCTCCACAGACTCTGCTGAGTCGGGACTGGCCAGATACACCTGTGACATGAGTGAGTGAATAAGTTGGAGTTTACGCCACTTTTAGCATGATTCCAGCAATAATCTGGTGGGAAACACCAAAAATGGGCTTCACACAATGTGCCCTTGTGGGGAAACGAACCCTGGTCTTCAGCTTGACAAGCAAATGCCCTAACCACTAGACTACTCCAACCTGTGACATGTTGCACAATGCAGATTGGAACATCACACAGAACTCACATCGGACACATCTCATTGTCATGGATTTACAAGGGTTACCTCTTGGTTCACTGCTTCTAACAAATCACACTAAACATGACTGGGGGTGGTGACGGAAGACACTGTTTCATAAGGGACCGTTCATAATTTATGGCTGTGGGGGTGGGTGGTGGTGGTGGTGGTAGGTGGGCAATGATTTTAAGGGGTGGGTGGGGGTGGGTGGGGGTGTTCACCCATTTTGTTCTGGTCATAAATTTTGTACACGCATTAGGGGGGTCATCAATTTTGTACACATGTACTTAGGGGAGTGGGGGTGGGTTCATCAATTTTGTACATAAAATATTTTAAAATTACGCTTAGAAATTATGGGAGGAGGGGGTGTCATTGATTTTGTACATGACATGCAGGGGGGGGATCACTTATTTTGCACATAAATTTTAAGGGAGGTCATTCACATTGTATATGCTTCTCAATAAAATCATCATCTACCCCCCTAGCAATAAATTATGAATGGTCCCTAAAATAAGTTTAAAACAAAATCAACTTTGAGTTATTAAATAAGCATGAAATGAATTCATTTTAATTATATAATTACAACTGATATATACTACAAAAAGAAAATAGAGAACAACAAGTTATTTTATATTATAGACCATGACAGATTCAGATGTTCTTTAACTTCCCTTGAACAGTATATGTCTAGACTCATTAAAAAATATTTCATAAACTAGAGTTTCTCTACCTACCTCCTGGGATGAACTGAGAGTGTTAAGTTGCTCAGCATCGCGAAGGAAGATCTGGACATCATATAGCTGGTCGTAGTACTCCTTCCTCTTGTTCCAGGTGGCCACGAGCCGCTCCTGCATCCGCTGCACCTCGTTCACCTTGTCCGAAATCTGCTCATTGTAACATAGAAATAACTCAGTACAAAGAAGTATGCCGTCAGGAAATCACTGCAGAACATCAGTCAAGAGAAGTTATGAACTGGACAGAGGCTACCTTAAGCAACACTCCAGGCACAGCAAGCGCCACACTGTGTGGAGAATCAAACTCAGGTCTCTGGGATGACCAGCAAACACTCTAACCACAAAGCTACTCCACTACTTAATGGAGTCAGATTTTGCTTGTGGTAGCAAGTCCTTTGCTTGATGGAGGGTGTATCCAAACGTTGCATTGAAAGTATTAATAAATCCATTATTTATCTGTGTTCATTGATAATATATTCCACAGAAGACATTGTACTACATCACCCATAACATGATGTAGAAGTTTGTTTGTTTGTTTGTTTGTTATTTAAGGCCTCACTGAACAATATTCCAGCTATACCACAGCTGTCGGCAAATATTAGAGTCTGGACCAGACAATCAAGTGATTAACAGCATGGGCATAGATCTACGCAATTGGGATATGGGACCAGACCCCGTTAGTAGTCTCTTACGACAAACATGCGTTGTTGAAGACCAATTCTAACCTTGATCTTCATGGGATGAAGTGGAAGTAAAAGCCATAATATATACAGAATGAGAATTACCACAGAAAATGATAACCTTCCATACTTCAAAATTCAGCTAAGTGCAACAAATCTAAAGTAACAACTAGCTGTGTCCGCAGCTAGTACTGACCTCTTCACTTGCATAGTGTCCATTCTCTATCATGGCTAGTCCTGTGCCGATGACTGCGTCAAATGTGCTTCCTCTAGCGTCTATCTCAGCACGGATCTCGTCTTGTCGGGTACGCAGCAGGTCAGCGGCCTGTGCATCTCGCACAGTCTTCTCTGCCAGCATCTCTCGCTCCGTAGCCTTGGCCCAGCCGAGCAGGTCACGCACCTGGGATACAGATGGTATCATACATTACAAACCTGTCCGACATGAAACAGTGCTTCCATACATTAAACAAACAATGGAAAACAAGGCCTCAGCATCACTGATGTGCACTTGTTGTACCAGCAACATCTGTGATCAAGCCAGGAGAATTTTCCATTGCAGCCAACCCTACTAGTATCATGTTTGTGAGAACATAGAAATGTACAACTGAAATCTCTGTGCAATGACAATCCTCATATCATACAACCTCTTGGATTTATCTAAAATAAGTAGAGCAAACACTAGACCCTCTATCGTAAACTAAGGAATCATGAGCTCTGACCATTAGTGCCACTGTAATCGAGTCATGACAGTTGAATTTAACATACCTTTAAGAACCGCTTTTAGCAATATTCCAGCCATATCATGGTGGGGTACACCAGAAATGGGCTTCACACATTTTACCCATGTGGGGAATCGAACCTGGGACTTCAGTGCGACGAGCGAATGCTTTAACCATTAGCATATCCCCAACCCCCATTCCTTAAAGAACATGGCCTGGACAGTTGTAGAATGAATAAATGTCCAGGTTGGACCAGTGACAAAGTACAGACACTAAATGCAGCACTGCTGTGGTCTACTTACAGAAGCGTTGAACTTGTGGAGGTCAGCAGCAGCCAGTAGCTGGCCCTTGCGGATCTCTGCCCTCTCCTGTAGGTGGCCCCAGTGGTCCACCACAGCAGCCTGCAGCTCCTCGATCTGGTCGGCATTTTCCCCGGGGTACGCCTCCTGCAGGCGCCCAGAGTCATCAATCAGGATCTGGAGCTGTTCATGTGGAGGAGAGAAGGGAACATTAGCTTATCTCAGAAACGCAAAAGATATCTTTAAAACATGAGTTTGTGTTGTAATGTTTGTGTGCATAAAGTGACCATGGCTGTAAGCTACTGGAATATCTACCTGAGCTTCAAGGGCAACCAGTTCATTCTCGAAAGCCTCGTGTTTCTTGAGGTACTTCTGGGTGGTGTAGTAGTCACGGCCTAGATCATCAGGGATGCTGGACTCCTTCTCCTGCAATATATGCCTTCAGATACCTGACGTGTCTCATTCAAGTGGGGTCTTATTTAAAATAATTATTACAAGAAAAACTCCATGGATACCAGTCATCTGTGTTGGTGACAACCAGAAGTAGACATACAGTTGACAAACCAAGGACAAACATCATGCCAAGGCAAATCAGGAATTATTTCAACAACTAGCAGATCCTGGTATTGCTAAGGGATGCAACTCTGCACATGGAAATTTGGTACCAGACAAATGGTCACTGACTGTATTGACAAGGTCAATAGCATGATCATCATACCAACAGTACTCATACATGTCGTTATTTGTGTCTGCCACTCTCCATTCATTTTCCTTACCTGAATCCTTGACAAAGCCTCCTCTACATCTCGGTTGAATCTATGAATGTCCTCCGCCCCCTGTAGCTTGGAGTCGCGGGACTCGATCTGCTCCAGCAGGGTGTTCCAAGCATCACGCAGGTGCTCCTGCCTCTGCTGCACCTGCACAGTGTGAGGTCCCTTGTCATCCAGGAGCCACTTGGCGAGGCGCTCACATCGATTGAATCTCTCAGAACCAGCCTCCACCTTACGCTTAAACTCTTCAAACTTACTTTTCAAGATCTGTAGAAAAAAGACATAGAAATTAATGTAAATTGAATAATTTACACCATGAAAAAAGTTAATCAAAGTTCTACCACTGAGCACTTTTGTAAGTAATTTGTCAGATAATCACTGTTTTAGTGGTGCAATTAATTTTTGTTAACAACCATGGATGATTAAAAAACTTCACAGGTAACATTACCAAATATAACTTCATTCCATGTAACAACAGAAGGTTAATCACCTGAAGATGTTCGTAATCTTGGCCATATTCCTCAGAGCATGCAGTTTGCATCTGCTCGTTGATCCACTCCTCGAACTCCTCACTCTCACGCATGTAGGCGTGGAGACTCTTGGAGTGTTCGAGGTTGCGCGTCCTCTCCGCTGCCAAGCGACGGAGCTTGTTGAGGTTGTCCTGGAGATTGTCCTGTAACAATAGATACTAAACTGTCTCTTTGGAAACTGGTGGAAATAGTGAAGACTGAAAAACATTCCTTGACAACTCAACATTGATGTCTATAAAAAATCTGATGAAATCCAAGAAACCTGGACATAACCCTATGTTAAAACTCTGAAACTTAAGACTTCCAATAGCATGACTTCAGAACTTTGGTATCCTGGGTTATCTCCCCATTATGTCAGTGCATGTGATGCAGGCAGGGGAATACGGAGTATGGAGGTCAGCTGCTGTCCTCCACATCATCATCTATCATCCCAGAATGATTTGGACAGTGTATCTACTAAGAAAGAAATCCCCTGGACTAACCTGTCCCATGCATATCGTATGGTAAAGTTAGTGTGAGATGAAATTGGGTTCAAGGGTATTTTGCTCATGTACTGATTTGCATGCATGTGTGTGTGTGTGTGTGTGTGTGCGTGCGTGCGTGCGTGCGTGCGTGCGTGTGCTTGTACTGCTTGACCAGCTCCTGTTATATCCTTTAATGACAAGCGCCAGGTAGGGAAACAAAAAACGTCTTTCTACACCCTTTGGTACATGGCCTGGGGATGGAACCACCAGCTTTCTGCGCTCCAAGCAGAGGCTGTATCCACTAGACCACGTCAACAGTCAGTATGTCAGTGAGATGGTCAGTTTACCTGAGTCTTCTTCAGCAGAGATGGATCTGCTGATCCCAGCTTGAACAGCCTGGAGGACTCCTTGCCCAGGCTGGTAACGATTCCTGAGTATGTCTGAATGTCAGTTTCTAAAACCTGCAACAAAATAACTAACCATAAGATAACTGTTCTCAACACATTTACTCTTAAGATATTTTAGAAAAACATTATGAAAGAAAAGAAGAGTATGACACATGATATGAAACCTTTGCCATCAAAGTCAGATTAAAATATTTGGTAAATGGAAATTGAAGGTCTTACTCCTTCACATCATTCTAGATTATGAAGCTCTTTGTTCACTTAACAATGTATTCTCCGTGTGTTGACCCCATACCTTATTTTTGGCCAGCATCTTGTCTGCCGCATTCTCATCCCTTCCATAGTCTGTGCTGGAGGCAAGGGACATCCTCTCGTTGATCCAGGCCTCGACCTCTGCCACCTCAGACAGGTACTGGAACAGTCATCAACAGAGTAAGGAATACATGAATACTTGCCTTACTTGGGTAATAATGAGTGATGCAACTTTCATCAATATTCCTGCAATATGAAGCTAGCCTGACAACAGTGTCTGACAGTATTGGCCAGTCTACCTTGTTGGTCCTGACTAAGAACAATGTCAGTTCTTATGATAAAATGTAGTACTGGGGACATGATCTAGCAGCAAGAATCAATCATGTAATAAATGTATGGTCAGGGAAGCATTCAATCAAGGGTGGTGAAGAGTGGTCAGGGAGGCAATCAAGGGTGGTCAGGAGCTCAATCAAGGGTGGCAACCAAGGGTGGTTGGGGAGTCCATCAAGGGAGACAATGAAGGGTGGTCGAGGAGTCCATCAATCGAGGGAGGCAATCAAGGGTGATCATGGAATCAATCAAGGGTGGTGAGGGAGTTTAATCAAGGGAGGCAATCTTGGGTGGTTAGGGAGTTCAATCAAGGGAGGCAATCTGGGTGGTCAGGGAGCTCAATCAAGGGAGGCCATCTGGGGTGGTGGGGTGGGGGTAATTAAGGGAGGCAATCAAGGGTGGTCAGGGAGTCAATCAAAGGAGGCAATCGGGTGGTTAGGGAGCTCAATCAAGGGAGGCAATCAGGGGTGGATGGGGAGTCAAATAAGGGTGGTCAGGGAGCTGAAATACTGGAGACAATCAAGGGTGGTTGGAGAGTCAATCAAGGGTGGTCGGGGAATCAATCAAGGGTGGTGAGGGAGGCAATCAAGGGAGGTAATCTGGTGTGGTCGGGGAGGTAATTAAGGGAGGCAATCAAGGATGGTCAGGGAGTCAGTCAAGGGTGGTCGGGGAATCAATCAGGAGTGGTTAGGGAGGCAATCAAGGGAGGCCATCTGGGGTGGTCGGGGAGGAGTAATTAAGGGAGGCAATCAAGGGTGGTCAGGGGAGTCAATCAAGGGAGGTCGGGGAATCAATCAGGGGTGGTTAGGGAGCTCAATCAAGGGAGGCCATCTGGGGTGGTGGGGGGGGAGGTAATTAAGGGAGGCAATCAAGGGTGGTCAGGGAGTCAATCAAAGGAGGCAATCAGGGATGGTTAGGGAGCTCAATCAAGGGAGGCAATCAGGGGTGGATGGGGAGTCAAATAAGGGTGGTCAGGGAGCTGAAATACTGGAGACAATCAAGGGTGGTGGGGGAGGTAATAAAGGCAGCCAGTAGGAGACAAGGATACATGGAGAGCAAGGAGTCTGACCTTCTGAGTTTGCAGCGAGATGTCAAGGTTCTTTTTCTTGTTCTTGGACTTCTTGAGGAGATCATCCCAGGACACCTGAAGCTCCTGACACTTGTCTCTGATGGGTTTGGAGGCAAAGTGTTTGTCATCGATCAGCTTGTCTCCGGTGCTCAAAACTTTGTCAATGCTTGGTTGGTGGCCTTGAATCTCACGGTCAAGATCCTGACAAGAATGACCAAATTAATTATTTCCACAGGAAAAAACTTTCTCATTAAATCTAATTTAAAAAATATATAACATATTAATGTTAAGAAAGAAAATCAGGTTTTCATAGATTCATCTTGATGAAACATTGGTCAGTTTGAGTTTTTAATAATATATAGTAAACTGGTAATATTTATGCCAATTTGGGACACATAAAATATGCCCAAACCATGCATTGGTTGAACATGTGTTGGTGCTGAGAGACCACACTGTACAACTGGTAAATATATAAACCTCACGACACATACTGAACACTGAACGAGGAAATCTGCACCACATTTAAACAAAAGTTGGAAACATCACAAAACTGGCTCTCCCACCTGGTGTTTCTTGTGAAGTTTCTGGGCGTCGATGAGGTTTTTGCCCATGTCTTGTGATGCCGCTGCAGGCAGGTGCTCCTTGATCCACTGCAGCTCGTTATCCGCGTCGAACACAAACTGGTGCAGCTGTAGCGACTCCTGCAGCTTCTGTTTGCGAGCTGCCACAGCTGGCTCCAGCTTCTTAAATCTGAGTGGCAAAGGCAGTTTAGTTTAACTCTGCTGCTAACAGTATTTGGGTCATGTCAGCTTAGTGAGGGGTACTAGACATTTTACACTTTGGTGAAACCGTGAAACATGGGTTTGCTGTTGACAAAGAAATATTGTCAGGGTGAATCTTGTATTTGATCCCACACAGACAAGTTCCTAGTATGCTTAGGAATGCAACTCTAAAGGGGTGCAGCACCAGAGACCCTTGCCCCTCTTCAAAGTGAAGAGCAATGGCACTTCAAATTGTGAACACCATAATTATTCTAATGAGCTGATCCTACTAAACATAATACAATACAGTTTGTGACAAGCACTACTTCCTCTCCCCTCTCAATCAGGTGAGTATGGTGTCCATTTTAAATTTTGACACAAATTCTTAAAATTAGAACCAAAAAAGAAATACACGAATAATTGATTATTCACAATGCTAAACTGTCCTCCATAATCCAAACTTGGAGCTTAAATACTTCCTTGAAATTCGAACAATATATTTATGGCAAGTTCACCAAATTTTCTGCAGAATCAATGTTTGACTGAAAGTGACTAGATCAGCTACTACTAACCTTCTGTTGAAGGCGTCAACAGCTCGGATGATATCAGCAGAGTTGTAGTGACCTTTGTCGGCCATTTCCTTGCCCTGAGCCACAATTGTTTGAATTGTGCCGGAAAGAGTTGACAAGTCCGTTTCAAGATTCTGAAACGTAGCAAAACATATTTCCGAAATGACTGTAAGCGTGATCTGATTCTGTGATCCTTTAAACCAAACTTTAAATCATCAGAAGTACATATCTATAGCTTTTAATGTTAAAAACAGACAGAAAATATCGAACCTGATGTTTCATGAGCAGATTCTTGACTCCTCTCAAATCTGAGCCAACATCCGGGTTAGCAACAGACTTCTCCATTTCATCGAGCTTAGCCTGCAAAGAGAAACACATTTGATGATATCATGCATCACAGAATGTTCAGCTGTTTTGCCTCTTATTAATAACTTTCCATCAAACATGTACATCAACATCAACTACATACCTGTGCATCCTCCAAAGCTCTATTGAGTGTCTGCTGCTGTGTTGCTTCGCGGAGTTTCCTCCCCTTGTCTGCTGCTTTCTCATTCAAGTCTGCCCACTCCCTGTTCAGCTTCTCTGAGATCTCCTTGATCTCCGGAGCAGCGTAGTGACCATCACCAATCATCTTCTTTCCATCCTGGAAACACAACTCTGATCATCAAACACTTGTACAAAGGATACCAAGCCCAGCTCATTTTAAGAACTTTCAAGTGCTAAAGGTAAGATAGTTTCTTGTTTTACTGATCTTATTGGCCAATATGCCACAGGCAGGTTGTAAAATTAAACAAAATATATCAATTTTGAAGGTAATTAACACAAAATTGTCAAAATATGTCTTTATCAATCAAAAACTGTACCTTTGTTTTTGAGTGTAGTTTGGTGGCTCTTCCACAAAATGATAATATCGTACAACCTTGCTAGCGACTGACATTTCCTCATCATTGATTACTGAGGGTCTCACGTCAATATTAGTTGGTAACTAGTGTTTCCAGGTGTATCAGATTCACTGAAAACTTAACACTAATTCACCTTTTGGGTTAATATTCAACGAAGTACATCATCAAATTTCACACTTTGAGCCAGAGATTCGCACATGCTGACCTGATTTAGAGCCTGCAGTCTGTCATTGTTTGACTTCAACTCAGCTTCGAACGCCTGGTGCTTCTGCAGCTTGGCCATGAGGTTGGACAGATCTTTGTAGGAGTCGTCTGTGGCTGTCTTGTACTTCTCCTTCATCCAGTCAGACAGCTGTAACAGATAGATAGTCCTGCATATAGCCCATAGTGATAACAGATGCACAGTCAGAACATCCTTACTGCTCACTGGTCAGACCAAGGCAGCATCATTGTATTGAAGTCATGGACCTATGTTCTTATTCAGTGAAGCTCATTAATTTCATTATAATATACCGGTAAGCATCATCCAAAACTGTCTGCTTTTCATGTTTATTTCCTTTTGGACGTGGGGGAACCTCCCATTAAATGTAAATCATTCATCTATTGTAACTTGAAAGATTGACAGCTCACCTCTTTTCCATCACGTTTAAACTCTTGGAATTTCTGAGCTTCCAACAAAGCCTTGCGACGATCAGCTGCTTTGTCCTTGACCTTGTTTCTTCGCTCAGCACCTGGTTACATCTCTTGTTAATACTGCAATGGATATAAATACACATAAAATATACACATACATATCACATTTAGCACAATCAAAACAGATTTTCTCAATCATCCGCTGACAAAGAACACAAAGTTTGTCTGGAACTAAGGGGAGACAACTCACTGGTCTCTGTCTGGGTGTTTGTCCTGGATCAGGTTGTCAGCAAGGTCCTTAAGCCCTTTCACTTTCTCATCTTGTGCTTGGACTTTGCCTTCGAAGTCATCGTGCCTCCGCAGCAATGATTCCACATCTGCCATAGTGCTCTGAATAAAAACCCACAGCATTAAGTCAGCATGTCCAGCACAACCATTAGCAAGTTTCCTTATTCAAGGAATATAAGAAAGTGACAAATCATTGTTCTAGCAAAAGCGAAGATCTAAAACAAATAAAATTAAATTATTCAAACCAAAAAAAACTTTTCCTGAAACAAATGGAATCCTTAAATAAAATTTCAGTAAAATTAGTACCGAACATTTTTGTTATAACTGAGTTTTATCAAAAGATATTGGTACTATATGAATCAAAAGTAGGCATAAGTACACTGGGTTACACTTGATTCTTAGCTCCAGCAAGGACGTCATGAATATCAGTGGTACTAAGGTTTCCTTACCCCTCGGTCACTGTAATCCAGGAAGGCCTCGTGACCACTGGTGGTGGCATCGATGGTGTCTGCCTCCTTGTTGAACACCTGAAGGTTGTAAGCATCTTGAAGCTGTTTCTGGCGCTGTCGGTAAAGCTCATCAATTGCTCGCTCTTCATCATCCAGACGCTTCAAGCGGTCCTTCACGTCCTGGGCATTAGGGTTCTTGGCAAGGACTTCTGCTCCCAAAGCCCTCAACTTGGCAAACCTATATGTGGCAATGTATATTAGTATTAAAAATTTGCTTCTGATATCTTCTCATTGTGATGAAGGATTTGTTTTCAAAAGAAATACATAAAACACACCTAACATTGCCACAGACAGTAAAATATAGTCAAAAATAACAACTTACAGAAGTCTATCACTTTAGTGAAACCTACTGATAAACCCATGTGGATCTGGGATATAAACCCTTAACTCAGTCACTAGTTCGATACTAAAATCAAGTAGGGCTGCAATGATTCACCCAGACCTTGATTTGATTCGATTTTCGATATTGGACCCTCGATTTGATCATTTTCGATTTGATTCTTCATGCAAGTAAAAACATCAGATTTCATTTAACTCTCAGAGTTTATTAAAAGAAACATCACACTGAATTTTTTTTCCAAGATTTGACTAGGAAATCAGGAATGTAAATGATGTAAACCTTTTTCAAAGAAATAAATTATTTTTAAACACAGAACAACACTCTAACATTGAATCGAAATAGTGACAATGGTTACCGAACATCGAATCTAAGGTGTCAGATTTGATTTTTGATAAATCGAACTGAATCCTTGCAGCCCTAAAGTAAAGTCAAATATATATCAGTCATTGTATATTTGCTAACAGTAATATTTTCTACTGAAATATACAACAGATGCAAAAAAAGCCTTGCTGTTTACTTTCAGAGAAAGTCTTCAGTATCTGACTTAATTGGTAATAAAAGACAACATCAACATTCTGTTTATTTCTTATAGCATCCTATTTGCCAAGATATACCCAGACAAAGAATGTTTCTGTTCTGATCTGCAACAATCCTGTCAGAAGAGTGAAGTTTCGAGTTATCTCCCCTGTCAGGTTCTCATGTTATAATAATAATAAATAAATAAAGTTAATATTTGTATAGCGCCTGTTCCAACATATTGCTCAAAGGCGCTTAGGCGAAGGCTATGTTGAACAAGTGGGTTTTTAGTGGTCGTTTAAACTGGTTGAGGTTGACAATGTTCTGAATGTGCCGAGGAAGACGGTTCCAGAGCCAGGGGCCGGCTTTGGAGAACGATCTGTCTCCATAGTGTCTTTTCCTAGTCATAGGAACATCTAGTGCTCTTGATGGTCTTGACCTAAGACCTTATAGGACTCCATGTGGCCCATTCACAAAGCCTTACAACCCTTTACACAAAGCGTTTAACCCTTTACAACAGTCATCAGTCTGTTACACAGTTACAACAGAGCTAACACTACAAACATGGGCCCTGTCCATCTACACCAGACCAATGTTGGAATGTGTGATTGTTGTTATACATACTTGTCTTTGTGGGCCTTGATGTCATCACCAACTTCCTCATGTTCCTTGAGCATGCGTTCAGCACTCTGGATATCATGAGGCATCTCGGCACTGGCCAGACGAGCTCGCATTGATCCGGCCCATGACAGCTGCAAGACAACACACACCATGATTACAGTCTCTCATGCTATTCAGCTAGAAGGTAAACACTACATACTTTGAATTAAGAGGAGTGTCTTGGGCATTTGGGAGTGACAGTGGAAGAACTTACAATATCCTTGGCATCTTCCCCGAACTTCTGTTGGTTCTGGGCCTCGCTGAGCTGGCCCTTCCTCTTGTCTGCCTTGCTCTGGAACACAGGAACACAATGATATGACAGAGGAACACAATGACATGACAGAGGAACACAATATGACAGAGGAACACAATGATATGACAGAGGAACACAATGATATTACAGAGGAATACAATAACAAAACACCGGAACACAACATTAGTGCACAGGAACCCCTTAACACAACGAAGTGAGTGAGTGAGTATGGTTTTAAACCGCTTTTAGCAATATTCCAGCAATATCACGGCAGGGGACACCAGAAATGGGATTCACACATTGTACCTATGTGGGGAATCGAACCCGGGTCTTCGACGTGACGAGCAAATGCTTTAACCACAAGGCTACCCCACCACCCCTAACACAACAAAGGAACACAGACAAAATAACAGAAACAGAACAGAACAACAGAAGACATTAACAAAACAGAACACCAAAACACAGCACAAGAACACAACACCAAAACACACCACAGTAACAGAACCATGTTAAAGTAAAAATAAAAACTTAACATCAGGAACACTGTACAGATCAAAAACATAAATTCTAACTAACCTGTAGAGGTTTAAGATTCTTTGCATATATTCCTCCTTGGGGTACTTATAAGCATTTAAATGTCCATTTAAAATCCCTACGACAGTTGTAACAATATTTTGAATAAAATATTTACAAAACAAAAACTACGTTTTGTCTTGTGAGACCACCCTTACAGGGCCCTCTGGCCCCCTACAGCCAAGAGCAGGTAACTCCAGACCGTAACCTCGTACCTCACTTTCCATGCTGAACGAAGTCAGACAGAATCTTGAGGGGAGGTGGTAGCAGATACCCAAGGAGGAATATATGCAAAGAATCTTAAACCTCTACAGGTTAGTTCGATTCTTTATATATTCCTCCTCCTTGGGGTACTTATAAGCATAAGACAGACTCCTAAAGGCGGATCTCAGGAGCGCATTCTGTCTGCTTAAACACCCCGACAAGAAGTGGAATTTCCCAAGCTAATTATAGCAGAAAAGGCACACTTACCCGGGTCACGTGTCCACCAAAGCCAATCAGGCGGGGCATGAGCCAGGGTCAGGGGTAAACGATATGCAAATTTTGTCCAGCGAAACCTCGCTAATGCAACGAACGAGACACACCCTCCCTCCTTCCGTAATCTACTCGAAGTGAAGATAAGGGTCCCATAATAAACCCAGAAACGAAAATGCCGTGAACAGCAAAGTTTCCAAGGGCAGTTTAGTCTATATCGCTTCTCGGTTAGAAAGCAAGAGACATGGGAATAAAAACCATCACCACATAAAACCCATCACCAAGGGAAAATGTAACAAGATTTGTAAAACCCAACACCAGTGTTAAAAATTGGCAGATAACGGTTCACACCATAAAACCTCGAAAGCTCAATGCGGCTAGAGAGGTGGAACCATGCCCACTGGAGAGAACTGACTGACCGAACCGAGCACGCTCACTGGAGAGTCTGTCAAGTTGGTAATGACGGATGAACGTGCATTCGGACGGCTCCAAATAGCCGCGGAGCAGATCTCCTCAATGGGCAGGGCTGCAGCGTAAGCTGTCGATGTAGCCACTGCCCTAACCGAATGAGCCTTCAACCCTACAGGCGGGATACGCCCTGTTTGAGTATAGCTCATGTGTATGGCAGAGACAAGCCACCTAGAAATGGTTTGCTTGGTCGCCGGAAGACCAGCCTGAACCCCGCCATAACAACAAAACAATTGGTTACCCTTACGGGTACCCCTTGTTCGTTTGATATAAGCCTTAAGTGCCTTACGGACATCTAAGACGTGAGCACGTCGTAGAGAGGTACCGGACAGGGAAGGCTGAGTGAAAGCTGGGAGCTCAATAGGCGCCGTCACATGGAAGGGACTATCCTTCTTAGGACGGTAAGTATCAGGCAGCCGTATGCTAACTCTGTCTTTGTGAAAAACAGTAAGCGCGGGATCGGCCGACATTGCGTGAATATCGCCAACCCGCCTGCCTGAAGTCACCGCCACAAAGCGCCCGTCTTCCCACGTCAACAGTTGGAGTGAAAGAGCCGACAGATTGTGAAACAGTGGACCGGACAGCCAATCAAGAACGATTGACAAGTCCCACGGGGGACTAATCCGCCGGACAACCGGACGGATTCTGTCCACGCCTGCTAAAAAGCGCTGTACCAGAGGGTGCTGCCCCAAGAGAGCACCGTCAGCAGGAATGTGAAACGCAGAAATAGCTGTAGAATATCCTCGAACAGTTGAAGCCGCTAGGACCGGCTTCCAACGAACTGGAGGAATTCTAACACACAGACTAAATCTGTAGAAAAGGGATCAAGAATCCCCTGTTGACACACCAGCGAATAACAGGCCCATCTATCCTCATATTGAGCGTTTGTGAATCCCTCCGCCGAAGCCAGAATTGTGTCTGCAACTGGTGCAGGAATTCCTTCGCATGGAGGCGATCCCTGATAGCGCCAAGCCACCCACTGAATCCTGGGATTGGTGGGGCGCTCCGTTCTGGGATAGGAGGTCCGGTCGAAAAGGTAATAGAACAGGAGGCTGAGCCAGAAACCTGAGAATTACCGGAAACCAGCTTTGTGCCGACCAAAGGGGTGCCAGAAGCACAAGTAGCCGAGCTGGTTGTGCGGTCAGCTGCGACAGTACCCTGGAAATCAGTGGTATCGGGGAGGCGCCCACAGTACCCTGTCCGTCCAATCTAGCTGAAAGGCGTGGTTGGCTAACGCGCTTACCGGATCCGAATCCGGGAGCAAAACACAGGAATCTGGTTCGTCACCCCAGGCGCAAACAGAGATCCACCTGGAAACGACCCGAACAACTGGGAGATAATCCCGAATATCTCCCGGTCGAGCATCCACTGCGTGTGGGGCTGGTATACGCGCCGTGAAGCGGCGTCTGCACGGGCGTTGTCTACCCCGGGGAGATAAACAGGCAAAACCCGAATGTTGAACTGATCGCACCACAGTAGAAACTGCCACGCCTCCTGAAGGGCGACGGAGACACTGTGCCGCCTTTGCTTGAGAATGTAAGTCATGGCGTTTGATTGTCCATTTCTAGACGAACCACACGGCCCTGCACCAACACCCGGAAGCTTTTCGAACACCTTGGGGACTGCTCTCAGTTCTAACACATTGATGTGTAGGCTGACCTCCCGCCCCTCCGACCAGAGGCGGAGGCTGAGTGCTTCCGGCCAGGACCCCCAACCTGTGAGGGAGGCGTCCGTCTGAACTGAGAGGGAAGGTGTCGGGTGTCGAGGGGATCCCCTGGACAAATTCGACTTCCGTCCACCATCGCAAGTGAGGGATTAACCACTCTGGCGTTATGAGCATAATCTACGTAGCCCTGCGAGTGGGACCACAGCTGAGCTAATGCTTGCTGAATTGGTCGCATCCTCAGACGCCGCCACGTAAACCACGTCCACTGTCGCCGCCATGTTGCCGAGCAGCGAAGCCATGTTCGGGCCGGCGCTAGCGGGGGACTGGAGGAACTGTAACACAGTCCCTCGGACTTTGACGATGCGGTCGAAGCAAACAAACAACCTAGCGCCGTGTTGAATCTGGCTCCCAAGAATATCAGATCCTGCGTCGAACGAAGTTCTGATTTCTTGAGATTGATAATCCAGCCCAGTGACACCAGAGTATCCAGCACGCACAGTGTGGAGGCTCTGCTTAACTGAGGCCCTAAGGCCCGTAGAAGCCAATCGTCCAGATGCGGGTGACAACACCTGCCCTGAGACCTGGCTAACTGAGCTGGGATTAGCATAAGTTTGGTGAACACCCTTGGCGCCCGTGGAGATGCGAAGGGGAGCACTTGTGAAACTGGTAGCACGTCCACGTCGAAGGAGAACCGAGGTACTTCTTGAATTGAGTGCATTGGAACATGGAGGTATCGTCTTTGAGATGTCGATTGGCGTAAGCCAATCCCCTGTCTCGGCGGAGGAGATCACTGACCTGAGTGTCTCCATCCTGAAAGACGGCACCTCCAGTAATTTGTTCAGCCCTCTGAGATTCAGAATGGGTCTGAACCCTCCGTCCTTCTTGGTCACGAGGAAGTAGGTGGAATAAAACCCTCTTCTCGCTGACTCACAGGAACCACCTCGATGGCTGCCTTGGTCAGTAAAGACTGAACCTCGGCGCGGAGGACTTCCGCCTTTGCAGCGGGAGGTCGGTACAGGCGTGTGCGAACCCGGAGAAGGACGGAGGATCGCGCCTCCACTGTGGCAAATGGCCATCCCTGGCGTGGACAGGACCCAGGGATTTGAGGTGGCTGCCTCCCTCCCGGAGGAATAGGGGACAGCCGACGCCGACAGGGGCGTGTGGCAAGGGCAGTGCACCCCCACCGTCGGCAAGTCTCGGCTTAGCGTGAGTGGGGGCAACAAGGGCTCTGGGGCATGAATCAGTGGGAAGCGGGCTGGCTTCCCCTTGCCCCGAAGACTGCTGCGCTGGCGCCCAGGCCTGCCCTGCCTCTCCTTCGATCGCCTGCTCGCTTGGACTGCAAAGGGGCAGCCCACTTAACAACATCCTTCGCCGGAGCCGAAGGGTAAGCGGATGCAAGCGGGGAGGGCCGATGGCGAGGAGCGGAGGGCTGCTCCAACAAAGGCTTTGAGTCCTTAAAAGTAGAGACAGCCTCCGCGGCCTCCCTAACCACCTGCAATGCCCCAGGGAACAGGGAAGATCCCATGGTATAGGGCAATGAAAGTAGAGCTTGCTGTGTGGCCGGCGAATACCGTGCCACAGACAGCCACAGGCGGCGCAAGCCCATGACTGCACCCATCATCTGGCTGGCACAGCACCTAATGCTGTCCCGAGCCAGATGTGAGTGTACATCCGTTAGTTGCCGCGCGAGCACCGACTCCGATGAATCGGCACCGCCAGCGCTGTGGGCCACCAGCTGTCCCTGCAATGCAGACAGGTAGGCTGAATGGACGGCCACTTTAAGCTGCTGAGCCGCGAACCGGTAACATTCTTCAAATGACCGGTAGGCAGACTTCAGCGGTAGTGATGTACTAGCGGAAAGGGGGGAGGCGCCTGCCCTGCCTGGCCGAGGCCAGGGAAGACGAAGACGACCCTCCTAATGTAACCGAGGCAAATACGCACTCGTCCACCACTGGTGGTTCGAAGAGCGTCTCCTCACCTAACTGGTACCGCCTGCCCACGTCAGGCAAATCAAAGCGCGAGCGAGTACCAGCAAGGAGCGGATTCACCACTTCACTGACCAGTGATGGGAGAATCGCGAAGCTGAGCCTCTGCGACCCGGTTAGGTCGCGGCGAACGCCCCCGGGAGCGAAACTCCAGCGGGTGGGTGCCGGGCGGGAACAGCCACCTGCGGCAGGACTTCGGCGATCTTATCCCGAACCTGCCGCAGGGACGAGGCAAAGGAGTACGGTACTCCCGCCTCCGGTTCCTCCGTCCCTTCCTCCTCCTCCATATCGACCTCGGCAGAATCCTCGGCCGTCATCATCTCAGACTCCTGAGAGAACGCCGAGGAGACGCCAGAGGCAGAGACCAGACAAAGTAATAAGGTCCAGAGGGAGCCAGGGGAAAAACATCACCCTGCCGGGAGGAACCAGCGCCAGGTCGCCGAAAGTAGCCCGAGAGGAACCTGCATAACAGGCTTCCGGGCAGCCCAGACTGGCTGCCAGGCGCCGAGTATCCCGAACTGGTCGGTGCCTAGGCGACCACCAGTCGGGACACACCAGAGGCGATGACAGGGGGCAACCCTGTCTCGCCGGCACCAGGCACCTGTGACAGCCCGGCGTAAAGCCAGGTCGCCAGCAGGCGCCGAGGGCATGCTATCGCCACGGCGAAGCCAGGATCAAGCCGCCCGGGAGGCGCGTTCTCGAGCGAAGCTCGGGCGCAGCAACCCCAGATGTGTCAGCTCCGCCCCGGCGACCGGTAGCTGAGCTCCTTACGGAACCCTGCTAACGCCGTATCAATCAGGGACTTGACTGGCGACATCTGCTCCTGGAAAAAATGGTTAAGGAGATCAACAGGAACATTTTGCACAGGTGCTGAATCAAGAGGGGGTGGTGGGTACAGAGATGGAAGCAGGAGGAGACGCCCGAAGGGGCATGAGTCGCGTGGCGAAGCCGCCTTGGTAGCCTTAGCTTTCTTGGGAGCCGGCTCGCAGCGTGGGAAGCGGCTCCCGTGGACCCCTTTTCCTACTATGGGAGCGCTTGGACCGGGGATCCTGCGCCCAGAGATCACCCCCGCCGAAGCAGGTTGCTGTAAAACAAGCGTGTCTATCGCCCTCGACCCGAATGGTTTGGGGCGAGAACATGGCACATGCCGCACACCCTCTTCCTCATGTTCCTTCTGCACTGAACAGGCGTAGGCAGACCTCCGGTGGAATCCCGTGCAGGGATTGCAGCAAAGGCAGGAAGTACAGGGTTTAAACTGCAACAAAGTAAAAACCTGTGCAGCAATCTACCCTATACCCACATACAAATACATGTAAACAGACGCATGGGCGACACAACTAATGCGACAACGTAGCATGCAGTTGACCTAGTACACACTGCAGCATAACTAACAATTACGGTTTTTTTAGCGTAATATAGAAAATGCGAGCAGTTGACATACGCCCTACACGTACAAAGATACAAATAAAAAATCACTAAAACCACCTGTAACATTGAAAACCACATGGGAAACCAATGAACGAAAAACCTCCAATTAAGCCCATGCAGGAAAAAAGAGAACCATACATACAGTTGCAGTTTCTGAAACACTCATTTCTCTATAGTCGCAAGGAAAAACCTTCTGGTATGGACCCACGTCTTGTCGGTACAACGACAGCATGGAAAGTGAGGTACGAGGTTACGGTCTGGAGTTACCTGCTCTTGGCTGTATGGGGCCAGAGGGCCCTGTAAGGGTGGTCTCACAAGACAAAACGTAGTTTTTGTTTTGTAAATATTTTATTCAAAACATTGTTACAACTGTCGTAGGGATTTTAAATGGACATTTAAATGCTTATAAGTACCCCAAGGAGGAATATATAAAAAAGAATCTTAACTTTGGGTTTAAGGTATCTCTTAAGAATACTTGTTAACAACTTTGCATATAAATTCACTGTAATGAGGACAAAAAGTAGCTTCGTTCAAGCTTAGGCTAAAATGCAGAATCATGAGACCTCCAATTGAACTGCAGCTCTATGAGACATGACAACTGTGAACAGTAGTAGCTGGCCTACCTTGAGCCCCTTCCAGAGTTTCTCCAGTTCTTGTTGACGCTGGTCCACGTAGCCGCTCTCATCGGGGGTAGGAGGACTTCACACTGAAAACACACAGGCATTACACACTGGCCATCATATTGGATGGTAATAACACTGGCCATCTTACTGGTTGGTAATAACACTGTCCATGACATGCTTTGTGTCAACAAACAAAATTCTTATTCCAGTGAGATAGGGGCGTCCACTGGGGATATTTCACTATTCTGACAGTAGTAAAATGACTTTCAGGCTTGATAGCTACATTTATCAATGTAAAAGAAACAAATACAATTTTCCCAAATATGTACATTGTCCATTTTTCATCGCCATTTCCACTTAAACCAAACAGAAGTAACTCTACACTGAGGTTGTTCTAATCCTTGATCATCGATGCAGTAGGTTTCAAAATAGACTTTAGAAGGAGCATTTACAACTAATTGCAATTACTGAAACCATCAATCATAATGCAATTTTTTAAACAATCCAATCAGAACTTTTCAACTCCTATCACATATGTATTGCAAATTGTGCAAACAGTGCTAAACAACTACCTACAGATGATATCTCCCTCGTTAAGCTGGGCAGTGTATCATCGTGTTTGACATTCTAACAAAATATTTTTTAATCTGTTTTTTTTTGCACAGTCTTAAGTTCAGACACATAGCTTTCACTTATCAACGCATTCATCATTTACAATGTCGTAATAATTTATGTACATATTTTAATGTATGTTCACTATATCTCAAAACTTAATTTTGGTACGATATTGTCTCGAAAACTAAAATGTTATTTTACAGGCACGCTAATGTCCATAAAGATACATATATCACACGTCCAAACTCAGTGTTTCTCCTAGGCATAAACATTTTATGAGTCATTATGACTCTTGTGTGTCGTGAGAGGTAGTCATTGATATGTTTTTGGGAATCAAGTTCAGTTTGGAACTTTCATCAAGACATCAACTGTGATTGTTTAATGAGAGAAAACAAGGTCAGGTATTTAATGAGCACTGAGCAGACCAGACTACCAGACATTACACTAAGTAGTTTTAAACAACAACAAATTTCAATATGTACTCAAACTTAAACTTAAATTAGATTATCTGAACTAAGGGCCCAGCAGCATTGCGTCAACAATGACGCAAGCTTCTACATTCACAGCGTATTTGAGATAATTTGTGTGCGTCAAATACGCAGGTTTTCTGCGTCATGGCAAACATTGCAAAATGGTTAAATCTCGGACTACTGCTGATCGACGCCCATGATGGATTTATAGGTTAATTAATAGTGTCAATTTAGTGATGATGAAATATCATATAGCATCATTGATTGTCTTAATACCTTCAGCCAGGTAATGCTGATCTGATAGGTTTATTCAACACTAATTACGGCACCCACTGAGTTGGCTCAATTTGGAATGGTTTGTCCAAATGAGTTTTGCACTAATTTGCAATATATTGTTGAAACCAATAATTAATCTGACATACTGATCTGCCCACGCGTGGCCCCATACTGCCATAGCAGCAGAGATATATTTCCATGACAACATACAATTAATCCAATTAATTGATCAGGTAAACAGAAAAGGAATAATCACTTTTGGTATGACATGTAATTGGTTGACAATATAATCATTGAAATCTATTTTGTCTGCACAAACTTTGAACAAACTGGTCACGACTACTGTAATGGATTTGTTTCATTCACTATTTATTATCTCATGCCAATATGCATTTGAACTAGTGCCTTGATCTGTTATGTCAATATGGAGACCGGGTCCAGTTCAAGATGATGTTGCCGATTGTGATGATAAATAAATGAGCCGTCGTCTGATGATGATTTGGAGCTTTAACAAATGCTTTTCGTTATAATGCTTTTTTACACACGGGTCTGCTAGGCCATTTAGTGTTTGATCGAAAAATAGCTTATTTGAACCAAAGATATGGCAACCTGAAGGGGACGTCACAGTTGCATAATGAGATCTGTATGGATTTGTAATTTGGAAATTTGCCAGAAATTTGGAAGAACTGTAGGACGGTTTGGTTGGTACTTGTTTTGCTTGGTTTTATGTTATGTTTTTGTACGTGTTTTTTTTAATGTTTGCACTAGTTGGTCATGTGGGATTATATGCGACCTAGAAGGCTGTCAATCTGTTCTAACATGTGCAAGCTGATGACATACACAGACAGCTGGGGAGAGATGTTCTCCTCATTACCACATGTATGTACTTGACACCATGTTGTTCTCCATGACATCATTAACACATTTGTGCTCGACACCATCCATCATTAAGCCCTTGGACCATGTTAACACAGACGTATTTGACACCCTCCCACGTCACCTCCTGCCGCCATAACACAGATGTAGACACTCACGAGTCTCCCAGGTAGTTCATCCTCTTCATCTTCTCCTCCATTGGAACAAGTTCTCTCTCCACATTCTAAAACAAAGACAACCATCTCAAATCAGCTATCTTTAACCATTATAGACCATACTGAGGTTGTCTTACAGTCTGTGACAGTGAGTGAGAGAGTTTAGTTTTTATATGGTTTTAGCAATATTACAGCACTATCACAGAGGGGGACACCAGAAATGGGCTTCAGACATTTAACCCATGTGGGGAATTGAACCCAGGTTTGCGGCGTGATGAGCGAATGCTTTAAAGGGGCACTGATCCAGAACAATTTCCGTTGACTGGTTGTTGCTTTTGTTGTTTTTCTCCCGTGAGTACCTGGATGATATCCCAGAATTCTTGACTGGTTCGTGATCTTTGCTGCGCCACCCGCAAGAGCAATAGATAGTATAAGTGTAGATTGATCAACAAAGTTTTGACCTCTAGGCTACCCCACTGCCCGTCTGTCACAAACATCATAAGTTGACCCCACGACATTGAAGGCATTATGAAGACATAGCAAAACAAGCTGTACATGGTTGGTGAATGGTAAACATACCATACACAGAAAATAATTATTGTTTTTTAATTTTGGAGTGAGTGAGTGAGTGAGTATTGGTTTTACGCTACTTTTAGCAATATTCCAGCATAATTGTGGTGGGCGACACCAGAAATGAGCTTCACATATTGTACCCATGTAAAGAATCAAATGCGAGTCTTCGGCATGACGAATTAACGCTTTAACCAGTAAACTACCCCACCGCCCCTTTCAGTTTCGGAATGAAGAACATAGCCACTCACAGCATGTCGTCGCTGAAGGGCCCCGATTCCCTTGAGATCCTTGCCCACATCGTCAGTCATCAGAGCATTGTTCTTGTCCTTGATCCACTCAGACAGCTCATCACATGTTGACTTGAACAGTTCAATGCTAAAAGCAGACAAGGAAATACATGCAAGGTGATTGTGGATTATTCCTTAAGTGGCATGGGAGAGACTGCACATAGACTACCAGATGGGCCATACAAACACAAATCTTAAACCATAATTTGTCAGCAGCACACGTGTTAGCGATTGTTTTCACATACATCAGCAGCAGCACCAGTACCATAAGACCCTCTCGCCCCGAGGGCCCGAAAAGCTCATTAGTGCAGCGATAGTTGTTTCTGAACAAATGTCACAGTTATGCCTGAACTATTACCTTGAGGCGCCCTCTAGTGAGCGTTCCTTGTCCAGCTTCAGCTTGTTCAGGTTAGCCCAACTGCAACACAATACATTGTACTATCTATAATATAAAGTGATATTGACACCATTAAATAAGCATTAAAAGTTTTCAAATTCATTCCCAACTGACATATATATGTCTCTAAATAATTGAATCTGGACCAGACAAACAAGTGATCAACAGCATGATCATCGATCTATACATTTGGGATACAATGACATGTTTCAACAAAGTCGGCAAGTCTGACCACTAGATCCAGTAAGTTGCCTCTTACAACCTTGAGATGCTGAAGACCAATTCTAATCCGAATCTCATGTAACTGAAAACTAATTTTGATGGCTTTAAAAGGGTAACCTGTATTTCATCCATACCTCTACTAAGAGGTTTTAATCCTTTGTTTTATAAATTACCATTATTTACCTGTCATTGATCTCCTTCTGGCGACGTTTGACTTGATCTGACTGACTGCTGCCAGACTTTATAATGTCTTCTGCCAGGACATTGATGTTGTCCAGCCGACCCTTGTTGGCAGCCAGACTTGTCAGCAAGTTCTAGTCACAAATGTTGAGAAACAGATCATTATTACTTTCATCAAAACTGTAACAGAGAACAATAATAATACTTATAAAGACTACTCTCATGTTTTCTGTCCTTCAGGATGCCTTGGATAAACTTAATCATGGTAAAACAACAATAATAGTTTTCTTGTAGTAACAAAAGAGCCCTGATTGTAACTTTTTGGTTTCCAGATTCTCGGCAGAGAAACTGCCTTAGAGGAGCACATTTCTGACAGGAATGATCCTTGCCACAAGATTGAGAGAGACACAGAAACACAGTTAGGCTGAACCTACCTCAAACTTCTTCCTGACAGCATCCATGTTGTCAGCCAGGCTCTCCCTGGATTTCAGTACTCCTTCCTGGAATAAAACATGCATACCGTCAGAGGTCATCTACATCTGGATCACCAAGGGAGCTGCCCAATACAGGAGATCTATCACTAGCCGTGAATCAGTGGGATGTTCTGCCAAACTCGATGCAGGACCTGATATGTTTAAACACAGGGTAGCTAACATGCATTGATTGGTGTTACCCAAATCCTGAATGAGCATGGCCCACTGATTGGTGTTACCCAAATCCTGAATGAGCATGGCCCACTGATTGGTGTTACCCAAATCCTGAATGAGCATGGCCCACTGATTGGTGTTACCCAAATCCTGAATGAGCATGGCCCACTGATTGGTGTTACCCAAATCCTGAATGAGCATGGTAGCCCACTGATTGGTGTTACCCAAATCCTGAATGAACACGAATGAACATAATGATCACATCACACAATTGACCATGCAACCAAAATTGAAAATTTCATTTGAATATGAAGGATGTTAAGAAATGTGTACTGGACACCACAACACAAGCAACATGTCCATCCACATACACACTGTACGCTATTGAAAGACTACGAGAAGAAGCACAGAAAGTGTTACCTTCTCCTTCATCCAGACCTGGAACTCGTCACATTCCCAGTAGAAGGTGAACAGTTTGATTGCATCCTCTAGACTGATCCTTCGGGCCTGTCATCGAAAACAAAAATTCAGTATAAAAACACTTTTCATATAAGCTTTCAAGTATTCATCTCATACATCCAAAATTCATGGGCGTAATGCATTTTTTCGGATCGCTTTATGTACAGACAGTCATGGAATTTCTATCATTTTTATAATTTGGTAGAATTCTTGATCAATAAAAATTTGACGAAAACACATAGCCGTACTAATACCAGATGTTCCTTCTAATTCCCTCTATTGGAGTGTCTGTGTGTACCAAACACGTTTCCCAGTGTTCAGGGTTTGAGTCGGTTCACTTTCCATGACTCTTACTGTCATTCAAAACGTCCCAAAGACATTTCTGAATTTGGAAATGGGTCAGAAAGTCCTCAATAAGGTTGATATCATAAAAAGTCATGTCACTTGTCTCAAGTAAATTTACTGTCAGGTACTACGGTGAGTGAGTGAGTGAGTCTAGTTTAACGCAGTTTTTAGCAATATTCCAGCAATATCACAATAACACCAGAAATAGCCTTCACACACTGTACCCAAAAGGGAATCGAACCCGGTCTTCGGCTGATGAGTGACCACTTTAACCACTAGGCTAGCCACTGCCCCAGGTACTACAGTCAAAATATTACTCAAAAATATTTCCAAACAGAACAGACTTGTGTTTCCATACAAATAACACACAGAATGACTGTCATATAATAAGAGGTATTGAGTTCAAGTGCAGCTCCACCACATAATACAATTATTTCACGCTTCCTGATCCTAGTTCTGAAACAATACAGTCATAATGTAGAAGAGCAAAAGACCTAACATATCATTTGACATACCTCATATAAACAGTTACGATCCAGTAAGTGAGTAAGAAATTAAATATAATTATTGGGTTTTTTTCAAGTTTGGAGAGAGTGAGTGAGTGAGTGAGTATGGTTTTACGCTGCTTTTAGCAATATTCCGGCAATATCACGGCAGGGGACAAAATCCAGAAAGATTGGAAGTACATGGACCTTTGGGTTTGGTGTCATGATCATCTACAACACAATGACCTCATTAATAAAACATCAGACTCATTGAACCCGTTAGAATGAACCTTCAGTAACTCATGCTTGTCGTAAGAGGCGACTAACGGGATCGGGAGGTCAGGCTCGCTGGCTTGGTTGACACATGTCATCGGTTCCCAATTACGCAAATCGATGCTCATGCTATTGATCACTGGATTGTCTGGTCCACTCGATATTTACAGACCGCTGCCATATGGCTGGAGTATTGCTGAGTGCGGGTAAAACTACACTCACTCACTCACTCAGATTCATTGTACATTTGGTTGTGCAGAGGATGCAGCCATGTTTCAGGTATGACCTTCAACAAGCAGCAAACAATATCTGCTGTGATCCCAGAGCAGAATTATAATGGCAAACACATTTATATTCCATAATTTATTCAACAGCAATCCATGACCATTGATTGCTTTAACAGCCTCAGTGCCCTAAAACCTAATCAACCACAGACAGGATTCTGATTGTTCATCATTTGAGTAGGTTTGGATTATATTCTGTATTATATACATGTACTGAATTGGGTGAGTGAGTGGACTGGGTTTCATGCTGCTTCATATAGTTTCACAGTTATAAACATGCATCTCAGGTTGGTGTCACCTCAGGAATGCCTGAAGTGTTGAAGGTCTCAGATGGTTATAACCTCAGGTGCTACTATACTATTCATACTTTGCATACTTTGCTAAGGATCAAATCATTGATCCAACAGAAAACTATGATGTGGGGTCTAATTTGATTTAAATATCTAAGCTTATTGTAAGCAAAGAACCTATGTTTCAGTATGTCACTGCATCTTGTGGATCTCATACCTGCTATTGACAGGTGTTGTGTACTTGTCACTGACTCGTTCCATGATTTGCAAAATGGTTGATTGGTGCCATGAAAACCATGTTTATGGTTACTGATGAATCAAGTGCAAGGTTAGATTAATGTGGCAAGGTTAGATTAATGTGGCTGTTTGCCTAAAGAGGGGTTAGTATATAACTATTTATCCCGTTTAAAATGAATACATTTTCAAATTATAAATCTATATTTAAGTAAGGTGGTGAAATTTTGTGATCCTTAGCCAAGTGTGAATAGTATATGTGGTGAGACCCACAAGCACGGTTATGGAGCTGACAAACAAGTGAACATCATGGGGGTGAACCTGGATTAAATCCAGGTTCCTGGTGTGCTAAAGGGAAGCAACTCTGCACACTGAACTGCCCTACTTCAGATGACTGGGCCATCCATGACGAAACACTTACTGAAAGCATTGTGAGTTTGAAGCCAGTGACAAGAAATCTGCAAGCTTCTTTCCAATCCTTTCTGTTAGCAATGTCTTTAGATAGACCTGACTAACGTATAATCCCAGTAATTGTGATTCCAGTCATTCAAAAGATGCTTTGTTGGGCCACTTATCATCATCTGATTTGTATAACATTAGCATTAACAATTGCCTATTTTCGAAAATGATATCTCCATTTTCCTTTTTATATCCATTCAACTAATTAGCCATTGACTCTGTCATACACCTGTTCAGTTTCACTTACTTAATATCGTCGTGTTGTCGTTTTTGCTTTTTTAAGTCACTTCTTACCTGAAGACAAAATCAATTCTTTGCTTGCAAGATACCTCAGTAAACTATTCCCTTTATGTTTTGGTGGTAGTAATTCTCTGTAAACAATACTATATTTTTCAATCCATGAATGGCTGATGTACCCCCCGGCCATGCATGTACAATAATCACTTTTTATTACGATCCGCACTGAATTTCGCAAGTCTCGCCAGTTACAACATTATTAACCTGAGCACAACCATGGAATTCTTGATGACGTGAAGACGTGAATGTTTACATAACGCTGAACATTATTGATTAAACACACCTACTTGAATGAAAAAAAACAACATTCTCTTATCACATCTGAATTTTTTAACTGTCAATAGTCAAGCCTAAACAGACATCAAAACAACAGTCATCATTTCAGTCCGGATTATAATATTCATGGCAACGGTACAAATAATCAACCAATTGATTCAGGCACCAAATTTACCAGTTTGTTTTAAGTCCATGCCTTGCAGGCACGATTGCTGATTAATGCATAGTTCCAATCAAACACTGATCATCCTCGTTACTTGCCAAGCCCAGCTGTAGACTAGCTCTCGTCACTCAGACAACACGATACTCACAGGAGACACACTACAGTAAGTAACAGAAACCGTTTTCCACTTTTCTGCTTATTATTTGATGGGTTGACTCAAATCATATGCTATTATTTTCACTGGGTGGAAGAGTATATTACTCTTATTTGAATATCAATATTTGTTTTCTAATATAATTGAAATTTCTAAAATATGTTATGTTTAAGATTGATCAGTTGTCACAAATCATATGCTATTATTTCATTGGGTGGAATAGTATATTACTCTTATTTGAATATCAATATTTTTCTTCTAATATAATTGATATTTCTAAAATATGTTATGCTTAGGATTGATCAGTTGTCACAAATCATATGCTATTATTTCACTGGATGGAATAGTATATTACTCTTACATGAATTTCAATATTTTTTTTTCTAATTTAATTGATATTTCTAACATATGTTATGTTTAGGATTACACTTTCTCAGTAATTCATGTTATACCAGGCAAGTTTTCAAGTTACTCCTGTTCCATACAATAAAGCCCTGACTAAGAATATCTTATGAATAACCTGCAATGTATACATGCAAATTAGTTCTACTCTTGACTCAAGTATGTCAGCGGTTTTACGACGCTTTTAGCAATATTCCTGCAACATCACAGTGGGGAACACCATAAATGGGCTTCACACATTGTACCCTAATTGTACCCATGTGGGGAATTGAAACCGGGTCTTAGGTGTGACGAGCAGATGTTTTAACCACTAGGCTACCCAACCGCCACTCAAGTATGTCAGCTCTTAGGGTTAGCAAAACAGAACCACAAACAAATTAACACCTGATGTGATACATTGAATGCTAACTGACAAGCTGATTCAGTGTGTTCTAGGCCATGACAGCCCAGTAAGTATGTGGTCATGAGGGGAAGCGGGCCAGATCCATATCTCAATTGACAGAATAAACACTGATAAAGATCTGGTTGGATGGGTATTTATCTTACAGTCAATACATAAAATGGCCAAAATTCTCAGTTTACAAACCATCAATATATTCAGCGTTCTGCCCAGAAACTGGACAAGGGGGAACAAGGAGGTTTTAATTGAAAATACACACGGCCGTTTTCAAAACCTCAGCGCCCACACTGTGAAAGATCACATAAAAAAGCATGTCTCTTAAAGTTTTTCTAAAATTAGAACCTATCTTTGTTGTTCAATTAGATTTCACACAACTTATACAAAACAGACATGTGGTAGTAAAACGCTCTGATAAACTGCAACCATATGTACTGACAAGCCGGATTTGTTGAAATTTCTTGTTTTTTCTACCTTACCTGAGTCACCATGGTTGCTCTCAAGGGGGCTATGTCAGATTTAACTCCTGGTGTGGCGTTTTAGAGGTATATCACCATATGAAATACCATTGTCAGTACACATCACAATATGTTTGGAGCGAGTGAGTTTGGTTTTACGCCGCTTTTAGCAATATTCCAGCAACATCATGTCGGGAGACACCAGAAATGGGCTTTACACATTGTACCCATGTGAAGAAACGATCCCCGGGCCTTCAGCGTGCGGAGCGGACGCATTAACGATTAGGCTATCCCACTGCCCCTAATAATATGTTTGGAAAATACTGGTACATTGTCAAAATGTGTAGAACAAACTCAAACTATAACAAACTAAAAGTAGTCAGTCCTTTGGAGAATTCCAGCAATAATTCCGGCACGTGACACAGAAATGGGCTTCACACATTGTACCCATATGGGGAATGGAACCTGGGTTTTTGGCATGATGAGCGAATGCTTTAAAGGGGCACTGATCCAGAGCAATTTCCGTGGACTGGTTGTTGCTTTTTTTTTTTTTTCTCCCGTGAGTACCTGGATGATATCCCAGAATTCTTGACTGGTTCGTGATCTTTATTGCGCCAAACAAAATGGTGTGTGCGATGTTTGTAGGTATTAGTGAATGTAGCGAATAGTCTTGCAATTTCCGGGAATCGAATACCATTCGATCACGTTTTTCAGCAAATCAGATTAAAGAACACGGTGACTTTTGGTTTACAATTTACAATGTTGACTTTTGTTGAGTATATACTCCAGACACTAGAAATGCCAAAAGGGATACTTTGTCTGGTGGTGTTACCACTAATTATACCTGTTATAAATTCATTATCTGACCATCAAGTGAATAATGACAAATAGCATGCGTAGGTTTATACCACCAAACAAGGGTTACAGCAAGGGAGTAGTGATCGCTGTACTGCATGCAATTTTAATTGCCTGGGAATACTTATGTTCCGACACTGTTTTGAGGATACGAACGGAACTTCATTGTTGCATAAGAAATACATATAAGTATTGTCTGTGTACTTATTATAAAAAAAATATATATACCTATTTACCCAAGTAAATTTTCAGATTTTTCTAGCTGTTGCAAAGTGGGGTTGTTTTATTTATGGATTCAAAGAAATGAGATGTGTGTTTTTAATATCATAGGGATTAGACATCATATTTTGACATGACATGATTAAACATTGAGGTCAAAACACATAAATTGGATCAAATTGGATCAGTCACTATACCATCCAGGCATTAGAAAACCTGAAAAGCCTACACTGCTTTGATACTTTATTGCAATCAGATAAGAACCACCGGGGATATTTTCAAATAACTGATCTGATCGGCATCAACCCGTCCTAATGTCCCACTGTTTAGGTTGAAGAAATTCTGCCAAGGTGGACAGTAGCCCAGTCCCCGTGTCCATCATGGTCAAGGGAGCAGGTACTGGCCAGTTTGTAGCTTTGTTTCATATATACGGAAGGACATACGGAGCCTAATACTATATCCCCCGCTTCACGCTAAACGCGCGGTGGGGGATAATAATTTGTGTGATTTTCAAGATATGAAGGTGACATAGCATACTGGCATCACAATAGTGAAAAAAAACAACTGGGTTTCAAATAACCCCAGTTGAGAATTAACAAGAAGACAAAGTCATCAATATCCCCCTCAATGGCAAAATACTCTTCATGATTATGTCTACGAGTTATGATTATGTCAAATATTTAGGTGTGTATATAGAAAAGTGGAAGGAGAGTATTGAAAGGTTTTTAAAGTTCTGCTCCAGAAAGGAGCACTACCACCAATTTCAGGCTAAGTCAAACTTGTTGCCACGGAAAAGCCAAAAATATTATATTCAGAATTCCAAAACTACCAAAAGGCACCAGTACACCACCAGACCAATCTATGTGCCAAGTTTGGTAAAGAAATAGTGAATGGTTTTAGAGTTCACCCCCGGAAAAGAGTACTACCACCAATTTCAGGCTAAGTCAAACTTGTTGCTGAGTCAAACTTGTTGCCATGGGAACGCCAAAAATATTTTATTTAGAATTCCAAAACTACCAAAAAGCACCAGTACACCAACAGATCTATCTATGAGGCAAGTTTGGTGAAGAAATATTGAACGGTTTTAGAGTTCTGCTCCGAAAAGACAAATGTGCACGGACGGACGGACGGAGTCCATTTTAATACCCCCCGCAAAACGTGTTGCGGGGGATAATAAAACCAATTCAGTTATTAAAAAAGGAACCTGATTCCAGATATATGAAAAGCTTCTCTGAGGTAGAGAGATGAGAGAAAGCTCATTGGTGTTATCCATGAAAATCACATCAACAGAGCGTTAACACAAGACATGACACCTGTCCTCGATGAAGCTGACATTCGACACTGCAGCAAAGACAAGCTAGTCACTAATGGCCGACCTGTGAAGACATAGCCATCCCTTGAGCCACAAGAACGGAAACTCTTTAGTGGAAACTCTTAGTGGGCAAAAGAGAAAAGGATGCTCCTGTCACTAAGATGATAGCGATGATGGAAACGATTACTTACACTTCTCAAGTTTGAGAAAGAACTTGTAGCTATTTAGAGATACACAGATGTTGTTTCTTCGAAGCCACTGCTGAGAGCCTTCGCTGTACTGATGTCACTGCATGTTGATTTGTATCTACTGTCAGTTACAGACCTTAAAGAGAGCCAGGTGCCATTGATTTCACCTTCATCTTCACCTGCTCTCACATTTGATGACAAAAGTTCTGAGTCTAATCAGTATCAGATGACAGCAGACAGGAAGCTTTTGAAATATTGAAGAGGACTTGAAAATCAGATTAAATATCCAAGGTCTGGGGATTTAAGCAATGATATGAGGTAGAGGTGATATTTGCATAAGTTATCTAATTTATATGCAAATATAAAATTTTGACAGTGTGACAGATCGGATTCACACTCATCAAGGTCAAAGATAATCACAGATCTAACCCTTATTTGATAAGGATCCTACAGAGGATGTTGTTTGCCACAGTTTGCCACATGTTCATAGATTTAACCCTTATTTTATACCGATGCAACAGAGGACGTTGTTTGCCACAGTTTGCCAAATGATCATAGATTTAACCCTTATTTTATACCGATGCAACAGAGGACGTTGTTTGCCACATGATCATAGATTTAACCCTTATTTTATACCGATGCAACAGAGGACATTGTTTGCCACAGTTTGCCACATGATCATAGATTTAACCCTTATTTCATACCGATGCAACACAGGACATTGTTTGCCACAGTTTGCCACATGATCATAGACCTAATCCTTATTTTGAACAGATCCAACTGAGGAGGTTGTTTGCCACAGTCACCACGGAGCTGTTCAAGAGACTCACAAACCAAAAGGTATTGGAAACAAATACATGATATCATACCTGTGCCAGTTTGGTGAGTTTGGTGTAGAGAACATTGATGCTTCTTTGTCTGGTTTCAACGTTATCCTTGTCGAAGTGGAGATTGGCCTTGGATCTCACTGAAAAGACAAACAGTTAACAAATCTTATTCCCCTCAATGGCAACTCATACATCAACCAAAGAGTCGGATAAGATGATACAGAGAAAACTGGAGATGTTTGCAAAGTTTACCTGAAGGAGCTCGTCGCAGTTTTGCCGCCTTGTCCGACTTCCTTCTGACAACTTCCTTCTGCATGACCGTCTTCTTGACTTTGATGCGTTCTGGGACTTGTACAGGTTGCTTCACGACCTTCTGCACGACCTTGGGGTCAACTTCCTTCACATAGTTGGCCGGGACAAATCCCTCGGTGTTGTCTGCCTTCCGCACCTGCCACCAGTCATTGTTCGTCCTCTGGAGGAGGATCAGAATCTGCAACATGAAGGGAGAGGAGTGAGAGAGGGAATCTGAGAGAATGAGTGGCTAAGTAAAGCAGTGAGAGAGGAAGTGAGTATGTTTTTACACCGCTTTTTGCAATGTTCCAGTAATATAACGATGGGCTTCACACCTCGTACCCATGTGGGGAATTCAACCAGGGTCTTCAGCATGATGAGCCAACACTTTAACCACTAAGCTACCCCACCGCCCCCAGTGAGAGAGTAAGTCAATCTCTCAGAGTATGTGTATAGAGTATTTTCAAGTGTGCCCCAAATTGACAGTGTCCAAAGAGTATGTCCTAAATTTAGTGAGTATATCCTGCTACATTTCACTCATACTCTTCAGAAGAAAAGTTCAACTTTGACATCAATCTTACTTGAATTGGACAGTCTCGAAAAGACTTCCAAACATTTTTCATCAGTAATTCTTATTGAGCCATTTCACAAGCACAACCTGACTGTTGGGCTGTGTATTGGCAAATAAATTGTTTGCAATATATTGTGATTCAGGTACCTGTACCACAATATGTATCAGTACATATTGGGTGAGGTGAGGTGAAATTGGGTTTAACGTCGTGCTTGAGAATATTTCACTCATATGACGACGTGCATGAGTGTGTATGTGTATGTGCGGCGGCTTGTACTAGCCCAGACTTAAGCTGGTTTTATAATGCTAGCCCACTGAGATATCATGCCGCAGTGAAGCATGAATACCCCACTCAGACATATTATACTGACTCCGAGCCGACCAGTCCTTGTTGTACCCATTAATGCCGAGCGTCAGGCAGGGACCAATAAGTACCATATTTTAACGTCTTTTGGTATGACGCGGTCGGGGATCGAACCCACGACCTTCTGCTCACGCGACCTTCCGCTCCCGGCGGACGCTCTAACCACTACACCATGGAGGCGGTCTGATATATTGTGAGCTAAAGTGTTTGACAGTGAGTGTGACGTGTTTACATGTACATATTTCTTTTTCATACCAAACCCCTAACAATATATGCTATGGTACCGATAACAGCAATCTCAAAACTATGTTGGATAGTCAGGGATTCTATTTTCCTTTCTAAACAATTAACAGCATGTAAAGTTTGCCATTTAGTCACTGAAACAGGAAGCATCATTTGTGAATGGAAATGTGTAGACTTTAACATAAACCATAGACTGACTGACTGACTGAGTTTGGTTTTAGGCCGCTTTTAGCAATATTCCAGCAACATCACGGCAGGGGACACCAGATATGGGCTTCACACATTGTACCCATGTGGGGATTCGAACCCGGGTCTTCGGCGTGACGAGCCAACGCTTTAACCACTAGGCTATCCCACCGCCCCCATAAACCATAGAGATAATCACCAAACTTCATACAATTTTTACCCAGCATACTGATTCTCAGAAAACAAAATATCGTAATATTGAAAAGCTTTTGCAGTGTAATGGTATAGAGGTAATCCCATGCAGTCCTACGTAACTGCCAACATATTTTAAGAAAGATAGTACCGGTAGCTGGTTTCGGATAGTGATGTATTACTCGTTTCTGTGCAAGGCAACTGAAACATCAGGAAAAACACAAATTCCTCCTCCCAGTTGAAGGATGTCTCGCCTGAACTAACTCAAGGCCATGTAATCATCTGCTTAGAAATCATACCCCGTGTCACTGACATCTATAATCCTGCCCACAATACCCACAAGTTGACTGCCAGAGGATACCTATAACATGCAGTGTAAGCTTTTGGAATTCAATCATAAAACTTTGATATGATATTCATAAAGTCTGTAACTCCCAGATCGATGCTCATGCTGCTGATCACTGGATTGTCTGGTATAGATTATTTACAGACCGGTGCCAAATAGCATTAATATTGCTGAGTGCAGCGTTAGACAACCAACCAACCAACCAACCAACTGTAACTCGCAGACTTTCTTGTCCCTGTATGTGATGAATAAGTGAGTGAGTTTAGGTTTACACTGCTTTTACCAATATTCCAGCAATAACACGGCGAGCGACACTAGAAATGGGCTTCACACATTGTACCCAAAGCAAACGCTTTGACCACTGGGCTACTCCACCACTTTGATGAATGACTGAATTAGTATACATAAATCTATTGTCCGGTAGTTCACGTTCACACCCTATAGGATCCCAGCTTTGAATAGCATTTAGCAGCATTTAGTTGGAGATACTAGTAGTTGTATGTCTTCCACTTCTTTATTACAATGAAGGTAATGTTTATCAACATTTAAAATCTGTATCCTTCATTAACCTTTCATGAATTATCCCTCACAACCGTCCCATGTCACATCACATCGAATCGCATCACCTGCTCGATACCAGTGTTGGTATGAACACTAAAACATCACATTTATTGTCAAAAAGACATATCCATATCCAACTCTTTCCTTTGTTGAAGGTAGGATCACTAAACAAAGACAACTTGGCAATAAAAAGGCCAAATAGTGTAAACACTGTGACAAACAGCCAGTAAAAGTCTCATCAATTACTGGATAGCCTGGGCCGTACTTGATACAGTTAGAATATTGCAGAGGTGTGTGTCAAACAGCCAACAAACAAACACACTGTTCCTTTGAGACTAATCAAAACAGTCAATTGTGATCAGCACAATGCCTATTGCATTTGTCAGTGTTGAGTTTATGTGTTAGGTGTGTACATGAAGTGGATAACACCAGACAAACTCAATCACTGTAATGCCCGTTAGTGCCCAGGCTGTCCATTTAGTACAAACTAATGGAACTGCCTCACCTAAACTACAGGCAAGGATAATATCGTTAATAATGGGTTTACCTGTATTTTTTGCAGTTGCCTTAACCTTTTATCACGAATGTTCTAAACAGGGACAGAGAAATTCGATCACAAAACCCATCACAAATGGAACTGATGTGGATTTTTTTTAGACTCATGCATGTAGAAACACTTTGTCATCATTACCCATGAATACCCTGAAATAGTTTGTGCATCCTGGTCAATGAATGCACACAATCCCACTCGTAGGAAGATCATCGCACATGATGGAAGGAGCCAATTCAAACAGTTAATCATTGAGGTGTTTTACCTGTGAAAAGCAACTGAGTTAATGGCCAAAACCATGCAAACTTGAGACCATGTCTATGTGAAAATGAGAGGTTGCATGCAGTAGTTATGTTTCAAACCGGAACTGCAAAAACAATTGTTGCTTAGCATTTTGGGTTCATTGTAACTGTCTGTGGTTGGTAGGAACAGACTGGCAACAAATGGGGCCTATCACATTCTGGCCATCCCCAATTAATGTCACCTCTCTCTGGGTCAGCTGCAAAGTCAGTTCAGACTACAACTCCGCCAGCATCCTTGGGTGATGTCAAATTCATGCAAAGATGAGAGGTAAATATCAGGCCACAACATCCAGCAGTATGTCAACTTTTGCTGCCATGTTACTGAACCAATGACAGGCGTCGTCTGAGCCTCTTGAGTTTGTGTGTTTGTTGTTTAATGCCGCTCTCAGCAATATTCCAGCTATATGGTGGTGGTCTGTAAATAATCGAGTCTGGACCAGACAATCCAGTGATCGACAGTATGAGCATCGATCTACGCATTTAGGATACGATGACATGTGTCAACTTGACAAGCATGGGTTACTGAACCATATCTTCGCAGGTCGATGCTGCTTTGAACAGAAATGTAGAAAACTCACGTCATATAAGTTTCTTTTCACATTAATCACTCTGTCACATGTTTTCAACAACATGAAACGTATCACATTCAAAACAAATCAATATTTCAAACCAAAATTAGAAAAAAAGAAACTTTTTTTAAGACGAGAACAGCAATTTTTCATTTACACAAAACCTTCAATTGTTAAACATACTGTGGTTGCCAATACTGTTTACAACACAACTGATTATATTGTTAAACTGGCGTGGTTGTAGCCAGTATCGTCTGCAACACTATACATTATATTGATTTTTTGTGAAAGGAAGGATTCTGTACTTTCCATAGTGTGACTGAATGTTTTTTTCATGGAATACAAGCCAGGGGTTTATCAGTAATCCTTAGGCCATTCCTCAAGGATTCTATTACCAGAGCTTTATTGATTCATAAACTGGTAATCTTTTGAAAGGGGGAAAACATCCGGAAAGTTTCAATCTGAACTATTTGTAGCAGTAGACATAAATACTTCATGCTGAATAGACTTGCCATCACAGAGAGATAGCAGCTCTTCTGCAAATCATTAAATAAAAGCGAGGATTTTGGTGTAGCATATAGTCAAGGTAGGTGTATATTTATTTGTTTAGAGAAGTTTTTACAGTATTCATTCACATGTCTATTCTCATTATAACACAGTTTGATTAGATGTCAAGACCAGTGTCACGATATGGCTGAAATATTGCCGATGTGACGTTAAATAATAATAACTCAAGACCAGTGTTTGCTCTTAACCCTGAAAAGCTGCAGGCCCTAAGGCCCCAGAACCATACAAAGTTGTGTGTCCTGATTGTGTAGGCCCTATATTTTAATACGGAAATAATACTCTTAGTTATTGGGGATGAAAAACTATCTGCCATAAGGACCTGCAGAAAACAAATGCTGTGGTTTTTCAGTTGGCTTCAGGCCTCAGGACTGACGTTAATTTTGAATGCTGGTCTAATTTCATTCTAGATGTTTCCTAATTACCACATCTGATGTTGCTGTTACTGAAAAGCAGCTTATACAAAGACTTAGGTTGGTGACCTTATTTGTGTAATTATCGACTGATCGTCGGATTAGTTATCACATCGACAATAAATAATTGGCAAACCAATTATCACAAGAAGACAAAGTCGTCAATATCCCCCTCAATGGCAAAATACTCTTCATGATTGTGTCTACGAGTTATGATTATGTCAAATATTTAGGTGTGTATATAGAAAAGTGGAAGGAGAGTATTGAAAGGTTTTTAAAGTTCTGCTCCAGAAAGGAGCACTATCACCAATTTCAGTGTATGTTGAACTTGTTGCCATGGAAATGCCAAAAATGATTTATTCAGAAATCCAAAACTACCAAAAGGCACCAGTACACCACCAGATCTATGTATGTGCCAAGTCTGGTGAAGAAACATTGAACGGTTTTAGAGTTTTGCTCCGGAAAAGAGCACTACCACCAATTTCTGTTTTAGTCAAACTTGTTGCCATGGAAATGCCAAAAATATTTTATTCAGAATTCCAAAAATACCAAAAAGGAACCAGTACACCACCAGACCAATCTATGTGCCAAGTTTGGTGAAGAAATAGTGAATGGTTTTAGAGTTCAGCTCCGGAAAAGAGCACTACCACTAATTTCAGTCTAAGTCGAACTTGTTGCCACGGAAATGCCAAAAATATTTTATTCAGAATTCCAAAACTACCAAAAGGAACCAGTACACCACCAGACCAATCTATGTGCCAAGTTTGGTGAAGAAATAGTGAATGGTTTTAGAGTTCAGCTCCGGAAAAGACAAATGTGCACGGACGGACGGACGCACGCATGCACGGACGGAGTCCATTTTAATAGCCCCTGCAAAACGCGTTGCGGGGGATAATAAAGTGATGCCTTGAATGTATTGCTGATGGGGAGGATATAAAAGAATGAAATATTAAGAAACAAAAACACTATCTTTCTTTCTAAAAGCAGGTAAATGAGTTGGTGCTTTTTCATTAGGATCTGCTTTAAGACATGCTTTTGAATTTGTTCAATCTTCACCTTCAGAAAAATCACAAAAGTTAGATTAAAAATGTTTGAAGTATTGTACATTCTCATGAAGAATTATTACAATTAAAGAGCAGATATATCTTTCTGTTACATTTTCTGTTCAGCATGAATCTGCCTAGCTGGTATGTTGACAATGGCTTAAGAATCTATACCAAATGTCGCCCCCCTCAGTACCAGTGTTCCTTGATAATGAGAGTGCATCAGTTCCCAGCCTGAACCTGATACAGATGTTGCCAGTGCATCTATAACTTAATGGCTGAACACCCAGCTTGAGAATGATGTCATAATACCTACTCATTGTCATACGCCCCTGACTGTGATAACACCTCTGATAGTCATAACAGCTACTATTTTCAGTAACACCTCTGACAGTCTATCACCTCCTGATAGTCATCAACACAAAGTGACAAGAGTTCAATACTCTCCTGGGTGTCGTCGTACAAAACCTTAGCCTGTCCACTTTCAGAAGCTTGTTATTTTATGGGAGTGAAGATCACCTCAGTGCTAACAATGTAAGGTGCAGTAGTATCGTGAGGAGTGCATATTCTCAATGTTTGTTTGTTGTTTAATGCCGCACTCAACAATATTCCAGCTATATGGCGGCAGTCTGTAAATAACTGAGTCTGGACCAGACAATCCAGTTATCAGCATCATGACCATCGATCTACACAACTGGACCCAAATGATGACATGTGTCAACCAAGTTGGCGGGTCTGACCACTCGATCGCGGGTCGCCTCTAATGACAAGTCTGGGTTGCTGAAGACCAATTCTAACCTGGATCTTCACAGGTCCAAGATTCAAGATTTACTGGTCGGTTACTTGTAAAAGTGTGTACAGTGGTCAAGTTGAACAGGGATTACGGTAATGTGGTGACCTGGTAACTGAAAATTGTCTGCTCAGGGGTCACCTTCTAACCCGTATCTTCACGGGTTTGATTTCAAAGTGTCTAAAGGAGTCGATAGCAATGTAAGCCTCTTCTGGTTTTACAGACAGACAATAGTTTATTAATGTTACATGTCCCTTGTTAGGGTTCACTCACCTCTGCTTTGTTGCATAAATCCTATTGCTTTCTATGTCCATGGGACTTATTGTCATGCTCTGAGGTATATTTCACTCCTAATCAGCATACATCATATTTGATACTTAGGATCATGTAAAGCAGTCACATCTCAGCATTCGGACATGGAGGTAAGACAATACACCATGACAAGCAAGCCATCTAGAAACTAACCATCCTTTTGGAGACACAAGATTCACATGCAGGGTTGGTGTTCCAAGTTAACAATAATGGTACTTTCATTACAGTACAGGGTTCGAAATACCCCATATATTAGTGTGCCATGGCACGGTAATTACTGAAATGGCACGGCTAAAAAATGTTCTCGGTGCCCTTTTGACACGCCTGATTTTTCAGAGACATAACTCACATTTAGTCATTTAATCCCCAAAACAATTTTTTTTTTTCCAAATTAAATAATACCATACATATTTGAAAGCTCATAAGCCCATTTCTTTATTTAACAATAAATTTCAAATGATCATCATCATTGTCATTTATTCTAAAAAATGTGGGCATACTCGATTTCTGAAAGGCACACCTAAAATATTTGTCTGGTGCCTTAAGGCACACTTAGACAAAAAAGTATTTCTATCCCTGCAGTACATTGTCCTGTCTTATCAATTGACACATTTATGAAGATGCGTAAATTTTAATGTTGTTCATTTCAGAGAAACCATGGATTGACAACAAAGTTCAATGTGCTTTTGGCAGGAAGACCTCAACCACTGTGCTGTGAAAGACTACGCTGGAAATAGAAAGCTGTAATGAATCTGACAACATTGGATGCAAGTGATCTTGCACTAACAGAGAGAAGTGATGTGGAGATAGCTTTACTCTCTGCTTTCATCATCTTCATAATCCTCCTCGCAATCGCTGGCAACATGGCCGTCATATTTGCCATCTACACCAGCCATCACCTTCAGGAGGAGATGTCAAACATATTCATCGTTAACCTCAGCATTACAGACCTGACGTCTGCTGTGGTCGTCATGGGCTCCGCTATGGTCGCGATAAGTACAGACAGTTGGCCCATGGGGCAGGCATGGTGTGATATAGTGTGTGCCGTCAACTACTGCATGATCATTGTGTCCATGCTCAACCTGTGCTTCATCAGCGTGGACCGCTACATCGCAATTGTCCACACACTGCAGTATAATTTACTCATGACCAGACGCAAAATCTTCATCATGATTGCATACTCATGGTTTCAGGGGGCAATGTTTGCATGTGTCCCAGTGATCTTCCGCTGGGTCAAATATGATTACTGGGAAGCTATATGTGCCATTCAGTGGCATGAACAACGTGATAAAGCTCTGTACTAACGTCATCATTGCATTTATTATGTGTTTTTTTTTACCTGGACTCATCCTGTTCGTTTGCTATTGTCAAATCCTCAAAACTACCAAAGCAAACCAACAAGCAATTGCCACTCGTGACTCTAACACTCAAACGGTCCGTGTCAAGTATACCACCAGCTCCAAAGCCATGTATGGTTTGCTGGTGGTCGTAGTGGCGTACTTTGTGCATGACGCCGTTCAGCGTGACAAAACTGTACAAGGTATCAGCAGCGGAAGACCATGTATTGCCAGACTATCTGAACCTCATTGCAAGTCTGACCGGCTACTTATCCAGTGCGGTCAATCCTCTCATCTACGGGATATTCAGGAGGGATTTTCGTAAAGCTTTTGAGCTGGTGTTTAAAAAGATACTTGCTGAAAGAGCAGTTGTCCCTGCAAGCCATGATATAAATTTGTCGGAGTAGAACTGAAGACTATCTTTACACACGTCTGAACATTTGTGATACCGTTACATCCATTTTGTACAGAGGACATCAGATTTTACAGTTGTCACCATGCCACATCAATCTGACAAGCATTCATAAGACTTCAACAGATTCCATTTACAGACTTATATACTTGGTAACAGATATAATAGCTTATATTTAGGGAAGATCTTTATTTTGTACTTATCTTTTTATCAATGTTTGTCTGTATTGGTGAGATGGGAAGTTTCAGACTGTAACTGACAGATTAAAGGTGCTTATATACACTAAATACACTTTTTGTCAATGGTATGTTGTCTGAACAATTTTTGAGTGGTTAGTTCTACTAATAAGTCACTGCTTCTTAGTGAGTGAGTGAGTGAGTGAGTGAGTGAGTGAGTGTGGTTTTACACTGCTCTTAGCAATATTCCAGCAATATCATACAGGGGGACACCAAAAAATGGGCTTCGCAAGTTTGGGAATCGAATCCGTATCTTCAGCATGACAAGCAGATGCTTTAACCATTAGGCTATCCCACTGCCACTCTTAGGCAAGTAGTTTACAGGGACATTGAAATTCTTTGTGCTTTTGGTTCATGACTTCATTCTGGATTTCACAGCCATTATTATGTCGTATTTCTTCTACAAAATTATGTGCAATTCTCAAATCTGTTAATATGTGCAGCATCTGGGACCAGAGAATGTCGTCGAGTACATTCAAAGTAACCAGAATCAATTGTACATCTATGTACCACGCGGAACATGACAAAAATGAAACAGTGGGTGCTTACCTCTCCTTTGTCAATTTTTTAGGCCTTGACCTTTATATCCATACATGGCCTTGACCTGAGGAATTTTCCGAGTTTCCACAACATCCTGCAGAACTTCCTTCTGTCTCACTTCCTCCACCTCGATTTCTCTGGGCACCTCCACAACTTCCTCCTCTTCCTCTTCCTCGGGCTCATGTTCTCCATTCTCGGCTGGTCGGAACTTTTCTGGGGAGATCTGAAACATCAACATGACGCCTGATAACATTCAGTCTACTCAATATTGAGTGAGGAAGAGCAGTTTTCTTCTGGTTATACACTATTCCAGCCATATCACGGCAATGGGCACCAAAATCAGCTTCATACACTACACCCATAAAGGGAACAGAACCTGGGCATTCAACATGTTAACACTTTAAACCACTCACCTACCCTACCAACCCCATACTGCCTTACTTCTTCAAGAGTAAGAGGAGTACCAGAAAGTTTTCAGGGAGAAATACAGGGAATCAGAAGTCCAGTTACCACACATTCCGCTGAAAGTCTTTTTATTTTTCCATGGAATACGAACATGCCATAATAATTCTATTTGCATCAAAAGGAACAATTTTACATAAGATATTACAACTGACTAGAGACATTAAGTTGTGAGAAATGGCAACTTGAACATATAGAAAGAGGTAAAGTTTCCCTTACTGTGCATAGGTGAGGAGAAAAGAATTTACCTCATAACTATTTGACATGTCTGTGGTGAAGAAGATGTCTTTTGAATTGTTTTTAATATTTTACAGAGTGGCTATGATGTAAGAGAGGGAAAGTATGAAACAGATTTATCACAAGTTGAGAAGCAGACAGAACTGACTTACATTATGCTCACTGGCAGCCTTGGTCATGAGTATAGCAAGATCTTCAAGACGCCGAATCTCTCCATTGAATGCCTTGATATCTTTCTCGAGACGATTATGTCGAGACAGCAGAGCCTGTGGAAATAAGGCATTGTTTTAAATGAGCAATCAACCTTTAGTTCATTTTGTAATGTTATCCAAGCCAACACTTGTAAAATAACAGGAGTAGTACTGAACAAAGTCAATGGTTTCATTTTTGTACTGGCTTCCTTCTTGACAAAAACACAGGTAATGTAATGTGGCAATATTCTCGTCTCATCTTTGCCAACGACATTTGTAATGTTAGGCGAAATATTCTCATATCATTCTTGCAAGCTTTACTTGTAATGTATAGCACAATATTCTCACCTCATCCTTGAAAACAGACCGGCAATGTAAGACGCAATATTCTCACCTGGGCACTGGCTTCATCCTTGCCGTGATCATCACTACACACGAGTGGCATCTTCTCCCTCATCCAGGACTCTGCCTCGTCAGCATCAGCGTAATACTGCTGTGCCTCGATGGCATCTTCCAGTCTGGTACGTCTGATGCGGGCCAGCTCTTGCAGCTGCTTCCACTTGTCCATAAGGCTTTTGATGCGAGACCCTATCTCTGATCTAGCTTTATGGCCTCCATTCACAAGGTCCTGACCCACAGCACAAATCTGCTCACAACGACCCCCGTCTTCCCTGCATTTCTGCTTCCATGCCCTATAAGAAGAATGTGAGTGAGTAAAGCATAGACACATTTGGCACAACAGTATCATGGCAGCCTTGTAAGTAAGTACTACACCTTGGCTTGAACAAAACAGGCACAGTGGACATCACAATGCCTATTGCCAGTTCACAATGATTGGTTGGTTTCTTGTCTTACAACACATTCAGCAATATTCCTGCTACATGGCGGCAGTCTGGTAAATAATCAAAGCTGGACCAGAAAATCCAGTGATCGATCTACGTAATTGGGATACGATGATATGTGTCAACCAAGTAAGTGAGCCTGACCACCCAATCCCAATCCCATCTTACGACAAGTATGGGTTACTGAAGACCAGTTCTAACCTGTATCTTCACGGGTTCACATGACAAAACAAAACCCTAGCTGATCTGTCATCCTGTTTGCCTTTCTATGTTGCTTAACGCCACATTCAGCAACATTCCAGCTATATAAAGGCAGTCATTAATAATCAAGCCTGGACCAGATAATTCAGTGATTGACATCATGAGGATCAATGGGATACAATGACATGATTAAGTCAGCAAGCCTGATATCCAAAAACCTGTAGCAATGGACCACCTAAGCTAACCATGTAGTCATAATGAACAACACATGATACTCCATTGTGTCTGACAAGCAACCAAGGAAAGACCAATGTCCACTATGTCAGGTTTACACACTCCATCCTGCCACAGCTTCTCATACATGCCAGTTACCTGTCAAGACACGACCCTCAAGTCTCACCTCGTGTTTCTTGAGCAGCTTGAGGGCTGAAGTGAGGTCTTTGCCTGTGCTGGTAGATTTGGCCTCCTCAATACGCTCCGCCACCCATCTCTCCTCCTCCTCCGAATCCTGAAGGAACTGGTAGTAGGCCTTGGCGACCTCCAGACCCTTCCGTCGTACATCACTCACGTTCTGCACTCTGCAAACACAAGTCATCACTAGGGGGGTGCCATCTTTTATGTTTCTAGGGGCACCATAACCAAATCAAAGCTTCTGTGCTTCATCATAGCAAACATCTAAGACATGCATATTTCAGGTTTTCCTGCGATGTTGAAATACTCTTCAGAGCATCATTTAACCAAACTAAATCACTCCATTGTCACTGGAAAGTGTTCATTATGCTTTTAAGAAAGAGGTATCTTAACCACAGAGGAAAAGATACCAATTGCCTTTTTAGCATTTTCTACATTTTGTACACACGAATCAAACCCAGGCATTCAGACAGATAAGAGGACACAGTGACTATTCCACTACCATGTTTTTACCCTACAAACTATGATAGTTTACAACTCATTTCATAAACATGACTGTGTCTTCCAGGATAAGAGAATGAGAGGATTACTTCAAGAGAATCTAGCTTCATCAAAACAAAAACAAACAAAAAAACAAAAAAATAACACATTACAGACTTAATTAAGTTTACAATCATTAAAATGCAAGTTAATGTCAGTACACAAACAAACAAAGCAGTTCTTGATGTTTGTTTGTTTGAATGTTTCTAGTTTATCTGATGCCACACGTAATATCCATCTGTATGAGAGCCACCTTTAAATAATTCAAGGCCAGACCAGCCAATATAATCATTGTTATTAGAAGCATCAATCTATGCTGTCATGGTACACTGACGTGTAATAAACCAGGTTCCAGAGCCTGACTAACTGATCCAGTCATCTCTGATGACAAACACTGATTCAGTTCTAAAAACTCAGCGCCAGAATACATCCAGGGTCAATTTGCAATGATTATATGGACAGATGTTTGTTAGTTGTCTGATAAAGCATTTCTCACTGAATCTAAAATCTTGACCTAATTTCTTGATGTAAACATCAACACTTGTTTTGTGTCTCGCCTACACAATCTAATCATCTACAGTTTCCAGTACCAATCACCGGTCTGGTATTTGCGACAAACACTTAATGCACACAAGGGAATAACTGTTTTCTGAAACAACCAACCTGTCTAGTTCCTGATTAAGTTTGCCTAGTCGTTTGTCCAAATGGCGCAGCCTCTTTGCTGCCCTCCTCCGCAAATTGTGTTGACCGTCGGTTCAACTTGCGAGCTCTCTTAGCCAGGGCCTGGAGCTGTGCTTCATGAAGGCTGTGTTGCTGGAGAAAGTCTTCGGTGCTCTGCAGGTGCTTGCCAAAGTCGGACACCTTCACCTTGTTCTGAGGGGGAAAACACCATCAACTGAATTAATACGACAATTGGATAATGAATACCCATCAGTTTCTGTGTTAAATGGCGGTATTCAAACAATTCCATCCACCTCATTAGATGTAAGAATTAACCTGAATCATTGCCTGAAACATATGCCCTAAAGTTACAATCTTATGAATTTTGCCATCATCAAGGAAACTTGAAGACTGACTGACTGACTGAGTTCGGTTTTACGCCGCTTTTAGCAATATTCCAGCAACATCAGGGCGGGGGACACCAGATATGGGCTTCACACATTGTGCCCATGTGGGGATTCGAACCCGGGTCTTCGGCGTGACGAGCCAAGGCTTTAACCATTCGGCTACCCCACCGCCCTGAAACTTGAAGAAGAACTGGAGACAGTTGGGTCAAATTCTGTTTGTTCAGTATTTTAATAATATCACAGTGTCCACTATAAGTAAAATAAACAGCCATAAATATTGCAGGTTTCAGCTATTTGGTAAAATACCTCAGCGAAGGTCTGATGTTGACAAATCAGACCATAATCAGGTCAAATCTTGGATTCAAACCCATGATGAGCAGATCCTGTCGCAACAAAGGGACATAACTATGTACAGGCCTTAAACCATTTGGCAACTTCAAGGGGTATTGTGTCTGAGAATCAGCCAGGCCACATACTATGTCTGCTTAATCATGTTTGTGTTCAGATGTGAAAAGGAAGGGATTCTGGGTACTTTCCTCTAAATCCCTGTAATGGTTAAGAAACTTAGATGAACATCTCCTGGCTTAACATCCGACATACAAGTTGTGCAGACATTCTAACAACATATTGTATTCTTGACATCACTAATAGCGACAGTCTGACATAGATGACATCCAGGACGTTGTGTGTCTACAGTTCTCATCCAGGATGCTTGCCCCATTAGTGCTAATTAAATGAAGAATATAGATCTTCACTACATTCTAACTTGTATGGGTAACAATCTAATTTCCATTAAGCTTTATATGATGTTCTTGCAAGCAGATAACAAATTGAACCTGAGCAGGAGTGATTAGATCGCCGACTTTGTGTGCTGTGATTAGGTGCCTGACTCCTGCCTGAGAGTGTGATATCGAATTCCAGACAGGACTCAACTCAACCATAGTACTAGAATCTGTACTTGACGGAATAAGTGTAATCCCAAATATAACATGTTACATTTGACCACTTTCCAAAATGCATTTTGTATTCATCAGAAGCTATTGATGAGAGCTATGCTGGTAGGAAACAATGAAACGGACAGTACACGCAGCTTCCTCGGTCGATTGAATGAGCCACGTGCAACTATGTACTCTACGTTTTTTCCTGTAGCTGTTAATCTGATTATAATTTCCTTACTGTGGGATAATGCACTGATGTAAAGTACATTCAACCTGTGTCAAGATGCAGTCAGACAGTGCGTCTAAATGGGTCTAATGGGTCCATAGTCATCACATTACTCGGACCATCATTATACATTTTATCATAGATCCATTGTCTGTGGTAGATGGTTCTTGAATGTGAGACATGCTGTAATCATCACTGGTCACCATTACCGACTTAGATTACTGATTTAGATTACTGAGTTGTCCCTGTAACAGGCCAATGTCAGCCATTGTTCAGTGCACATGTTCTAAATACCTCCAATATCCAAAGTATTCTGGTACATGTATATACAAATAGCACCTTCTTCAACCAACGATGAATCTACATTCAAATCATAAATCTGCTTGCTGAAACAGCTTTGTTTAACAGCAGGCGCAGGGGTGGAAATAACTTGAAAATTGCTAGTGTACTCCGGTACAGTGGCACATGTAAAATCACTTGCCCTGATAATGTTTCCACTATACCGGCCGTTTTCTTGTTGATTTTAAAAAAAAAATAAAAAATAAACAACATAATTAACATTGGAATATCAACTGGACACCAGTACAGTGTGATATACAAATTTGCTTGCCCGACAGAACAAAACACTGGACTCGGGCAATGGGTTATTTCCACCCCTGAGGCGGTCTGTTTCCTGTAAGCAATTAAGTTTGGGACAGACAATCCAGTGATTTATGTCATGAGCAACTAATCTATGCCAGTGGGATATGACATAAAATCACAAATCACCAAGCATGACCACTCAGTACATTTTGGCGCCTCGTCCAATCAGCACAGGTTTTTGGAGGACAAATTCTAACCACGGAATCCCCACTGATGCAATTTTCATTGACATAAGGATAGATGCCTGATTGTATAAATAATTTATAGCAATATTCTAGTAATATGACACTTGCCAGCAAATGATTGAATACTGACCCGGGTCCCGATCCAAAAAGATTTCGTATCGCTACGAGCAATCGTAACTATACAGTTTATCATAAGATAACAAATAATGTAGTCCTTCGAACACTTTGAGGATAGGGTCCCTGATACACAAGTGATATACTGGTATATTAAATTATTGGAGCAGTGAGCATAATGCCGATGAATACTGTAATCGTAGTTATTTTCGCGTGGGATTAATTTTCGCGCTTTTAGCGCAAAATGATTGTGCGTCAATAATCATACCAAGCGAAATATTCATGGTCAAGTCATGACAAATACTCAAGTAGGAACAACATGCAATTTGTTTATTCTCTCAGATAACAACATCAAACCAACATACAAAGGAATAGAGGCATATACTAGTATACTAGTAATAGCGATCACAATCAGCAAATGTTTGTCATCAGTTTGTCAGTTAATTGATAGCTGATTACTCGTAATCACAAAATGAACGAAGCTCACTTACATCAGTCACAAATCACAATGTTGACACAAGCATAATCCCACCTCTCTCTGATTGTTTTAGTAAACACGATTCAATTATGGCGGCTAGCTTTGATCATTGCATGTCTATGGGTTGTGAAAACTTTGTGATGGACACCACCACTCAGATGTTTGAAATGCGCGAAAAAACTACTGCGCTAATAGGTCTTTTGTGAACTTTATGCGAAAATTGCACCCCGTGAAAATATATACGATTACAGTAGCCAGACGCAGCAGCCTTTCAGTCTCCTGTCTAGTTGCCGTCAAGAACAAGCTAAGGACCCAGAGAACCCATTAAGCAACAGAAACCATCAGGGAACTTCAGTTTCTGTTGTTTAATGCCCAAGTCAGTAATAATCCAAGTTTATTTGAAGGACCAACCAAACCAGTGAATGGAGTATACTTGTCATAAGTTTAGAACTGCTAGATTTTTTTTCATATTACAATAGTTAATCTCTCACGGCATAACTTTAGTGACATGAAGGAATCAGGTCGTCTTTAAACATCTTTGAGTTGTATACAATGAACGATCCAGAACACTGGGATATAAATGAAACACAAGCAGTCACTGGACCTCACCACAAATTCCCCATTTTAGTTATCTCAGACGTGAATCACTTGAGACCTGCTTTCTGAATCCACACAGGGGTAGCCAGTGTTGAGTTAGTGACTGAGTGAGTGAGTTTAATTTTACACTGCTTTTAGCAATATTCTACCAATATTACAGTGGGGGACACAAGAAATGGGCTTCACACATTGTACCCATGTGGGGAATCAAACCCAGTCTTTGGCATGACAAGCGAACGCTTTAACCACTAGGCTTCCCAACCAACCTTAACCAGTGTTGAGACAGGTAAGAGACTGACCTCGACTTCCTTGAGCTCTTCCTGTATGCTCTCGATCTCCCGGAACATGGACATCATATTGTTGTAGCCGGACAGTGTCCTCTTGCGGCCATCTAGCTGGTCAAGCAGTCGTTTCCAACGCAGCATGATCTCAGAGTCCCTGCAGGAGCAGAATGAAGGCACACATGACATACACATTCAGAGTCAGAGAACAGTTCCTCAAATCTAAATTCTAACCTCTACATTACTTCAGATAGTGTACTACATACAGTATCTTGCCACCTGTAAGGCAAGTTTCCTGCACATTAAATACTCAAATAGTATAAAACATATACATATTCACAGATTTCTGCGTAAATATTAAAGTAACACTGCATGGCACTATATATACATAGTCAAGATGACAATTTGACAAAATCCTTAAGCTCTTATCAGCATCTCTCAAGGATAGTGTTCAGTTACATGATAGAGCCCACACATCAATGTTACAGCAATGTTACAGCCTCTTACGACAAGCATGTGTTACTGAAGACCAACTGTAACCATGGGCAGATCCAGGAGGGGGGAGGGGGTTGGGTTTTCAGGTGGTTCGAACCCCCATCAACGCAAAAATAATAATAATAATTATCTTCAATGTGGTCTTAAGTCATTTGAAGGGGGGGTTCTAACACCCCCAAACAACACCCCCAATGGTAACACACATCTTCATCAGGATGAGAACAGGACAGGGATAGTAACAAGTCTATGTACTTCCCATTGTACGTTTTGGAAAAATTGTACCAAGTTCTGGAAGTTGTCCAGTAACATAGTGTCCATATATATGTCTGGTGTGAGAAATATCAAAGGTATGTATTGTACCGGAAATCTAACTCACCTGTTTTTCACAGCGTCCTTAGCATGATAATTTCCCTGAACAAGTTCCTTAGCAAGACTATTGAGAGCTCGGAATCTGTCTTTCTGTAAATGCAAAGAAGAAAAAGTAATACGCTAATCTTATTATCATAACCGTAATATTAGCAATGAAAAGTTAATTATTAAAATAAAACAGATGTAGAATGAGTGAGCTGAAGCAGGTAGTATGATCAAATAAACTGCATTTGTGTGCTGAAAGTATTCAGCTCCCATGAGTAACTGAGCAAGAAGGGACAGTTGTAGAAGGGAGACAACTCTGCTCACCCTTGCTAGGATCTCAGCACTGATAGCTTCGTGTTTCTTGACAGCAGCCTCTGTCTGAGCAGCGTTGCTACACTCGATGTGTTCCTCCAGAATCTGCTCCATGTCATTTAACCATGACTCGCGTATAGCAGCCTGTGGAAACAAACACGAACTCATTAACCATTGTATACAGTTTTCAAACACTGAGTCAACATTTCATATCTACATCTAACTTCATCAAGAGGCAACATTCACTTTCTTTCGGGACATTAATGCTGAATCGGTGTTACTAAATTGTCTTAAATATTGAATATATCTTTACAAAGCATACACACAAAACCATGAGAATAATATTGGCTTGATCAGCACTCAATACCGAGTTGACTTATTATTATATTATTTGATGAGATAAAGATTCTTACCTTTCTGGCAAACCTCCTTGCTAGCTGTTCAAGTCTCTCTTGTCTAGGAAAATGAATATACATATTAAACAATGAATTACAAAAGAGACAAGAATGGTCTTAAAGACCACATAAATCACTATGTATGTTGATCTCAATTCATAGGCCCAAGACTTATCATTAATACATGACTCACCCTTACAGGTTAAATTCAATTTCTTTTTGAAAGCACAAGAATCTGTATCAAGGCAAAAAGACAAATAAAACAGTTCAAGATAACGGGGTTCAACTGTACTTGGACATTGAACAAATGCAATAGCATTCACAACAATCATGGCAAATAAATCACTAGAAAGGAATAGAATTGATACCCAACTAGTCCTTCAAAGACATCATGGAACTGTGACTCCTTCCTACCAACCTGATAAGTTCATCTCTGAGTGCGACTTCTCTCCCGTGTTCTGCCTTCTCCAGCTGCAACCAGGCTGTCTCTATGTCGTGGATCATCTGGCCCTCTGGAGGAGTGTACATCTTCTGGCCATTAGCCTTCAATCGAGCCTGGATGTTGAAATACTGCACTTCAATGTTTCCTCGCTCACGGTATCTGGAGGGGAAGGACATATTGTATCACAAACAGGAGCAGCGACAACAAAAACCTTTAGTTTTAAAAAGAATTGTTCTATACTAAATTATCATCAGTAATAACTATTTCATAATGGACAAAATATGTTTCACTTGTAAAGACTAAGCTTTTTCCAAAGTTTATTTTAAATAACAATATTTCATAAATTTCTATGTTATATATATTTTTTATTAACTAAATCATTTTTGTAACACAAAATATAAGATAGCACTGTTCATTACTATGGCTCTATTAGGTATACCACCAAAGTTCTGTTGAGTATAACATCACAGGCCTGTAAGAAACACCACAATGGCTGTACTGGGTATATCACCATGGTTCTACTGGATAGATTACAGTGGCTCATGTTTTAGCATATTACTATGGTTCAACCAGAACTATCACTGTGGCTCTTCTGAGTATATCACCATAACGTGATTGGATAGGTCACCGTGGCTCTACTGAATGTACTGACAAATGTATTTTCTGGGAAGGATATAAGGCTAGAACTAAATCAACTGTAGGCACCAAGGTAAGCATCATCTTGTGGCTTACTTTGGTGGTTTCTCGACTGTCATGTACTCCTTGAACTTGATGAGTTCCTTCTGGATGCCCTCCAAGGAGTTGGGTAGGCTGCGGCTGTTCAGCTCCATCATCTTACGGCGGATCCACTCCAGCAGGTTGGATGTCAGCCCTTCATATTCATTCTCCATCTTGTCCAGGTCACACATCATTCCAACAATCTGACAAAGGACACGAAATAACATTAACCAAACTAAACATGAACTTTGGACAATGTTCACAGAAGACAGAGCGAATGAAGCCTTAACTTACATGTTGAAACTTGAAGTTCTGTTTGCATACATACACACACATTACATACATACATACATTACATACATACATACATACATTACATTACATACATACATACATACATACATACATACATACATACATACATACATACATACATACATACAAACAAACAAACAAACATTTGTATAACGCCAATATCCATCTCAGCTGCTCAAAGGCGCTTTGTTTATTAAAATATCAGACAATTACAGGGTTTTTGCTCAACTGCCTCATATATTTACGGTGTGATTTTCGCACAAGAATCACAACAAAAATTTAATTGTGTATCTAATCCCTCCTTCGTTGATACTTTTTTCCTCACAATTTTAAATATATCTCACTAATTATCATACAAGGGGTAGGTTTCAAGGCAGGATAAAGCCAAACGATTAAAATGTATTTATGGATATACACTTTTGTTTTTGCTCATGCATTTAGTGCAGCACTCGGCAATATTCCAGCTAAATGATGGCGGTCCGTAAGAGGTTAGCACAATTGTATGTTACAGTATGGTATACAGCCCGCAGCATAGGTTACATGGGATTACATGTTCTTAGTAAAGTGAGGTGAGGTGAGATGAAATTGGGTTTATCGTCGTACCTGAGAATATTTCGCTCATATGACGACGTGCATGCGTGTGTATGTGTATGTGCGGCTGCTTGTACTAGCCCAGACTTAAGCTGGTTTTATAGTGCTAGCTCACTGAGATACCATGCCGCAGTGAAGCATGACTACCCCACTCAGACACATTATACTGACTCCGAGCCGACCAGACCTTGTTGTACCCATTAATGCCGAGCGCCAGGCAGGGACCAACAAGTACCATATTTTAACGTCTTTTGGTATGAAGCGGTCGGGGATCGAACCCGCGACCTTCCGCTCTCCGGGCGGACGCTCTAACCACTACACCACGGAGGCGGTCACATTTTGGGTAGAATCCCATCCATAAAAACTGCATTTGGTATAATCACCCTTCAAAGCTTTTTAAATACCCTGCTTTTTCTTTATACAGACACTGCATGGAATATTCATTCACACCTGTATAATGGCGTGATGACGGTTTGATAACTAATTCAACATCATTCAGTTTATTATGGGTATAAGTGTCAACACACAAGATAACCGTGTTAAGCCAAACAGTGTTATCAGCTCCGTTCCAGGGATAGCTGTCTTATCTACACAGTAAGTGGACACCAAAATCTCTCAACACTGATTTCATGGTGACATTACAGAGATTTTATGACTGCTTCGTGTAACTTCGTATACTGTGGCAAAATCTTTTTGTTGGCACATAAGCTTCCCAATGATGTTGGTTGGTTTGTTGTTTAATGCCGCACTCAGCAATATTCCAGCTATATAGCAGCGGTAAATAATAGAGTCTGGACCAGACAATCCAGTGATCAACAGCATGAGCATCGACTTATGCAATTGGGATACGATGACATGTGTCAAGTCAGTAAGCCTGACCACCCAAGCATGGGTTGCTGAAGACCAATTCTAACCCGGATCTTCACGGGTCACTTCCCAATGAAAGGGCACTACCATTATCTCACTAAACAGTATCAAAGTCACACAAACTGACTAATGTATTTGAGTATTTATGGTGATTAAGCATCCACATACCTTTGCAATTCTCTTGCCTCCTGTAAGTTCACTCTTCATCTTGGCGAAGTAGTGATAATATGAAGCCACATAGGTGATGATGACTTTCTCGTCTGGCTTGTTCACGTCCACATCTGATTGAAAATATCACATGGGTCATGTTTCATAAAATATTCCCATTGTAAATCATCAATAAGTTCAGGAATGGCAGGGAGGTCAAAGATGTCAGTGTTATAATTACAACAAAATCTAAAACAAGGCAAACAAACAAGTCGGAGATCCAATATTTGCCACAATGTCTTACAATGTCTTCAAGAGGTGAGTATGGGAGATCCTATCCTCTACAATTTGGCACAATTTACACTGCCTACAAGAGGTGAGTCTGGGAGATCCCATCCCAGACAAAAGGTGAGGTGAGGTGAAATTGGGTTTAACGTCGTGCTTGAGAATATTTCGCTCATATGACGACGTGCATGCATGTGTATGTGTATGTGCGGCTGCTTGTACTAGCCCAGACTTAAGCTGGTTTTATAGTGCTAGCCCACTGAGATACCATACCGCAGTGAAGCATGAATACCCCACTCAGACACATTATACTGACTCCGAGCCGACCAGTCCTTGTTGTATCCATTAATGCCGAACGCCAGGCAGGGACCAACAAGTACCATATTTTAACGTCTTTTGGTATGACGCGGTCGGGGATCGAACCCGCGACCTTCCACTCTCCGGGCGGACGCTCTAACCACTATACCACGGAGGCGGTCTCCCAGACAAGAGCCACAATGTCTGAGGCCATCCAAAGCACATAGAGATTTTTCTCCCATACCCTAATGACTGATATTCAGTTTAATGTCAATAAGCCATGTAAATCCAGCCAGGTTCAGGATCACCACTTACCTTCAGCATCAAGAATCCTGCGGATCCCCAGCTCACTGTCGGCGACGTTGAAGGCGTGGTTCAAGTTACCCAGGTTGTCCCCTGCTTCCAGTTTATTGAAGTCAAACAGGTCAGGCCTGAGATAAATAACATCCATAAACTTAACCTCTTTATTCTGGACAGTATGGTTCTCAGAACATTACCCAGTCAGACCATGGGTACAGAGCATTTACCTTTGTAGATAATCACAGAACAGTAATTGTACAGGAAGAGTGAGTGAGTGAGTTTAGTTTTACGCCGCACTCAGCAATATTCCAGCTATATGGCGGCGGTACAGGAAGAAATGATTTTGGACTCACAAAGTCTCTGCTTACAGGCGTTCAATAAAACCAAATGATACCACAATTACATTACAGAAGGACAACATTATGCCATAGGGGAAAAACAACAAAAATCACAACAGTACAAAAAATGACTTTAAAAATTCAAATTTTCTTTCCATTACTCTTGTCTCACCTGTGAGCATGTATGAGGGCATTAAAACCCAGGCCATTTCGCCAGCTGTTGGTAAAGTTTGTGATCTTGACTCCTGGGTAGCTGAAGAGTGCACAATACTTTTCAATGAGCAAATGTATGGATTGGTTGAAATTTACAACACTTTCATTTGGGGCAAATGTTATATATGTCTCAGTGATGACGCTATTGTTTTCACAAATACATCCACAACTTAGTGTATTGCATTCATACTATGTTGAACACTAGAACTAACGATTAAAAAAATGTTGATATTTATACGCTTGGTGTTCAAGCAACATCTTAAATCCCTGGAGACATATCACAGTAAAGTATAACTATTGTAATTAATTTTCTTGCAGTGAGTCTCAGTGTTAAACATGTTAGATTATCATTATTTCATCTTAAGCATCCTTGGCTTCTGTTTCACCTAAGCTTGACAGAAATGGAGAAATGTGCCATGTCTTGTACAGCCATGCCCCCTACTTCCTCAGACCCAGATTCCCCTGCTGCACTCACCCTTCAGTCTTCCTCTGACACCATAGCAACAGAGCATCCTTGGCGGATCTCCTCTCACTGTTCTCCTCCTCCTCATCCTGAAACACGGGATCATAACATTTTAACTGCTGTCAGGCGTAAAATGTCTTGAAATAGAGTAAAATGATGTCCAAAATAAACTTAATGTCAACAAAACATAGAAACAATAACTACAGACAAAAAGCCCAAAAGCACAATCGCCAAGGCAAGGAAGAATCTGATTCAGAAAAGGTTCTATACCTCTTACACAGCAAATGGAGACATATGGCACATGCTGTACGTCATACAATACAGACGACAGTCCAAATTATGCAGCATACTGAAGAAGGTAAACCCTTCCATCCTCTCCATTCTAAAGTGCTGAACAACGAACAGTAACTTCTCTGGAAGATGTGCTTGAATAAAGTAACCTTCAGAGACCAATCTGTCAAGGAAGGCATAGATAGAGAGTGGACCATAACACAAGGAACTCACCACTTGTATTGTGATCTCCTGGATCTGGAATCGGAGGATGATGGTCCAGATTAGACCCAGGATCAGTCGAGGGTTTCCATCTACGATATCTTCAGCACCAATATTCTCAAAGTATACCTGTGAAATAATAGTACATGTTGACATCAATTCATTCTCAATCAAACTTACAGTTGAGCATTGTGTTTTCAACACTTAATAGCCCCATGCTTTTACACATGTGCCATAGGCAAGGCAACTATAAGTACCACCTTTAAATAAATTTTAAATTTTATCTCCATATATGGCTAGAGATGGACCCATCAATCTTACCCTCTCTAGGCAGACGCTAGAATCTCAGGCATTGCAAGTGGTCTCACACAGAGATGAGCAATGGGACAGAAATGTCAAAACAAAACCAGTGGTTGACAATGTGAGCACCGATTTACATCAGAAGCGTATAATTACACACCAACTTTAGTTTATGCTGGCATTTAGTGATTCTGGATGGTCAACAACACCTATCATCACAACTGTACTGAACCTGACTGACTGACTGAGTTTGGTTTTACGTAGCTTTGAGCAATATTCCAGCAACATCACGGCAGGGGACACCAGAAATGGGCTTCACACATTTCTACCCATGTGGGGGATTTCAACCCGGGTCTTAGGCGTGACGAGCCAACGCTTTAACCACTAGGCTACCCCACCGCCCCGCCCCGTACTGAACCTTAGGGATGGGCAACTGAAGGAATTGGGGGTCAGATGTGGCAAATAATCACAGAAGTGAATCTTTGAAAAAAAAAATATGCCCCAGTCTACAATCTGCACCTATGTCGTGGTGGCTTATTAATAATCAAGCACAGGCCCAGCTCATAATGTTTGATAGAGTTTGAGGAATTGGCTGACAAGCAGCAAGATGACCAACATTAGCCACAATCTTCATCCAAGCTGGCTCAGATGATGTTTCTGGTGGGGAATAGGAATGAAAGAAAACATTTTTAAAATAAAGTCTAAAAGTCTGTTCACCTTCGTTGCAAGAAACTTGAGGCATTTGTTCAAGTTTTCTACTTTCTGCACTCTGATCAACCCCTTGTTCGGTTTACCGAGATTCTCGCCCGAGATAATCTCCAGCAGTTTCATTAGAATCTTGCCATCAGCCAGGTCTGTGAACAAGTCCTTTATCTCAAGTCTCGCCTGCAACAACAGAACATTCACAAATTAGAAACTGTGGCTCTCACCAAACATAATATTAACAGACATTTTACAGATGCTTCATCTAACGATTACACACAGCCCTGCACCAGATCCCATAGTCTGTCTCTCAGTCTCTGAACCATGTTATTTTCCCTACTGCCTTGCCCTCCCTGCAATGCTAATTATATAAAGCCCTAAATAAGGCAAGTCTAGATTTCCCCAGGTTCTGAAACTCTGGTCTCCCTGGGGCTCCTTTTCAATTTAAATGGGTTTGTTTGTTACTATCAAAATTATACATATTCAGAGACTAAGCGTTAGTCTACAGATCCCACAACAAATGTTTATACTGCATCAATAAAGAAAACAGATTGTGACATGAGAGTCCTTTGTCATAAGCTTCTTGTGGCATCATTTTGTTACCATGGAAACGATTCTGACAACAATCAAACCAAATGGTGTGAAACCTCCCTTTAATTGCCAATAGTTATCAGAGCATTCTGACAACTGTGTTTCCCAGACTCTTCAGAATAAACTTTAAGAAAGCATTCTGTTCAAGTCTATAATGATTTGGCAAGCTGTGCCTCAGCTCTGGAAATTGATTGTACTTAGCTTCCTTTTGTAAATCATTCTATATTAAGCAGTTATATAATCACAATCAGGTAAGTCTATTTCTGGTACAAAATGTTACTTTAACTGTAAATGTCAATTAAGACCACCTGGCAAGATATGTGCCAAATATTCAATGAAAAACCTCTCTATCCGTGTATGCATGAACACACCTGTGTCTAACGACCTGTTATACTTTCATGAAAACATGTTGTAGGTAATTGTGTCCACATTAGGGTAGTGATCATCACTGTACTTCAGGATCTTTACGATCCTCACCCCTTCCCATCTATCCATCTATTAACTGCAGGTGATGTGCTTGTGTCAGTCTCACCTGTGCAGCAGTGCAGAATGAGGTCAACATGACCTGGCACATCCTACACATAACTGCTTAACAATACTATGACAGACATTAAAACGCACTGTGCTCAGCATACCAGAATATCATGTCAGAAATACCACGCCATTCACATTCACCACATGTAAACGTACATGGACATAATTTACACTGATATAACAGCCAGAAACAGAAATCATTTATAAATATTCATGACACAGAAAGACACCTGCAGTCATACTGACTAAATACTGACTACACCACAGCAGGGATCTGTCTGGGATTTGAAGCTATGTGCCCTTGGCAGCCAAATCGGAGACAATCATTATTTTGTTAAAAACTAAAATTTTAAAAAAAGTTCTTTTACTAAATTTAGATTATTTTACATTGAACCATAACATTCAGTGCAAGAATGTTACGCATTCAAGCCTTTCTCTAGATTCTGTTATCAGGGAAATACTAGTCACATCTACAAAGCAGTAACATTAGTTGTAACTACAACATGACTTGCAAAATGTTTTATTTGTTGAAGATTTGGGGTCAAATATTAACCTCTGAGTTGGTCTGTAGAAATACATGTGATAGGAAGATCATAATGTTTTAATTAGAGAAGTCATCAAAACCCCTCATACTATACATGAGTGAGTGAGTGAGTTTGAGTTTTGCATTGCTTTTAGCATTATTCCAGCAACATCATGACAGGGGACACCAGAAATAGGCTTCACACATTGTACCCTTGAGCTGAATCGAACCCGGGTCTTCAGCGTGACTACCCCACCTTACCTTTCTATACACGAAATAATGGCAGATAGGTGGACAGACACTGGCAGTCATAAAAATACTACGACTACTTCATAGACTTAGATAAAACATATGTAGACAGGTGGCTTAATCCCTACTCTATCCCTGTAGACTAAACATGGCAGTGACAGGGCGAAAAGCTATATCCCACATTTACACACACTCTCGCCACCTGCATATGTAATGGCTGTACAAAGGGACTCCCACATATGCTGAAAACAGCTGTCACACAGAAACAAATAGGCGAGGGATTTCTCAAACTGTTTGGCAAATCAGCTGAACCTAAATTAATCTAAATAAGTACCAAATCCAGTTACGTCTTTTCCTGCTACATGCAGAGACAAACAAGAACAGCTCATGAACATGCAAAAATTATTACTGATTTAAGTATCAGGACCACAAACTAAACCCTCTGAAATACATTCCTTTTACCCAACCCACCAGGACAGACTTACAAACTATGGCAAAACAGCCATAAAAGTAACAATTGTGGCCTTACAAAAGAGTGAATGAGTTTTAGTTTTACACTGCTTTTAGCAATAGTCCAGCAATATCATGGCAGGGGACACTAGAAATGGGCTTCACACATTGTACCCATGTGGGGAATCGAACCCGGGTCTTTGGTGTGACGAGCAAACGCTTTAACCACCAGGCTACCCCACCACCCCGGCCTTACAAATGAGAAAGTGGTGTAATATGAAGTTGACAGACACTGGCAGTCATAAAAATACTACAACTACTTCATAGACTTAGATAAAAAATATGTAGATAGGTGGCTTAACCCCCTGGATGCCACAGGGACATATATGTCCTTCCCCTTCAACCCTCAATTTGAAGTCGAATAAAAATCAAAATATCCCACGCACACAAATACACTTCACAGTTTAGAATTCTGCGGGAAATTCCCTGTTTCTTGATACCATCCACTATTATTTTAAACAAAGCTCAAGTGCTGAAAATGACCTTACAAAATAGGCTTCATCGAAATGGCGAGATTTTTGACACAGTATGAAATCGCGATTCACAGCGTTATTTGCTGTATGTTTTGAAATGTGAAAATCGGATAATTACTGTGAGTATTGAATTTCAAAAATAACATATTTATGATCACTGATATCAGTTTTACATGATTTAAGCTAATTATAATTCTGAAAGCGTTGCCGATGAATCTAAGTCGGTTGGGATGTTTTCAAAATGCGCTTACACGAACACCGTGGAAGCTTTCCGCCATATTGGAAAGTGTTTACAAAATCACGCGTTTAGCGAAGGCGGTATTGAGGCGCCTATTACATCATCATATATTTCATATTCAGCTTGAAAATGCATCACTGAATTCCCCATACATTTTAGAATCAATTTGAAACTGGTCTGTGTCACCAATAATAACTGTCTAGATAAAATTAGGCCCGAAACATATTGGGTGTGAAAACGAACGCTGTGCTTGAAAGACTGCGTTTGTGTGAAATGTAAACAAAGACAAATTCCGATTTTACACTGCGCAGCATTTTCTGATTTTTTTCAACATTCATCCGTCTATTCATTGCTTGAAATGGCTCAATACCTTTAGAATATACATGGAAAGAGTATCGTAGCAAGAAATAGGAAATTATAAATAGATACAATGCAATGATTTGATAATTCATAAGAAATTGTCAAAGTTTTTAGGTGAAGCGTGACGCCATGACTGACACAAAATCCGCATAACGACAACGGTAATTATCTGCATTTCTGTCCTTTTTCTCTTCATTATGAGTGAAAGCGATAAAAACATATAACAATACACAGATAGTCAGAATCATTCTGATTACTTACATCTCATATTTATGTACAAACGATCCCTGAATCAGTGGAAGGGTCCTCGCAAAATCCTGTGTACCCTTGTCAGCAAAGCCGCCATTTTGTAAGAAATCGGTCAGCGGTAGTGATGTCATCGTCAACATTGTTGTACATATTAGGCAATTTCTTTGAGGTGAAGGTCGGTTGAACAAGAGTAAACACAATCGCCATATCCTTCCGATTACACTGTCAGTATTATGATGTATATTTTGCGGATGGATTCGGATACTTTTCATGAAACTGACTTCAGTATCTACATTTAGCCTTGTTCAATATCATATCATACATGCATATAGGGTTTACGGTGTTTTATTCTTTGAAAGTTTTTGATTGTTTGAATCATATTTACATAAGAAATTGACATATTTATTGCAATACACCATATTTTTAAACCTTTACACAAGTGTTAGAAGATCAAACGTAGCCATAACTGCAATTACTTTAGTTCCTATGATGTACAATATTCAATTTATTTGGACTAATATTGCAATTTCATATGAACAGGTTAATGAACGGTGATATAATTCAACCTTATATGCAAAACTGATAATATTAATGACAATGATTTATAGATGGTATGAAATGTACATGCACACATATTTAAAGGAATTGTCTTGTTCATTGCATAATTTTGTGTCGTTTATAGACAAAGAATGATGCATATAGATCGGCAAGGTCTTGCGTTTGTTGGCAACGTTTTATGAATCTCTATCATTGTTTTCGATAATATATTCAATTCATATTCGATTAAATAATATTGTGATGACAGGATATCAAACTCTAACTACTTATAGGAAAATTGTTGAAAAATATATATACCATCTCATGTGTTAATTCGGACAAATCTTATATCCATATTCTAATATATAGTTCCATATATAAAAAGCTATCTTTATGCATCTTTCATTGCATACGCATGAAGAGAAATAGCTTCATAATCATAAACAAACAAAATTCTTATCCCAAACAAAATATTCGGGTGTTGTGATATATTATCTTTTTTTACGTTAAATTGATGCCAAACAGGCACAATAAGATACGCTGTCAAACTGTCTAATTGTTGATATATTCAGGACACCATTTAAATGGAAAAATCAGTCATTTTATGTTTTGTCTAAAGAGTGTTAAATTCTGACATAGAAGTCTAGACCTTTTACACAATGAATGGATATTAAGTGAGATATATACTAATCAGCATACCAATGTCGTCGTTTTCCAACGTCGCAAAATGCATAAAACAAGCGATGACGTCAACTAAAATGTTGTGTTATTTTCATCAATTTCGTTACATTTGGAGATATGGCTAGTACTCTGGTAATAACGATGCAAAATTAGTCAAATTACATCTACACAAACAGGAGAATATGGGAATCTAAGAACTAACTTATATATCGGATAGGGCCATTCAAATCGCTATTAC